CATTCAAATGAGAGATAGCATCCCTCCTATCTTCCTGCACGCCGAACATATAAATCATGACAACAGATCTTCAACAAGTGCTACTAAATACCAAATGGTTGCTTCATATCCATAATGAGAGAGCCATTACGAAAAAATAAGTGAGTGCTAAATCATTTAATCAGAACAGTTTTTCAAAGTAACCAGAGCTTATCAAAGTCTTTTTTTTATCTCTTACTGTTTTACCCTCCTATAATTATTCAAGTTGTCAACTATCATTGATCCCTTAAAGTTACCACAACCTGTTAATATAAGTCATAACAGCCACAAGTTCCAGGAAAATAAGCCATGGTTACCACTTACCATTACACTCCCACATCCAAGCCATGCATAAAATAGATTCTCACTCCTTTCATTGCCAAGATATGTATATTGCACAACATAGCAATCCCCACTGAAAATTTTTCTCTCTTCTGAAGCTGGAAGAAGAGACAATTTCTCACAATCTATGCGCCAAACCTGAAATGTTATAGATTGCATTAACTAAAGGAGCAAAGGAATAAAAAACAAACTTTAAAATAGTATAACTGCTTCCAGTAAGAAGCTACTTTCAATGTGCCTCTGCAATCTATAAATGGCTGGATATCTTCTTCATCAGGAAGCTCCTTCACCTCGTAACCCTGTTGCTTGAACATTGCTGGCAGAAAGTAAATAATATGAGAACCAAAAATGTCAAAAATCTTACTTTAGCTACAGCACTAGTACTTATACTGCTACCAAGTTTGGTATTAGGTAAAGGCATTAAACCTGCTACTTTTCCTCGACCTTCTTCATACAGCTTGGTTTCCACCATTTGAGGCCAATTATTGAAGTATGACCTAAACTTAGCAGGTTCTAATCCTTCAGTTATAAAAGTTGAATGGGTCCCAGCTGACCTGCCTTGGTTTCTGAGGAAATCCTGCAAAAGAGCAGGCGAAATCATTACTTAGAAAACAATGCCCATAGCTCAATCATGATCTTCAGTTACAACATTTTACTTTCTTCATGTAATTAATTCTTGTATACTTCTTGAGCTTTGATTTATTCCCAAGAAATGACAGCACTGTTCCCTATACTAGAACATTCCCTTACTGTTCACGCCTGAAAACTTCAACTGCCTGCCTTCCAGGGGTTTGCTCCTTTTCAAAGAGTATGAAAGAGGGGAGAGAAAAAGAATAGAGGGAGGAAAAATTCTTACTTCTGCAGCTGAGATTGACGTTTTCCTTTCTGTAACTGAGCAATGTTTTCCCATCCAAACAAAAATCTCAGAATCACAGTCTACCATGTAGCACTTGTCTGTCTCAAGCATTTCTTTACTTAATGAGTCAGTTTGACATGGATGCAGTTTACCCTGAGTTGATATCCTACGAATGAAGAATATCATCAAAGAACACTTCAAGAAAAGAAAAGAGGGAAAATCAAGAGCATTGAAGTCTCAGAAGAAAAGAAAAATAGCCAAGAGCATAAATGTTTAGAAACTAATTCATACTCACCATGATAGTTTCACAAAGGGTGTATCAGGTTGTTTTTGGACAGAGGAAGGTGGATCCTGGGGAATGGGAGCATAACCACCAAATAAGCTCCAGAATTCACCCACTTCAGGATCACCAACAAATTTTCCATCCTCTGCAGCACTTTAACAATTAACAATTGCTATGGTTTCTATAAGGGAAAGAAAGAGAGGTCAGACGATTGCCAACCTACAGTGGCCACCTCGCAGTTTGCACGATGTTTATTCTCTTTGATGTACTGAACAACCTCCAAAGCCTTAGCTCTTTCTTGTATGCTAGAGTTGCACCCACTAAAGAGAAAAATTTTGGATGCAGTATCAAGTATGAATACATCACTGTGGTTCAATGATGACCGAGAAAACGGAACCTGGTAAACATGCAGAGTGCAGAGGGGTCAAAGTAAACAGTTAGCCAGTAGTATAGTATAGAACTAGTAGCTGGTACTTATCAAGAAAGAGTGAAAATACAGTATCAGTAGTGGAAACTCAAGATTTTAGGCTTTCCTGAGTATAGGATTTGATTATGTGAAGTAACTCAATGGCACACATTCTTGAGATATATAAAGCATGAAAATCATAATGACTTGAAACCATTCCAAAGCACCTTAATTATTATAGCAGCAATGCATCAAATTGCAAAGAAAGCTTACTTCTTTAACATGAACAACATGGTCCCCTTTGCAAGCTAACAAGCTGACTTTATATGTTTCACCATTTAAGTGCTCTTTCTGTGATGTATATACTCCTTCAATGGGAATAATACAGGGTTTGAAGTATGATAAGAACTTCCCTGTTTCTTGGCCTTGAAGTTCCCTATATTGCACAGTGCAGGACCCTAGGGCTGCATCTAGTTCTAGTGCTTTATCTGATGCCAATGCTGAGTCCACCTGCCAATTTGGTATTAGTTTTAAACACCCTGAAATAATTTGAGTAACTTATCTTTCAAATTCTTTGTACGACGATTACTCGGAATAGAAAAACAAAGATGAGCATGAACATTTTCTCAAACAAAACTTGATAGTTTCCTGTCATCAATTTCCCAGGTAAAAATGTCATTATATAACAGCATTATACACAAAGATTTCCATAAGCAATTCCTTCTCCTCCTTCCCCCCCTCCATTTCCTTTTGGCTAAAGGTAGAATTAATTGACATTATATAAAATTCTTCTATTATCAAGCACAAATTATAATTATCTAGAATCTTGCACGACATCTCACCTAAAAATCTTCAGTTCCATAGAACCATTAAATTTGTGTATTTGTATAGCTAGAATTCATGTGTAATAAGTGAAAACCTTATTTGTATCATGTCCGAGCCAATAGTGTATGTCATGCTGAGGAAGGCCACTTTTTGGTAGAACTGTCTGTCATGATAAACAAGTGAAATAGTTAAACTCATTGCATACCCAGATAGGTAGCTCTACTAGATAGCACAGATGATCCACCACTACAGTTGCAACTTTCTAAGAAGATTACATTGTTCTGGATCAACTTCAATTTTGAAGATATAGTATTGTGAAGAAATGCTTAGACTAATTGTCCGGAAAAGTTCAGTTGAATTTGTGCATGGTTAAAAGAAAACTAAATGCCAATAAAATGAACACAATGTGCCAACAACTTACATTTAAAATTACATACGCACTTCCAGAATAGAACCTCCCATGTGAAGATTTTGGAACAGAAACCAATTTTAGATTCTCAACACACCAAATTTCCAAACCACTAGCATAAGCAGGGTAAGGATAAAGCAATGAATTTGAACACAAGATGTATGAAGATTGTATGTTTCCATTAGTTATTGCTAGCTATAAGAAAATCTACCAATTCATTAACAATTTTACTTAATTGGATACTGACAACAACATAATTTTCTATGAGGACAGTATGTATGTTCCTAGCAGCTTACGCTTTCGGGAATAGTGGTAAACCAACAAATTTCCCATAAGACAAGATCTTGATTACAAGGTAAGAATGAAATAAAATCATTTATAAGGAAGGATACAGCTTTGCTCCTGCAGCCTGGAATGCTGGATCTGTGTCTTTAGCATAAATAGACATTGCCTTTCATGCCCTTGACACTCCACTAAACAACCACTAAATGCACGGTAATTTCTGCAGTCCAGTTACTGAATTTTCAGTAATTCTATAACAGGCAATACATGAGGCACAATGTGTAAAGCAAAACATCATAACAGATGGGCTCATCCCAGATAGAAAATCAATATTGACTCTTGATATATTGCATTCATACAAAGTCACAAACACAAGATTAAAAAAATTAAGGAAAAAAAACAGAGAAAACCAAGATTGAGTGAGAAATTCTTACTTACCTGGTTAATATTTCTGCACAATTTTGGTTTTTGGAGGATTGCGTGAAATGGGTTGTCTGTTGGATCTTATTTGCAGTGAAGGAACAGAAGAAAACAGTAGGAGTATATTCCTCCTAATGCTTTTGACCCTTTAAAAGAATGATGATTTAATAATGAAGTTGAAAACTTGGAATATAAATTAAGTGTAGAAAAGAAGTTCGGTGTGGTGGAGGTATTGTTCATACAACAAGTGAAGAAAGAAGAAAAAGTGAGACAATGTTTGGCTTTATTATCCAGCTAAAGCTGGGCCCATATATGCTCAAAAAGTTTTGGGGAAAAAAAAAAGAGATGATTGCAGGGTTGGCGTGGTCTGTGTGTCGTCTTGGTGCATGGCATGTGAGATAGATAGATCAGATATGTTTCCCGCCCTTCTCCTTCAAAAGTTTATGAGTTGTGAAACTGGTTTGAGGCCATTCTTGGCATATATATGACATCAGCAAGCATTCAGACAGCAAATTCGAATTAATAAGATCACCATTTGATTGTTTTTTTTTTTTTTTTTTTTTTTTTTTTTTTTTCGACACTTTTTACATATGCTGATCCATGATTGAGCTATGGGCATTGTTTTCTAAGTGATCATCGCCCGCTCTAGTGCTGTAGCTAAAGTAGGATTTTTGTCATCATAGTTCTTATAGTAATGTTCAAGCAACAGGGTTACGATGTGAAAGAGTTTACTCATAACACCCTTCACATGCAACTTCTTCCCGTAAGATAAATTTATTCCACTCTATTTTAAAATCTTGAATTCGTCTCTCAAAGGGTTTTTTGTGTGCATGAGACGTGAACTTTTAATTTTCTATTAATTTTTTTTATGTTTGATTTTGGTTATAGTTTTCAAATTATTGTGTTTGTGTGTGTGTGAATAGCAATTGACTTCAACTTTTTTTTGTTTGTTTTTTGTTTGGGGGTTATATTATTGGATACTCTACATCGGCCAGATGGGCTGAGATTGAGAAAGAATCCAAGCCCAATAAGACCCGCGTGGAGATCCGCTCATCTTCGAAACAGTGTAGAAGAATTTTGGCAAAACTTAGGGTTTAAGTTCAACCCAGGAGACCCCGAGAGAGAAGGGAGAAGCACGAAATTTTGTTGAACTCAAGCAATGAACCCGCTAACCCTAGTAAAACGAATTCAGAACATCAATTCCAGAGAAGCCCAATTAGGGATTTCAGAGGAAGCTTCGTGGCACGCCAAGTACAAAGACTCCGCTTACGTCTACGTCGGCGGCATTCCTTTTGAGCTCACCGAAGGTGATCTTGTCGCTGTTTTCGCACAGTAAGCTCCTATTACCATACAATTAATTTGAATTTTTGATATACATATATACAATTTCTTCTTCAATTTTAATCTTGTTTGATATTTTATTCGATTTCAGATATGGAGAGGTCGTCGACGTGAACCTGGTTCGCGATAAAGGGACTGGGAAATCCAAAGGGTTCTCATTTATTGCATATGAGGACCAGAGAAGTACGGTTCTTGCTGTGGATAATCTGAATGGAGCTCAAATTTTGGGTCGAACAATTAGGGTGGATCATGTGACTAAATACAAGAAGAAGGAAGAGGAAGATGAAGAGGAAGAGCAGAGGAAGAGGGAGGAACGAGGTGTGTGCCGTGCTTTCCAGAGAGGTGAATGTACTCGCGGAGCTGGGTGCAGATTTTCTCACAATGAGCAAGTAAGGTCTCCATTATCTGATAGGTTTTAGTTTTCTTTGAACTGCACGTTAATTTTGGCAATGTTTCTTCATATTTGGGTTCTGATGATTGAGAAATTTATTGTGTATAAGTAATAATGGAGCTTGATTGGTGCTTATTGCAATGTAATGGAGTATGGATTCTTTTTGGGAGGTGTAGTTGTGGGGGGATTTTGAGTTTGTTTCCAGTATGTTAATTTAGTATGTTTCTGATTTTGTTTTTGTTTTTAACATGCTTGAAGTTGGGTGAGTTTATGCAGAGAATCATTTATGTTGAATGAAGAGGGGGTGTTTTGTCCGTTCTTTATAAAATAAAATTTTATCTACATACATTGGTGCTCATGTGTGCTTTGTTCTATTTGTATCCAGAGAGCTGCAAACACAGGTTGGGGTGATCAAGACTCAAAATGGGGGCGTGACAGGTATGATGGCCCAAAACAGGGTGAGAACAGATCTAACACTACTCCGTCAAATCGTGTTCCAGAGGCTGAAGTTCAAGAAGATTTACACTCCAGAGGAAAGGGATATGGGAGGGCCTTTAAAAGTCACCCTAAGCAAAGTTATGGGAGGGAGGAAACGAGATTGGGGAGACATGAGGATGATGAAAGGTTTGAGCTTAGATCAAGAGATCATGGTAGGGGGGAAGAAAAGAGACCAAGAAGACCCAGTGAGGATGACGAATTGGGGCAAAATTCAAGAGAAGATTATGGTAGGAGGGAAAAACAGAGATTAGGAAGGCAAAATGGTCATGAATTGCAGCCAAAGTCAAGAGAAGATCATGACAGAAGGGAAGATAAGAGACCCAGAAGGCAAGGTGGTGATGTTGAATTTGAGCCAAAGCTGAAGTCTAGAGACGATCATGACCGGAGGGAAGATGATAGAAGGGAAGATAGGAGAGCAAGAAGGCGTAGTGATGATGGTGAATTTGAGCCAAAATCTAGAGAAGATCGTGATAGGAGGGTAGATGATAGTAGGGAAGATAAGAGACTGAGAAGGCATGCTGGTGATGATGAATTTGATCCAAAATCTAAGGATCATGATAGGACAGAAGAAAGGAGAAGGTATGCTGATGATGAATATCAGCCGAAGTCAAGAGAAGATAGGTGGGAAGAACAGAGGTCAAGAAGACGCAATGTTGATGAATTTGAGCTGAAGTCAAGAACAGGCGAGGATAAGAGGAAAGGAGAGAGACTGAGAAGGTATGAAGATGATGAGTTTCAGCCAAAATCCAGAGAAGTTCGTCGTAGAGAGTAAAAAGGGTGTTAATGGTGTGAAGCAAATACGGATTTGCTTTGCAATTTTGATGTCTATTTCGTGCAATAACATTGTTCCTGTTGTATTTTCTAACTTTATTTTCTGTGAGGTAGTTTAACATGCTTTGACCATCAATGCTTGTGCAGCTGGGCATAAAATACCAGATTTAGTTGTTTCTATCTTTTGTTGTTGTGGTCCTCTTTGTGTTTCCCTTGGGTGAGGTTTAGAGTTGATATATGCCTTGTACCAGCAAATAGTTGTGCAACTTTGCATAAAATCATTTGTTGATTCCCTGTTTCTCTTTGTTGTTGAATCCATTTAAATAGAAAGTTGTATCTTGGGACTCGATGATGATGATGGTGATCATGGTGGTGGATTTTGGTTGGTGGTGGTGCAAAACGCAAGTTTTTTTCATATTTACAGAAAAAAAAAAAAAAAAAAAACAGAAAACAAAAAAAAAACTATGGTATTTTTTTATTTTTTTTTTTTTTGGAAATTTTGCAGGTGAGGAGGGACCACGATTAAACCAGGCATGGCTTTGAACCACGATGTAAGAAGAATTGACCGGGACGGATGGACATTACGGGTAATAATAATGTTTTGCATCTATGGAAATGCACTCTCAGCATTGCTGTCCAAGACAGAGGCCTATTTTGGCCTATGAATGGGGTTAATATTTCTTTTGTTCAGAAATAAATTTTTGGGAGCATTTTAAGAAGAGCAAGGATCGAGTCTTCGTGATGCAATTAATTGTTGGGGCTGAATCAATTTAAGTTGGTCTTTTCCACAGAAGAATTTTTGCATGGAAGAATAACCTGGACTAAACAAAAACATAAAAATTTCAGTTGTCTTTTCCAAATGCAACAAAATCTGTAGAATTGTATAATCACCAAGTAGGCTGTTATATATATAGGTAAAAACAAAAATACCCGCTCGAGGTGAGCGAAAGCATACTCAAACAAGGAGGCTGTCAACCAAATGCTGAAAGCCATATTTACAGTTTCATAGCCGGTTTCTGATCTCCAGTCTCCAAATGAGACAGAAACAAAGTTGTAAGCAAAAACAGGTAAAGAAAAGAGTGACTTGATTCATCGAGGACTCTGTTCCTCTGTTGAATCAATCCGAATTGTACCCATCACTAGTGATGGATTTTCCGAGTTCTTTGGGTACTACCTCTGTTTGAGAAGACATCGATCTTCCAACTTCTTTTGCTTCTTTAGAGGTCATTGATTTTCCAAGTTCGTTTGGAAGTGCTTCTTCAGAAGAAATGGATATTCCGAGTTCTTCTGGAAGTGCTTCTTCAAAAGACATGGATCTTCCGAGTTCTTTTGGAAGTGGTTCTTTAGAAGACATGTATCTTCCGAGTTCGTTTGGAAGTGATTCTTCAGAAGACTTTGATATTCCAAGTTCTTTTGGAAGTGCTTCTTGAGCAGACATTGATATTCCAAGTTCTTTTTTAAATGCTTTTTTAGAAGCCATCGAATTTTCGAGTTCTTTGGGTAGTGTTTCTTTAGAAGATAATGGTTTTCCAAGTTCTTTGGGTACTGTTTCTTCATTAGGCACCCCTTGTATTGGAGTTAAACTAGGCACCAGAATATTGCCTCCTTCATAAGTAGGCAAGGTCTCTTCATCTTCCACACTTCCCGGAATCTTGCTTGTTACTGTTGATGGGGTTATCTTCCCTATAGATTCCTCTTTCATGACGTACTTACCATCGTCTGAAACACGTACTTCCCTCCTTATACCAAGCAAAGTTCCATCTGCTGATGTGATAGCCTTCTCTTCAAGAACAAACTCATTGTTGGTGCTAAATGTTGGCTTGTCATCTGCAGAGGCAATCTTGTCTGAAACTTTTGCACCCTTGTTCACATTCAGCATAGATTCTTCTCCTGGAAGAGTCACATTCCCAGGAACAATTGGTCCCAAGCCGGGGTTTACAAGTAGCGCCTCGTTTTGATTCGTAATTTGCACTTCACTAATTTTCTGAAGTTCAGAATCTTTCCAGTCTTCAGCAATAGCTATATTGTTCTTGGTGTTCCAGGTATGAAGAATTCGGTCTGGACCGGGTTGCCACGATAGATCTCCTGTGATTTTTTTCAGTATAAACTTGTATTGGACTGCTATGCCAACTGGCATATCCTAATCAAATTTATAAAAAAAATAATAATAATAAATAAACCAATCAAAGTTGTTAAGAAAATAAGATATGAACAAAACAAGGATCAAATCCTTTAGAAAGTTCTTACCAGCTCAACGGTCCAAATGTTTCCATCTGACCAGTTCAGAGGTATAGCACTTGCAGGGTTCCACTCTCCCATGATAGGTTCATTTCCCACCAGGAGGAAACTCTCACCAAAGTTGCACTCCTTGTGCAATTGGAATTGAACATGAACAGTTTCTGATGTCTCTGAGAAGCAGAGAGTAATTATCACTTGATATGGAAACTGGGAACTCATTGTTTAACATGCTGAACAACAAAAGAAGTTTGAATACAATAAACTTACCTGTTGTTTGGATCCCAATTCCTGCTGTCTCCGACGTTGTTAAAACCTGCTTGTGAATTTTACGGGACGAAATTGAATTAGATGATCAATTTTGGTTTGAAACAAACCAGTTACAGTTTGAAAAACTCAAACAAAACAAACCACCTCTGTTTGAGAAGGAGCAACCAATTGAAGAGCTTTGTGTCGAAGCAGATGAACATGTACATTGGAGTTCAAAGACCTTAGAAAGCAAATGTCAGATCGCCACAGAAGAGATTTTAAGGGAGGCAGAGGTTTGTTAATCATATTAGCCTTTGGAAACAAGGTTGTAGAAGATCTCACAAAGGCTTCCATTGGCTCCGTTTTTTCAGAAAGGGAGACAGAGTCCTAAAACATGTTAGAAATGAAGTACTTGTATATATAAGAGGCTTATACGCATGAAAAATGAGAAGGGTACGGATCTGACATCAGGTGGGATTCTAACACGTGGCAGAATGAGGTTGGATTTGCTAGTTTTATACTCTGTTCTTGTGCATAGAAAGAGTTTTGATGCGCTCAACTGTATGAGAAATTAGGGGCCTTTCCTTGTGCGGATTTTCAGTTTTGCCTTCATACTATTGTTTGAAGTCTTCAACCCAACTTGACCAAAAAATAAGTCTTCAACTCATTTGTAAGAAAGAAAAAGAGGAGTAATAATAATAAACTAAAGCTAAACAGAATATAAGTTTAAAACGTTGTTACTTCTCTTCCAACTTCCATTATCGGCATGTTTGTACAACAGAGAAGAGGGCAACTTTAATGAAACTTCTCTTCTAATTTCTGTGATTGTACGACATGTTGCTATATAGAGGAGAGGGACAACAAAATGGACAATTTCATATCATCCTGTAGGGTTTGAGGTTTATGGTCTAGCAAAAACCTTGTATTTTCACCAATAATCATTACATGAGCAGTGCCCGTCTCTAAAATGATGAAACCGATATCGATCTCTCAGCAATATCTCCCTATCATAAAGCTTAGATATAAGCTTTGCAACTGAGTGGCAGTCTCCACAAACACGAAGATTCTTCACAACCTGAATTGGTTGAGATGGACTCAAGCTAATAAGCCCAAAGGCAATGGCTAATTTCTCACTGTGAAGGATTAGGGCATGGTCCTTCATGTCTTCTTCCTCAACAAATTGCAGCAGATGTGACTTGTTTGGCACATATCCGTTTGACTTCAATCTCAGTGCCATCTCATCCAACTTTGAGTAGATTTCCTTGCATAGAGGGTGAGAATTATCGCCAACAAGAAATTCATGAACACTACCATTGACTTCGATTGAGCTACAACCTGGTTCTTTCTTTATTCCTGCATCTCGCATATGCTTCCTTAATCCAGAAACTTCATCCCATTTCCCTGTTTCGGCATAGATATTTGATAAGAGTACATAGGCTCCGTGGTTTCTGGGATCCAACTCAAGCAAATGACTACAAGCTTTTTCAGCAAGCACAACATTCCCATGAAGTTTACAGGCCCCAAGAAGAGCCCCCCATACAGAAGCAGTAGGAGGTATTGGCATTTTTTCTATCAGCTCTACAGCTTCGTCCAGATTTCCAGAACGACCAAGAATATCGACCATGCAAGCATAGTGCTTTATTCCAGGCACAACCCCGTAAACTGGCTCCATTTGATAGAAAAATGTTCTTCCCTCGTCCACCAAACCTGTGTGGCTACAAGCGCATAATACATTGGTAAATGTCACAGCATTGGGCTTCACCTTAGCGTCTAGCATTTTTGAGAAAAACTCCAATGCATCTCTCCCTTGCCCATGCATCGCCAAACCAGCAATCATGGCACTCCAGACGAATACATCTCTCCTCTCTACCGAATTAAATACCTCAAGTGCCTTATCTAGATCCCCACACTTTGCATACATATCAATAAGCGAGGTTGTGAGGTGACAATTCAACTTCATCACCTGCTTCTTTATGTAAACATGTATCCACCCACCAAGATCAATTGCTCCTAATTGAGCACACGCTGCTAGAGTACTAACCAGTGTGACTTCATCAGGTTTAGGACTCTTGCTTTTCTGCAACTCATTAAAAACAGCCAAAGCCTCCTTTGGCTTACCACTTTGTTCATAAGAAGAAATCAGCACATTCCAAGCAGCAATGTCTTGACTAGGCATTGCGGCAAAAACCCTCCAAGCCTCCTCATAGTTCCCCAACTGAGCATACCCATCAAGCATAGTAGTCCACGAAACAATATCCTTCTCTGGCATCCTATCAAACAATCTTTTTGCATCTTCAACGCTCCCACATTTCACGTACATATCAAGCATAGCATTGTTCAAAGTCAAGTTCTCTTTAATTTCATTCCTTTGAATATGTGAACAAACCCACCTCCCAAACTCCAAATCCACCTTCTTTGCACAAGCTGACAACACGCTTACCATCGTTACATCATTCGGCTTCACATTCTCCGCCTCCATTTCCTTAAACAACTCCAATGCCTCCTGGGGGCAATTCCCCTGCGCAAAAACTGTGATAATAGAGTTCCAAGAAACAACATCTTTTTTAGGAGTCTTCACGAAAACCCGACGTGCCAAGTCCAAATCCCCGCACGACCCATAAAAATGAACTAGCGAATTAAGAATATAAATATCCGACCCAAGCGTGGCCTTTATTGCCATGCCATGAAAACCTCTTCCAACCTGCAAAGTCCGGAGCTCCGAAGCCGCTTTAATCGCAAAAGGGTAAGTATATTTATCTGGACATTCAGAACAGTGATCAAGCATTTCCAAAAATATGAGGATGCTTTCAGCCGGGTCAGAGCTAGACGCATAAGCGCGAATGAGGGTGTTCCAAGTGTAGACATTTGGTTGCGGAATTTGATCAAACACCTGGCGGGCATAGTCGAGACTCGAGAACGACGAGAGAGCGCTGGCGCTGATAAGTTTGCTGGCGGAGTACGGGTCAAAGAGAACACCTGTACGAAGCATTTGGGCATGGACTTGCTTTAGCTGCTTTATGCTGGTGCATTGGTCTATTAGTGAAAGAGCTGGGTGGCCTGAGAAACGAAGGTCGGTACTGAAGGTTGGGGACGAAGAGTTTGGGTGACGTGGCAGAGAGATAAGTGGGGTGCTTAGAGAAGCCATCTCTTCTGTGGTCAGTCTCACAGTAACCCCATTCACTTTAAGGTTCCAAATCCAAGCCCCTTTATGTGATATGATCTACCATTATCACAATCGCGTGCCACGTCACGTATGATTTTCATTTTTATTTTTTTTATGTGTTCACATATTTATAAAATAAAATAAAAAAGAATAATTCTAGAATGGAAGGGAATTTCATCATATGGATGTCTTTTGGTTTTGATCTTCCACTTATGTTCAAAAAAATGTCACTTGAGGTTTGAGGGTTAAGCATTTGGAGTTGGAAGTTCAATATTTAGATTTAACAGTCTAAAACAATATAGTTTTAAGCATAAGTGCAAGATTAATAAGAAGAAGAAAAAACTTCAATTTATCAAATACAAAGTAGGGAGAAGAAAAATCAGCGATTAATAAATATATTTTTTTTAATTTTGTCACAGCGTGGCGACATCTAATTCACATGCATTAACTATTAGAAATCTTCTATACAACTCAACTTAATTATCTAACAAATTTGTGGGTTTGACATCATTTCTTGCAAACTAAGATCAATATTTTACCATTTAACTACTTTAAACACTAATAATACCAACTACTTTTGACTTCATTGGTTAAATTAATAGTAATACATATTATATATCATCACCTTTCTTTCATTCTTGTTCCGAACCTAAGCAGCAGGTGTGATTTTTTGTCTTCTTTTTAGCCGAAATCGTCATAGATTTGTCAAGTTATTTTATGGTGGAGGGCATCCCCCGTTACAACAAGAGTACGACAGTAGTGATGTATTTATGCAATCACTCTTCTTTCTGTTTCATTTTAACCCTGTTTTTTTTTGCTATGCTAATGGGAGAGTAGACTGAAAAAAATTGCCAAGTTCTTAACAGGTCATGATTTCCCATCCAATACAATCTTAGCACGTCACAATTGAGTTGCGTAAAAGTGGTGATGCTTTGAACAAATGAACAATGGATAAGAACAACAAATATTAATGTTTAATTAGTTTCGTATTACCTTAGCTCAAGAAGATAACAACTACACATATTATATGTATTGATATACGTTGTCTAATTATATTTCATTCATTAATCGTCAATCGAGAGAGAGATTAAGATCAGTTCAGATGGAGAAAGTAAGACTAGTGTTCATCCCAGCACCAGGTTCGGGCCACCTTGTATCAACCCTGCAATTTGCAAAGCGACTCATCGATCGAGAGGAAAGAATTTCAATCACCGTTCTTGCAATCCAATCAGCCTCTCCTACCACCTTAAGTTCTTATGCAAAATCTGTTGCAGCCTCAGAGCCCAAAATCCAACTCATTGATGTCCCAAAACCTCAACCAGAGCACCCACCTGCACAAGACTCATTCAAGTCACCAGCCAAATCTTTCTCTCTTTACATTGAAAGCCACCTACCCAATGTCAAGAAAATCGTCACCAGCCTCGTCTCATCATCCCATGTTAGCAAGAGTTTGGATTCAATTCGTGTTGCTGGGCTGGTGGTTGATTTCTTCTGTGTGTCCATGGTTGATGTGGCCAAGGAACTCCATCTTCCTACTTATCTTTTCATGACAAGCAATGCAGGATATCTAGCTCTCATGCTCCACCTTCCGATCCAGCATAAACATAACGAAGTTGAGCCAAAAGACTCCGATCCAGAATGGTTAATTCCAGGTATGTTGTAACAAAAAAAAAATAATGAGGACATTGATTATTGCCCTTGAAGCTATCTTTTGGATTTTATTTCAAATACTTATTATATTTTGCAAATTTCTCCAACAAGGTATTGTCCATCCAGTGCCTCCTAGAGTTCTGCCTGTGGCTTTGACAGATGGTAGCTACTCTGCTTATGTTAAGGTGGCTTCAAGATTTCGAGAGACTAGAGGCATTATAGCAAACACATTTGTTGAGTTAGAGACATATGCTATCAACTCATTTTTCCATGACGGCCAAACCCCTCCGGTGTACCCAGTTGGACCGGTGATCGATCTCGAGGACTGTCAGGCTCATTCCAATCTAGAGCAGGCACAGCGTGACAAGATCATCAGATGGCTTGATGATCAGCCTCAGTCCTCTGTTGTGTTTTTATGTTTTGGCAGCATGGGAAGCTTTGGCGCAGAGCAAGTGAAAGAGATAGCTGTTGGGCTTGAGCATAGTGGGCAGAGGTTCTTGTGGGCTCTGCGCATGCCACCACCCAAAGGCAAAGGCATGATGCCAATCGATTGCCCAAATCTTGAGGAGGTTTTGCCAGATGGGTTCTTGGAGAGGACCCATGGGAAGGGACTCATCTGCGGGTGGGCCCCGCAGGTGGAAGTCTTGGCCCACAAAGCAACCGGTGGGTTTGTTTCTCATTGTGGATGGAATTCAATCTTGGAGAGCTTGTGGCATGGGGTGCCTATTGTGACATGGCCTATGTATGCAGAGCAGCAGCTGAATGCTTTTAGAATGGTGAAGGAGTTGGGATTGGCATTGGAGATGAGGCTGGATTACAAGAAAGGTGGTGGTGAGGTTGTGAGGGCAGATGAGATTGAGAGAGCTGTGGTTGCTGTCATGGACAAGGAGAGTGAGGTGAGGAAGAAAGTGAAAGAGATGGGAGAGATGACCAGAAAAGCTGTGAAGGATGGTGGGTCTTCCTTTGCTTCAGTTGGAAGATTTATTGAGGATGTGATTGGGAACAATTGTGGTTCCAATTGATTGGAACAACTTTCAAAATAGTAATTATCATGTTGTTGGATCTTTGTTTAGGAAATTTGTATCAGCTATTGTTACGTTTTCAATATACGACTTTTGCAAAGTACGCTACAGCAACCATGAGCACAATCCAATGTCTGTTTTTTCTGTTAACTAGGCACGGAAAGATTGCAGCGCCACACGGCCATACTTTATAAATAGAAATTTAACCGTATAGCCGGCCGGCTATACGCTATAAATTGAAATTTTAAACGTATATCCCGGCGGCTGTACCATAAATAGAAATTATAACGGTATAGCCGGACGGCCATACTCTGTAAACAGAAAATTTAACATCATCGCCCGGCGGTTATACCATGTAAACAGATTATTTTAAAGGTATAGCCGCACGGCTATACTGATTAAATACAATAACTGATCAGTATGGCCGCAGCTATACGATATAAATAGAAATTATAAATGTATAGCCGCGCGGCTATACTATATATTGAAATTTTAAACGTATAGCCGCCCGGCTAAGCTCTGTAAATATTTATGGATATTTTAACAGTACAGCCGCGCGGCTATCAGAATATATTCGAATATTTAAAGAGTATAGCCGACGGCTATACGGTTAGAATATATATTGATATTTTAATAGTATAGCCGCGCGGCGATACTCTGTAAATGTATTCGAATATACTTTAAAGGTATAGCCGTATGGCTAGACTCTTTAAATATATGCCAATAATTAAAGAGTATAGTCACGTTGCGATACCTTTAAAATATTTTGTGGATTTTTTTTTATAATTTTTTTTATACAAAATTAGTTTGTTTAGTTTAATATTTGTAATTAAGTAATATCTTAGCCTTATTTGATTATATTAATTATTTTAAAATCATTATTTAATGAATATTTAGTCTTTTAAGTATTTTAATTAATTTCATAAATTACTTAATAAATACTAATTAATTACATTTACTTATCTTAAATACTTTTGTGGACTTTAAAATTATTTTTAATTTCCGAATATATTTTGAAAATAGTTTCAATTATTAGAAATTTATTTTAGTATACGCTTTAAATATATACAAATTAGTAGAGGAAGGGTGAAAGTTTCTAGACATCTACTTGTATACTACTGATATATTAAGAGAGACACTTGCCATTGAATAATAATGAATACATAAATTGAGCTGTTGTTCTGCAGAAATTGGCCATGTCACTGTAGGCACACCATGCCACATGCTCTCCAGAATTGAGTTCCACCCACAATGAGACACAAAACTACCAGTTGCCTTGTGGGCCAAGACCTGCACCTCACCCACATATAAATCCCCTTTCTTTGGAGAACCCTACCCAAGAACCCATCTGGCAATATGTCCTCAGAATTTGAGCTATTGCTTGCCCTGGTGGTTTTGCCTTGGGGTACAGGTGGCAAGCGCAGAGACCACGAGAACCTCTGACCACTCTGCTCAAGCCCCAAAGATATTTCTTTCACTTGGGTTTGCACCAAAGCTCCCCATGCTTCCAAAACATAAAAACACCATAGATGCTTGAGGTTGTTCATCAAAGCCATTTGATAATTTTGTCATGTTGATCTTTGTCCAAGTTGACCACCCTTGAGATCAATTACTGGCCCAACTGGGTTCACTGGAGGGGTTTGACTTTGACTTTGACCACCTAAAAAAGATTCGATAGCATGTGTCTCTAACTCAACAAATGTATTCACTACAATACCTTTTGTCCCTCTAAACCTCTCTGCAAGCTTAACGTAAGCAGAGAAGCTGCCATCTGTCACAGATAAAGGCAAAACACTTGGACGAACAGGGTTGATAATACCATGGATCAAAATCTCAGGATCAGAGCCTTTAATCTCAGCAGTGCTCTGGTTACTTGGTTTTGGAAGGTGAAGCATGAAAGCAAGAGATCCTGCATTACTTGGCATAAACAAATAACAAGGAAGATGGAGCTCATTGGCCACATCAAATCAATCATGGACACACAAAAGAAATGAACAACCTAACCAACTTGGAATTGGATTGAGTCGGAGGAGTTGGCTTGGGGTGATGAGAGATTAATGTTAGTGACAATGTCTTTGACATGGGGCTTGTGACTCTCAATATATTGAGAGAAATACTTTACTGGTGATTTTGATATATAATTCTTGTGGAGGTGGGTCTACCTTGGGGACATCAACAAGTTTGATTTGGGGATTTGAGGCAGCAAGTGATTTGGTTTTTGAATCTACAGAGGAAGAGAAGGTTGATTTGCTTGCAAGGATTGTGCCTGAAATTCTATCATCATGACCAATTAGGCGCTTGGCAAGTTCAAAAACTGGCACCAGGTGGCCAATTCCTGGTGCTGGGATGAACAACAATTCTAGTTTCTTCATCTCAGCTTTTTTATATTTCTTCTCTGTGCCTGTTGCTTCTTCGGGCTTGGGGGCTCTGCTTTCTTGCACTCGAGTTCGAATTCCCATTTTCATATATTTAAAATGCATCAAACTAAAATGATCCTAAAATAAACATTTTACAAATACAGTATTTGACAAATTATAAGTGTTTTCAACGTGGATACTTTGAGATGATCAAGTTCCTATTCATTTTGTATCCAAGTCCAATTAGTTGTTTTGACAGAAAACTTCTCATCAGAAGTAGATAGTCAACCATTAGAATTCTTACATTTCCAAATGGGACTTGTTTGGCACACATTGAACTCAATTCAACCACAATCTGTAAAGCATAAAATAGATATTAGAATTCCAAATCAAAGATCCAACGAAATGATATTTTCTACTTTGAAAGTTGTTCTAATCAATTGGAACCACAATTGTTCCCAATCACATCCTCAATAAATCTTCCCACAGAAGCAAAAGAAGATCCACCATCCTTTACAGCTTTTCTGGTCATCTCTCCCATCTCTTTCACTTTCTTCCTCACCTCACTATCCATGTCCATGACAGCAACCACAGCTCTCTCAATCTCATCTGCCCCCACCACCTCCCCACTACCTTTCTTGTAGTCCAGCCTCATCTCAATTGCCAATCCCAACTCCTTCACCATTCTAAAAGCATTTAGCTGTTGCTCTGCATACATGGGCCATGTCACAATAGGCACCCCATGCCACAAGCTCTCCAAGATTGAATTCCACCCACAATGAGAAACAAACCCACCGATTGTCTTGTGGGCTAAGACTTCCACCTGCGGGGCCCACCCGCAGATAAGTCCTTTCCCATGGGTCCTCTCCAAAAACCCATCTGGCAAAACCTCCTCAAGGTTTGAGCTATCACTTGGCATCATGCCTTTGCCTCCGGGTGGTGGCATGCGCAGAGCCCACAAGAACCTCTGCCCACTATGTTCAAGCCCAGCAGCTATCTCTTTCACTTGCTCTGCCTCAAAGCTCCCCATGCTTCCAAAACACAGAAACACAACAGAGGACTGAGGCTGGTCATCAAGCCATTTGATGATCCTGTCACGTTGTGCCTGCTCTAGGTTGGAATGAGCCAGACCGTCGTCTAGATCGATCACCGGGCCAACTGGGTACAGCGGAGGGGTTTGATCATCATCGGAAAATGAGTTGATAGCATGCGTCTCTAACTCAAGAAATGTGTTTACTATAATGCCTTTGGTCTCTCTAAACCTTGAAGCAAGCTTAACATAAGCAGAGTAGCTACCGTCTGTCAAAGCCACAGGAAGAACTCTAGGAGGAACAGGAATTTCAATACCTTTGATTAACCATTCAGGATCTGAGTCTTTAGGCACTTCACCATTTTGCTCATGATAGGCTGGAAGATGGAGCATGAAAGAAAGATATCCTGTATTGCTTGTCATGAAAAGGTAAGAAGGAAGATGGAGTTCCTTGGCCACATCAATCATGGATGCACAGAAGAAATCAACCACTATCCCAGCAACACGAACAGAGTCTGATTTGGCGTGCGATGAGACAATTTCTGTGATGATGTTTCTGATATTGGGCAGGTGGGTTTCAATGTAAAGAGAGAAAATTTTTGCTGGTGATTTGAATGACTCGGTTGAAGGTGGTTTTGCTGGAGGTTGAGGGACATCAATTAGTTGGATTCTGGGTTCTGAGGCTACAAGGGAATTTGTGTATGAACTTAAAGAGGAAGGGAGGGGTGATGGGATAGAAAGAATGGTGATCGAAATCGTATCATTTCGACGGATCAGATTCTTTGCGAACTGCAAGGTTGATACAAGATGGCCAGAACCTGGTACTGGGATGAACAATAATTCCACTTTCTTCATCTCAACTGATTTTTTCACTCTCTCTCTCTCTTTCTCCTTTGCTTTTATCTCACTTTCCTTGGTAAATTTGGAACACACATATACGAGAATACCTCAAATAATTTTATTTATTTGAGGGACATCTATTAGGGCATCCTATAAATTTTTTTCCAACAATTCAAACTATTTATTTTTCAAGTCGTCATTTATAGATTATCCTTACAAAAATTCAGACAAATTGAAAATTATTAAGATATCTAATTGATACCAACAAAATCAATGAACACAGTGCTTCAAGAAAATACTCAAATTTTAGTAATTTAATTGAATTGTCAAATGATATTAAATTCAAGTGATTTTTTTGTAAAGATAGTCTTTTGAATGAATATCTACAAACTAAACGGTTTGGATTAGTGAAATACAATGCATAGTAGGCCCTACAATGGTGTCTATCAACTAAACTTATTTGAGGAATCCATTAATAGAAACTCTCTGATTGACAAATAAATTTATTTAAGGGATCCCTTAAATTGTCAATTCTTTTTGTATATATTATATTTAAAAAAGAATATAACCCACTTGATCAATAATTCAGATTGACCGCATCAAAAAATCCGTACCACATAACATGCCAAATTATTTGACAAGGATACATGGCCATATAGGTCTTTTACCAAATAATCTAGTGTACTCATTTGACCATTACATGCATACTCTTCAAGGAAGAAAATATTAAACAAATTAAACCTTTCTTCTTGTTTCTCAAGTTTGAAAGCTTTACCGCTTTTGACGACCTCAGACAATGTGCCGTGCTAAGAAATGTATTTAATGGAGAAATACCGGACAATGTATTGTTATAAATAAATGGTTTAAGCATCCCTGCTGCCGTACTCCATGACATTACATTTTACACCTACGTCACTGCTGCCGTAATCCACGCTTCATTTTGCAGAAGATTAATTGTGGGGGCATGCTCCCCCAATATAATAGCCATTGTGCATACACATCACATACATGTAATTATTGTAAGGGAAATGCTAGTAACTTTCTCTTCAACCTTCTCGTTTGGATTTTCTCCATTTTCCTCATGAGGTGTGCTACTTCCCATACACTTAAAATAATGACATTAATACATCAAACAAACCACCTTTCGTTTTTCAAGTTTACCCTTATTAAATATATTGTCCATCAATTTATCCAATTTTTCTTGCAACTCTCTTACCATATGTAAAAAAATTAAAAAATTCTTCTTCTTCTTTTTTTATAAATAAAATGTCCATTTTTTTTTTAGGAAAAACATTTTTTTTTTGTTATAAAAAAACACAATGACCTTAAAAAAATTCCACAAAAGATATATCCTTTTTTTTATACAGACAAAAGACGTCTTTCTAAGGAAGTCTATTTTAAAAGGAAGTTCATTGATTGCATTTTCAAACCATTAATTTGGAAAGTCTAATTATTTATTTTTTTTCCCCTAAACCATTAATTAGGTAAGTCTTATTTATTGGAGTCTTTCAAAAAAGAAAAGAAAAACTAATGTTTTTTCTTATTTAATTTTTTAACAAGGTGATAAGAAAGTTGTAACAAATAAGTTTAAGGAAACATTAAAATCAATACAAAAAATAAGGGTAAATTTGGAAACAAATGTTATCTTATTTTGATGAATTAATTACATTGTTTTTAGTGTAAGGAAAGTGACACATGTCATGAGGAAAATGGAGAATATCCAAAAAAGAAGGTTGGAGAGAAGGTTGCTAGCATTCCCCTTACTTTCTTCCCCTCCGTGAATGGGAGTCTTGTGAGATTTACATGAGGTGGTAGGGATGGCTATATTTTAATCAATAACACTACGTCACATTGGTTGATCACATTGTTAGGAACCTTCATCATTGATGAGCTGGCATAGTCAATTTGTTAATTGATTAGTTAAGAAATTAGTTTCTAACCGAATTGGTTAATGAGAGCTTACAGCTATATTATGCAATTATTGTATCAAGAATGAGTTGTTGAGAATATTGTACTGTTTCGATAATTCAATAAATAATACTTGTTACTCTGTGTAATTCTAGGGTTAAGGTTGAAAGGGGTTTAACATACATAATCATATGTGACAACTGTTAAAAGTCTTATATAGTTCTGCTAGTAACTTTCTCTCCGAGGAGGGGCCTTGTGTCTAATTAGGTAGTTGGTAAGGCAAAGCTAACTAAGGCAATTAGGAAGATCAACCACACTAACTGAGACACAACCTATACTCCTATCAAAGGCAGTAGTGGGGAATTCTCCACAATGGGAGAAAGCCCGACAGAGCAATGTTGCATGGAGGTAGAAGAGGCAATGAAAGCATTGGCTATCTTTGTGCTAGCAGTCACAGTAAAACAGAGGGTGCAAGCATTATCTGTATGATTAGGCTTAAAGTTGTAGGTGGCTAGTATAGTCCACTTGCTACTAAAGTTATTTGCAAATTGACACATTATCTACCACGTGATGTGACATAGTCCTCTAGTCTTTCTCCAATGAGTTTTATCACCCACACACACGTTCTCCCAACCAAAAAAGGAGCCATTCATTGGTATTTAAGTCTTCCTCTAGTCTTCATTGATTGATTGGTAAAAGTCTTCCTCAAAGTCTTATAAACACCCACTTTTGTCCCACTCCTCAGAACAAATAAGGAGGACATGTATTTTACTTTTTCATTTATGAGCACATGTATATTCTTTTCTGATAAGTCTACCTTTAGAATTTTCTTGGTCATTTAATATGAAAATTACATAAAGAAAGAATGTAAATTTCATACATTATTTCATTGACTAATATGTCTTCCTTTTTGTTTGTTCCCCCAATACACGATAGGAACTCATACACATCAATAAGTTTAGACATAATAGAAAATTGACAGACCAGTTAAGGAAAAGCAGTGTGTATGTGAAGAAGTGAGAAATGTAAAAATTTCCACATGAGAAAGAACTAACTGTTAGCGTTTGTTTCATTGAATGATGGGGAATGCTAGTAACATTCCTCTCCAACCTTCTCTTTTGGACCTTCTCTCTTTTCCTCATGGCATGTGTCACTTCCCATACACTTAAAATAACGACATTAATACATCAAACAAACCACCTTTTATTTTCCAAGTTTACCTTTATCAAATGTATTGTCCTTCAATTGTTCCAAATTTTTTTAACAACTCTATTACACATATGTAAAAATTATTATGTTTTTTAAAAAAGAAAATGTCTATATTTTTTAAAAAAGTTTTTTTTTTTTTTTTTTTTTTTTTTTTTTTTTTTTTTTGAAAAAAATAAACACAATAATGACCTTAAAAAAAATCCACAAAAGATATATCCTTTTTTTATACAAACAAAAGATGTTCTTCTAAGGAAGTCTGTTTTAAAAGGAAGTTCATTGATTGCATTTTCAAATCATTAATTCAATAAGTTTGATTATTGATTTTTTTTTAAACCATTAATTAGGTAAGTCTTATTTGTTGGAGTCTTTCAAAAAAAACTATTGTTTTTCTTATTTAATTTTTTAACAAGGTGATAAGAAAGTTGTAACAAATTTGGATAATAAATTTAAGGAAACATTAAAATCAATACAAAAAATAAGGGCAAGTTTGGAAACAAATGTCATCTTATTTGATGCATTAATTACATTGTTTTTAGTGTAAAGAAAGTGACACATGTCATGAAAAAAAAAGCAAGAATGTACAAAAGAGAAGGTTACAAAGAAGGTTGCTAGCATTCCTCTTATTGTAAACGACAGGAAATTGCCACAAGTTACTCTGTTCCTCAGAAAGCAAACCCATGTAAAAGGCCAATTTTTCATTTTTGTCTGCATCGGTGAAGAAAGAAGGGAAGGTTTGACATAGTCACATAGGTAATCAAGAACCAATTAAAATGACAATTAACCTAAATTACTATCATTAACATTGCTAAGATCTGATAAGTATAATGTAAAAGATAGATTGCAAGATGTCCTGAAAAAATTTGCATTGACTGAATCACCATGATCATCTCTATATTGTCAAAGCAGTTGTCTAACTTAATGAAAGAAGATCGACCTTCTACACTAGGTTTCCTGGCCATGTCTTCCATCTCTCTCACCTTCTTCCTCACCTCACCATCACCATCACCATCACCACCCACAACACATCTCACTATCTCAATCATGTTGGCCGCACAAGATCTCTATCATATTCCTACTCCACTTTTATATTCGCTGCTGCTAATCCTAAATGCATTGGGCAGTTATTCTTCATATGTAGGCCAAGCTCTCAATTTCTCCATTTCAGTCACATATATAAACCCTCCTACGGTGTGGCCACGGCCTCCACCTCCGCAGCCAATCCACAGAAGACCCCATCCCCTCAATCTGTTCTAAGTATCCTTTCTGCAACATGTCTGTGGGATGGACGCATTAGTGGTGTGTGGAACTCCCAAAAGCCCGTTAGAGCCGAGCGCATTGTGCTCTTCGGGTGAGAATTGGGGTAAAGCACTGACCCATCCACGTAGACTTTGAGGTGTTTGTCATCACTAAATATAAGTTACAAGCATGTGGCTCCAACTCGAGAAATGCATACATCATACATGGCTTCAAAAATTAAAGACCATCTTTCAACAATTGAATACACAATTGAGGGGTCAACAATCTGCCTCAACTCTGCTGCAACTATAAATCAACTCTAATGAATTTCAAATCTTAATTTATACATTTGTAGCTAAACACCTTGTTTTGAATTTCAATGTTGAGACTTCTTTGATGTTTTGTTGAAATTTCATCTTCTCTGGTTTCGACTAAATCGAAGACACATTCTTGGGGTATATGGGATACATTATGCTTGAATAGACTCGACTCTATGTTAACAAACAATCTCTTTACCTTTGGATTTGTGAATTTAAGATGAGGATTTAAATTTTCATTTTGGCAATGATTTGAAATTGATCACAGTTGAATTCACCACTATCAGATATTAATACTTCTAAAAGCTAGCTTAATAACTTATACCAAAACATCAACATCCAAATCTCTTCTTCTAAATTCACTAATCCAAACCCAACAAGAGTGACTTCTATCCATGACACTAGATGGTAGCAAGCATAATGAGGATATTTGGCTAAACCATCTGACCAAGATTTAGTGATAGCACCTCAAGAAGTGCACACAGACATAGAAAACTACTCAAACAAGTTGTGCATTTTCAAACATGATCACAGTATGAGGTTGACTCAACTCCAAGACATCAATGATCCGCCAACTAAAGTGTAGAAATTAGAAAACCAAACCCGCAATTATACACAGTCCAGTTGAATGCAAATCCTACAAGCACCAAGCACTCTTCTGAGAAATTAGCTGTATTCCATTTGCCAACCCCAACTAGCTAGCAGAACCAAATCACAACTTTCATAAATTACACTATCAAAGTTCGATCTTTTTTTTCAAATTACCTAAAAGAAATCACAAAACTCACCCAAATTGATCTCAATTACACAAAATATGTATAAACAAGCAACAGATAAACAAAATTCAGCCTGAATTGTCCATTGATAAGAAGAAGAACCAGAAAAGAACCAAACTTCAACAATTAAGAGAAACATTGCATCAAACAAACTATTTCCTTTTTAAGTAGAAAAAGAACAAAGAAAAATAATTATACTGCGATGCTATTACTGTACCATGAAAATCCATTTTTCTGAAGACGATCACCCTCGGTGGCTGTCGTAGTCGACAACCTCGGAATCCGCGAGTGATCTCGAGTGCTGGACTATGGACCGTCCGATGGAGTTGATCCACTCCTCCTTCTCCTTCTCCGAGTCGGCGATGAAGTACATAGTGTCGTGGGTGTTGGTGGAGAGCTCGAAGGCGCAAGGCTTGTGGACCACGTCCTCGGCGCCCTTCACCGTCAGGCACGTGCCCACCGGGATCACGCCGCGCGGTGTCGACGTGCGGGTAACGTTACCATCCTTGAACCAGAACAGCTTCCCCTGTTTCAAGACGAACCAGCGGCGCCGCCAGGTCTTGATGTACTCGCCTTGCTTGGTCAGCCACGTGGCGCGTTCCGGGTTGGACCAGAACTCTATCCCTGTGTAGTCTTCTGGGCTCGGGTCTTGGCCCGTCGCGGCCCGCCAAAGCCCCTCCATTTTTGGTTGAGCTGCTGCTGCAGGTGGGCTGTGCTGTTTGCAGAGCCGGGGTTTTGAAGACAGAAAGATAGATAGAGAGAGAGTAGAGAGAGATATATGCTTTGTTTCGGTTTTGGCTTGGATTCGGAAACAGAATCAGTTCCCTTGTCTAATTTCGCAACCGGAGAGATTTGCCAGCTTGAGGAGATGCGACACGACATCGTTTTGTTCGCAATTCAGATATTTCACACAAAACAAAACAACTTTTTTGTTGTGTAAGTTGTTGTGTTTAAAACTAATCATAAAAAAGCTTAAAATCGGTTTTTTTTCCAACCCAAAAAACACTTCTATTCTTTATTATTAACGGAGAAGGAATTCGAACTTAGGAACTGATAATTTTGGAAATAAAAGAACTACTAAATGTCAATGGGGGAATAGAATTCGAATGTCGAATTTAAGACATTGCAACTTTTCACAGGAAACGACAATTTTGAAAAGAAAAGTACCACTAGACCTAAAACTGAAGAGTCGACATAAGTGAGGGTGTGTCCATAAATTGTGGCTAGCTGTCCTGGTAGATCAGAGAGGTTAAGCTTGTCAATAAACTTCTAATTCACGGGTAATCGGCCACACCATGCCCAAACAGATTAAAAAGAGAATCTACATATTAGAACCCTTAGTTGGCCGGCAAACATGATTTCTTTTGCGAGCATGTTCTTCATTATGGTGCTGTGTTCGACATGCATATCCGTACCAGCAATTTTCCCTGTTTGATGCCTCCGGAGGTAGATGATTTTTGGGAATCGAAATCCGAAACCAGTACAAGAGGAATGAGATCAATTTCTCATAACAATTGTTGCACGTAGGTGTCCCAGAAGTTATCATCTCAGCATGATTCAGCGGCATCCTTGTCCGGTCAATTTCTCTGTTGTTCAACTTTGCAATCCATTCTGCTATAACATCCTGCAATGTTCTCCCCAACTGTGCAATACACTTCTCAGTGATAACTTGTTCATGTCGATTGTTTTCGTGTGCCGAAGTAGGAATTCTAGAGATGGTGTGTTCTGAGATTGGTTTAAAAGTCTCCCGACTGCACATGCGATGAGAATCACTATGTCCAACCCTTTGTGCATTCCAATATGCACCACAAAATGCCTTATCACATCCTAAACAGTGTTGAGGTACACTGATATTGGTTCGCAAAGGCATCATTCCTCCGCATGCTTGACATTGCAGATGAATAGTGTTTTGATTGCAGCGAAACCCACCAAATTCAGTACCACATTGAGGGCATGGAAGTGGTGAATCATCAACTGCCTCGTTCACTTCTGAGCGAGCCCTTTTCCCACGGAGGCTTTTTCCAGAGCTTACGACAAGATTTGATCGTATTGTTGCATAGGAATTTAAAATTGCCACTTCTTCATCGGAGCGTTTTAGTGAAGAATCCGCTTTTAGTATTTCCTCCGCAATGTTAAGCAGGAAATGATTTCTTCCAACAAATTGGACAACTGCTCGACATTGGGGACAGAGTACACTTGAGCGTTTCTCCTGTGATCTCCTTAACCACTCTGAAAAGCATCCATTGCAGAAGTTATGGAAGCAAGGAGAAACAGTAACAACTTCATGCCATATATTTAGACAAATGCAGCATTTTGCATGCTCAACATCCATAGAAATCTTTAACTGCTTCTGACAAGTTTCAGGACCAGGCAATACATTGAACCTGTAGCTTAAGTACCCTTCCTTATCAGGACCTGAAGTAATTTCACTTCCACATCTGATAACAACAGTGTCATCAGCTTGGATTACAGTCCCATCAACGAACATTGCATTTGAACTTTTATTTTGTATGGTGGCAGAAGAATGGTCTGAGCTCCTTGTTATTTTGCACCACTTCCATTTGTCAGTAGAAGAGAACAAGATCTCTGAGCAAATTACAATCTCGTCTGAGCTAATCTCAACATCTGGATATCTCGAGTCTGATGGAACAAGCTTGGCCCAGATTTCGCAAGAAGGTTTTGCACCTGAGCTTTCTCCAACTTCCACCATCCCTTGCCTATATTCAAGAAGGAACCCGGAAACCTTTAAGTTAAACCTCAGAGATAAGCAACCAACCATTTTTGTTTTCATTAAACAAGTCCAAAATAATTATATCCGTTCAACTATTTAATAGCCACAGAGAAAAACTTCATTAAATATTTAATCATCTGACAAATTCTTACCAAACATAAAATAAAACTCTCCACATCCAAACACAAACTTAAAACAAGTCAGTTTGGCACTCAAAAAACTTCTTTCCGTGAATGCAAATAGTCAGCTCCAATAAATATGCTACGGTATCCAGCGACACCAACCAAACATTTCAACACCAATAAACAGACCAACTTCAAAATTCAGAAATCTTACAACCACATAAATTGAAGCATAACAGTTCCAATTAAATATAAAAGCTCTTAACTCATAACATAACCACATACAAGAAAATTTCATGGAAGACAGTACGTGTCAATTAACAAGAGAGTAAAAAAGGCTTGAGAAAAGGGGTCTCCAGCAATGGCAGCAGTTCTGGCCGGAAATGGTTCATTCTACGATTCATATATAGAACACATACAAACTGATTTTAGGGTTTTGTAATTTGTGAACGGGTGGAGCCAGAATTGTCATTCTTAGAAAGCCACTTTCTCAATTTTGAATTAATACCAGGACTCCAAGATTGTTAAACCACAGAAATTGTATGTGCTGATTTCCCCCAAAAATTTCAATTCATCAAAGATCCAAACATTCATATCTAGAACCACATGGACGTATATCATATTTTCTCTATGGTCTTAGTTTTGAACCTTCTCCCTCAAGATTTGCTTTCTTGCATGCCCTAATCTCCACAGGATTTTACATATAGGATATTGAAATATCTATTAGGTTATGAAGAACTGATAGGTTTCACTAAGGAAAATTGTAAATAAATAAATTTAAAAAAAACCAAAATTTAAATCCTGATAATAAAAAGTGAAAAAAAGTTTGCAACTTTAGCCAAAGTTTCATACTTGAACCCTTCCAAGTATTTGAACCACTTCAAGCAGTACTAAAACCTATGTCTAGAGAATATTACCAGATTTTTCTATCCATAAAACCGCAAGAAAATTCCAGCCATTACAAGAAATTAGAAATGAGATTATGAACCCACACAAAAAGAAAAACAAGAAACAAAAAAGATCTGAAGAAAGCAATACCTGTGGGAACAAAACAAGGCTGAAAGGTCAGATGGTAATAATGGGAATGAGTGAAACTGCCGCAAACAGAGCCCCAAGAACTGATTTAAAGAAGAAGAAGAGAACTGCGTCAGCAAAAGTAGAGTGCCGAAGAAGGCTCTGCAACTAAAAAAGACAGAGATAACTGAAGAAGAGCGAACACTAAGTATTGGGCTTGTCAAGATTGGGCCCGCTATTGTATTCTTGTAGTGGGTTCGCTAAAAGTTTTGATCTTGACAACATAACCAAGTTTTTTTCGACCCACATAAAACATAACAAGTCGTGGCTCGTTTGATAACCATTTTAACTTTAGTTTTTATTTTTTACGCTAGAATATGAAGAAAATTAAAATGAGAATGGGAGTTATGATGAGATTGTGAGAGAGTATGAGAGGGGAGGATGGGAGGGATGAATAATAAAAGTGAAAATAAAAACTTTAAAGTGAAAACAATTTCAAATAAATTTCAGTTTTTAATTTTTGTTTTACTTTTATTACTCCTCATTCCCATCTTTCCCCCTCATCTTCCCTCTTTATCCCATTTTTGCTATTATTCTCACTTTCATTCTTCATCTTTTTCCTCTATACTCTAGCACAAACAATAAAAAATAAAAACTCAAAACTCAAAACTAAAATTGAAATGATTAACAAATGATCCCTTAATAAGTTTCTATTCTATTTGCTTTGCACCAAGTTTTTGCTCATCGCATTACTTATTTTTGTGGTTGGTGTAGTTGTCAATGTAGCTGTCAATTTTTTTGGGTGAAAATTTACTTTAACTAATCAATTTTTCTCTGTGCAGGACCGCCCATGTATCATTTGAGTGGTCGGGCAAAATCTCTCTCGAGTCTCGACTGACAGCGACTTCTCATGATATTCTTACTATGTTTTTATTATTTTTGTGACATGATTGTTGACTTAAGGTATAGTCCAAAACTCGAGAATTAAAACCTAAAGTCTAATTAATTAATGCGTCGGATGATCGACACCAAAAAAAAACATAAAAATTACATGTAGTGACATGTAATTTTTATGTTTTTTTTTTTAGTGGTGTAAAAACTACTTAACTAACATAAAAAAAACATAAAAACTACTTAACTAACTTTTTAGTGGTGCAAAAACTCTTTTATGTTCTCCAATGAAACCAAAATTTATCTATACGTGGATCATGTCGTGTATGTTGTGGACATGTGGTCTTGTCCATTTGCGAAAGGCAAAAGTACAGAAGAAGAAAATGATGATGATGATGATGATGAGAACGAGCAAAGAAAGACAAATCACGATAAGGCTTCCTTCCTTTGACACGTATAGTTAGCTCACACGTTATTATCTACTCTCCATCCCTCAAACTGCAGGATTGTCCGTCAAATTTATCAATTATTAGCTTTCTCCTACCTCCAGTCCTCCATTTTCAAGGTAACAAATTCATCTCTTTCAGCTCCTTTGATGTTTCAGTTCATATGTGCTGCTGATTGTCTGTGGCCTTTGCTCTCTCTCTCTCTCTCTCTCTGTGACTGTTTTGGTGTTTTGGTTCTATATACCTATATGTCTACTTAGTTTTAAACCTAAAAAACATGTGGAAGAAAGAGGAGATTGTATTGTTTTTGGCCTTTTCATTTATGAAATTCAACTAAAAGGATATGTCCATGTAGTAGTATAGGTTGTTTAATTGTGCATAAGTTGCTGCTAATCAATGAAGTTTTTTATCATCAAACAGGTCGCTTTTTTCGGAGAAAATTTGTATTAGTTTACACGCATAAGTAGTTGGAAGATCAGGATCAAACTCTCCTACCTGAGACTGCAGCTATGGCTACCACCAAGATATACGTAGTGTAAGTATCTATATCCTTTTTTCTTAATTTCTTGCTCAGATGCATTATTTGGAGGCATTGGATGTTGAAACTACTTCTTGCAGGTACTACTCCTTACATGGACATGTCGAGACTATGGCACGCGAAGTACAGCGCGGTGTTAATGCAGTCGAAGGTGTTGAAGCAACACTTTGGCAGGTAAAATCTTTGATTTGATTATAATTAACAGCATATTCGAATGCTTGTAAGGCAGAGTGGCCCTTTAGTTTTTCTGAATTGATCTTTGTTTGACTTGATTAGAATGGAGCAGGTACCTGAGACACTTCCCAGTATCATTCTGCAGAAAGTGAAGGCCCCTACCAAGGCAGATGATGTGCCGGAAATAAGGCCAGAGCAACTTGTGGAAGCTGATGGTTTCCTCTTTGGGTTTCCTTCTCGTTTTGGTGTGATGGCAGCGCAGTTCAAGGCCTTCTTTGATGCCACTCATGAGATATGGGAAAAGCAAGCACTTGCTGGCAAACCTGCTGGGATCTTCTGGAGTACTGGATTTCATGGGGGAGGGCAGGAGCTCACTGCGTGGGTTTTCGCTTCTCCTCTGAAACATTTCGGCTATATATCAATTTACATATGCTCAACTTTATAGGTGCAATGCAACATTGTTTTCTTGTAGTTGATTCTTTGCCATGATCCATTTGTTTGCAGATTAACAGCCGTAACACAATTAGCACATCATGGCATGATATTTGTCCCTCTTGGCTACACATTTGGAAGTGGCATGTTTGAAATGAGTGAGGTGAAGGGTGGATCGTCTTATGGCTCTGGAACATTTGCAGCAGATGGATCTCGTCAGCCGACGGAGATAGAACTCCAACAGGCATTTTACCAGGGTAAATATGTGGCTCAATTTGCAAAGAAGCTCAAAAGCTAAACCCTTTTAGCATAACAAATACGCTTAGGCTGTGTCTGGACAGAGGCATTTTAAGATGTTATATGCTTTATGTGGTCTCAATATGAAAATAATTATTAACCATAAGTTGATGAATGAAGATTTCATCTCACTGCTTCCTTGATATTGCAATTGTGTAAGGTTTGCATATGCGATTGTTATTAATTTGGTTAAACAGTACATTCCCATAATCTGACATAATATAGTGTCCTAACATCAGATCTTTTACTTTTATCAAAATCACATGTCTCACCTCAACTCTGGAGTGTAAAATTGGAATTGCTGAAGGAAAAAAGGTGAAAACAGATTCTGTAGGCGAATAAAAACTTCATTTATCAACAAACGAGGACTCAGCAAGATCAATAGCGCGCGCAAGAGCAGCAGCTTTGTTCTCACACTCTCTCTGCTCATCAGCTGGATCACTATCAGCCACAATTCCAGCCCCAGCTTGCAGATGAGCAACCCACTCTCGTCGCTTGTTCACATCCTTGTATGAATACATTGTATCGTACCGGAAGCTAGTTGGGAAAACAATAGTTCTCAGAGCAAGGGCAATGTCCATATTGCCAGAAAATGAAATTCCTCCAAAACCACCACTGTATGGACCACGTCTGGTTACTTCCAGCTGATCAATCAGCTCCATGGCTTTTACCTGCATTGCAGCAGAGAGCTAAAAATGAGAAAATTCAATAATAAATCCATCTAAGATAAATTAGGAAATCGTGGCATCAGGTTGCACATATCTACCTACTACATGTACCAATAATGGTGTGATAATCCTATCCCTAACCAATTAGGTTAACCCTCTTCGACAGTTCAATGTCTGAACTTGCAGGATTATACAGGTTATGGCCAATTATCCAATTAATTAGAAATGAAACAAATTTGCAAAACAAAAGCTGGAAAAGGGCTGATGATGAAAACCTTTGGTGCTCCACTGACAGTCCCAACCGGCAGCGCAGTACGTAGAGCATCCCAGCTAGTTAAATCATCAAGTAACTCTCCAGTGACCTGCAATGACAATTGTAAATTTTCATCCCTAAATTAAATTGATTGTTGTTGATAGTACACTGATGAAAATAACCTAAGAGTACATTCTTGTCATCCACAGACTTTGGATATTATATCCATGAGAAAAAAAATTTTGAAAGTAATGTCTTAGTTATTAATCTCTAAAAGATATTAGGCTACCTATTAAGTGCATTGAGAAAGGAAATACTTACCGTAGAACTTATGTGCATGACATGGGAATAACGCTCGATGTTCATGAGCTTCTCAACCTTGACAGAACCAGGTTTTGAGACCTGCACGAACAAATTATTAAGCATGTGATCATGGCTACAAGATACTAAAGAAACATAGCAGATTATGATACAAATCTAATAAATATAAGCAATAGTGGTCACTTAAGGCATGAACAGAAAAGCCACCAAGTGTAAACTTTTTTAGCCGATGCTGAATAACGAAATATTGTTTCCTACCACTGACAGAAAAGATACAGTAGACTGAGAATTGCTTTCGACAAAAATAGAAAATAGTTCCACTTCATACTATATGGAACCTCCACATTGGCCCAAAGTCAACAAGGCACACCACCAAATATTGAATCTCTAGTTCAAAGCAAAGTAGACTCTTCAGACTCTCATTCAAGAATAAACCACTACAAAGTAACAGATCTTTTTGGGCGAAATTTGCAAGATGGTAATGCATATTGACTTACTAGGATGTTTCAAACACCAAGGGACAAGAATGATATTCAATTTATCCGTCAGAATGAATCCTCAGGACAATGGCGTCTGCCAAAAGTAGACTATTAAGGATTGCATCTCAACCTCAAAATTACAGTATATTTACAGTTTTACAATCTTAGAGTAACATTCGGCATACATTAGAATGTGAATAAATACATAAATAGGAGAAAGATAAAAGTATAAACCTTCCCGACATCATTCCTCCCCAAGTCTACAAGCATGATGTGTTCTGCACATTGCTTTTCATCATTCAGAAGCTGTTTTTCCAACATCAAATCTTCTTTAGCTGTTTTTCCTCTTCTAACAGTCCCAGCAAGCGGTCGATTGGTGATCGTTCTCTATTACAAAAATAAAAATAAATGCACAACTGAGCAAATTTATAACTAATGAAAATGACATCCCTGTGGTAGGAAAACTAAAGTAAACAAAGAAAACATAATATGTAGGACATCTCGTACAAATTATCAAAGGTCAAGTAATATTACGATTACACACATAATAAGAGGCTTAAGAGCTAGCAACAGATTATGTTGAAATTTTTAGTACATCTAGTTGTGCTTACCTTCTTGACGTGTGTAAGGATTTCTGGACTTGAAGCAACCAGAATACAGCCTCGAGCCTGATCACAGAAGTATGTACTTATAATCTCAGAATTACAAGGTGAACAGGAAAATTAAAAACAATGGTTCACTGAAAAGGAAGCAAACCTGCAAATAAGTCATATAAGGACTTGGATTCACTATCCTCAATGCTCGATAAATTTCAAATGGGTCTGCAAATGTTCGCCTCTCGAAACGCTGACTTAAGACAATCTGAAATATATCCCCAGCTAGGATGTGTTCTTTGGCTTTCAAAACTGCCTCCTTGTATTCCTCACTTGTCAAGCTCGAATCCTCCAATTCAGGACCAAAAAGTTGAGTGTTGAACTCTATTGAACCTGCAGGCAGCCTCGGGCTGAAATTGACAGTTGATACATTCTTACATCAACCTTACGATTACAAAAGAAAATGTAATGAAAAGTATGGAAAACTAACTCTCCACCAAATAAAATAAATAAATTTTTTATATAAAATAAATCAAATAAAAAACCACACCCCCAATATCTTTTTATTACGTAAGCATAAGTTTGAAATAAAAAATTGATTTAAAGAGGATGGGATGAGTAGAACATAGGACAGGAACAAAAACTCACAAAAGAAAAATATAAAAGAAACACGAGAGAAAGGAATTGATTACTCACGTGATAATGTCATGCACTCTAGATACCAATGTTTCCAATCTATTTATTCCATCATTGAAGGCCTCCTCAACAGAAGAATATTGATCTAATTGCACCCAGTGAATTACATGTGCTTTCTATAGTAGACAAAATTAAGAAATAAAAATGGTTAAACCCACAAAAGGTAGCATCCTATTTTGTTCAAATCAAAATTTACAACCAAAGCTTGTAATTACCTAATTCTCCTAGTTCTACATATGGAGTAAGATGCAAATATCTTGTTTCACCATGGAGGAAAAAGCGAACATGAACTTTGAAGGGAAAAAAAAGAAAGAAAAGAATATAAGCAAAAGAGAGAGTAATTTGGAAGAAAGAAACTCTTTTAGCAAAGTAGATGAATTTATGTTGACATGCATTTGAAATCTAAGTGTTTCAATCTATTTATTTCTCTTCACTGAAATCTAGCGTGAAAATCTAAGTACCTTCTTCACATGATCGAAGACTATCACATCATCATAAAGGCCAAGATGAACATCAGGAAGATTTCTGTCATCTGGTGGTGCACTTGCAAATGGCAGCTTTTTCGTCTCAACATAACGCACTGTATCATAGGAGAAGTAGCCAACCCACCCACCTGGTTAAAGAGAGTGGATGTTATTAAGCACCAACCAGTGACTTCAAAGATCTCCATTGTCCTAGGACCGAATTAGACAATAATACGGGGATAAATTTATGGCAATTTTTTGACAAATAAGTATATTAAACAATACATAGCATTTGTGTCAACACAATACATGTACAGATTAATAAAATGTACAGGAAGAATATGAGTAAGGCTAGTCCAAAATTTTGAAACAAACTAAGTGAAAAAATTAAGCAAAGCATGTTCTCCTTTTTCAGAATAACTTGACCACAACTTCATGAGTCTAAGTTGTGTAACATTAATGAACAACATACAAGGAGTGTTGGTTTGTTTAGAACTGATAGGATTGAGATATGGATACTATGAGAAAATTTAAAGTTAGTTATTCTACCACAAAATGCTTCTGGAAGTTCATCAACAAGTTGGGGTGTCCATCCCTCCATGATTCTCTGGGGAACAGTCATTGGATCTTCCACGATCTCCTCTGTCCTACACCCTTCTCTGTGGTCCATAATGGTAACCATGTTCTCTTTTGCTACGATTTCAATGGACGGTTGGGCTCCAATAACACTGTACCGCCCCTAGCAAAAGATTGACATAAAAATTTAATTAGTGATCCAGTATTATCTAAGGTTAAACCCAAACAAATACAAATGTGAAAAAGACTGAAGGGGCTTACAACATTAGAGTCCTTGGAACCCGGCTCAACTGACTCAAACAGAAAACTTGGAGCATCTCTGTCATCCTCCTTAACCAGACACCGGTAAGCAAGCACAGGAGTTAAGTGATCAGAGAATATGCTTCGATATAGAGGAATTAAATTCCCCTTCTTTGAAGCCTCTACAAACTTCTCTGATTGGTCCGCTGGAGGAATTAATCACACCAATCAAACCTCACATTAACACATTACAAACAAAACTCATCTAAGGATGACAATCTACTTTCCTATAAATCAAATACCAGAATTTATGAGAAAGGTTGGGAAAAGAGAGTAAATTTTGAATTATGATATTGTTTATATACTTCTCAATTTGGGACCAAATATAACAAAGACCACAACTATTAGTTTTCAGCTTGTGGGAGCCAAATTAGTTTTTATAATGTAAATCAAAATACCATTAAGTACAAAGCTTACAAATTCAATTTCTTTTCTTTCCCCTGTTTTCTCCTTGACCAAACAGACACCAATACTCAAAATGTGAATGCTCAATATGCATTTCCCCTTAAAGTTCTACACTTTCTCGGAAACCAACCAATCATAGCCGAGAAAATCAACATGCATATTCCACCTTTTCCTCACAAGATAACGAGAAAATGTACCTAATGAAGGAGATGAGAGAGCCGAGCATCTCAATGTACGGACACGCGGAATGGCGCGAAGCAGAGCTAGAGAGCTGGAGGCTCTGCCGCGAAAGTTAATGGAGACCGTTGACGGTGATGTACGAGTTGACGGCAGTTGACGGGAGCCAACGGCTAGGGTTTCCATGGTGAAACAAAACGAAAGCAGGCTGATTTGAACTTTCGTTTTGGTCGGTTGAGTTTTGAACAGACGAAGTCAGTTGTCAGAGGATGAGACGGGAGAGGAGTGTGGCGGAGCCATACAGGCTATTGGGCTTTTGACTTGGGCCCAAAATCTCTCAAATATGGAAGGGTAACCCTGAATCTACAAGAGAGAGATATTTAGTTTATAGTGAAGTTGAAAATTGACAAGTGCACACATGAACTAATATTGCTATAGATGATGCATGAACCATAGGCACATACATGAACTAGAGTATTCATGAACAGTTACTAATGAAATACATGAATTCAACATTAAACATGTGTTTAATTTATTTATTAAGTAAATGAACCCAGAGTAACTGTTCATTGAACCTTGCTCTTGATTATGATGCCTCATCATACTCCCTTGCTCGAAGAAAACTCGACTCTGAGTTTTTGCTAGGATTGTCAATGTCATCTAAAGGATAATACTCAAACAAGTCTGCCACATTAAATGTGAAAGAGATGTCCATGTCCATTGGCGGAGCCAATTAAGGCCCACAAGGGTTACTTGACCCTTCTCAACATTTTGAATATATTTATTTGTGTTATTCAAGTTGTTTTATAGCTATATTTACTATATTGACCCTTCTTACAAATGTAAATTGTCTATAATAAACATGAATATGATCTATATTTGTTTTCATATCGTCATGTGTCATGGATTTTATTTGATTTTCTCATTCTATCTAAAATCAACTTTTAATACTCTTTTATTATTTTTAGGTTGCTAGAATCTTCCACATACATGGTCCAAACCAAAACATGCTTTAGAGGATGATAATAAACAATAGAAATTTGAGACTTTCCAGTTGAGCAATTAGCCATGCTGTGTATGCAAACTCAGCTTGTGCTAAAGCAAAATCCTATTGTTTGGCCTTGTCTCTAGAAATACAACGAACAAAATTTCCAAGAATACGGTTGACCACCTCGGTTTGGCCATCTGTTTGTGGGGGACTGGTACTACTAAATTTGAGAGTAGTATCAAATCGTCGCCACAAAGTCCTCCAAAAGTTGGACAAGAACTTAGTATCACGATCTGAAGTGATGGATTTAGAGACACCATGCAACCGGACGGACAATCACCTTGAAAAAAGGATTGGCAATGTTTGTATCGTCTGCTGTTTTCTTAGAAGCCACAAAATGTGCCATCTTTAAATATCTATCCACAATCACAAATATTGATTCCATACCTCTTTGAGTTCGAGGTAAACCCAAAATAAAGTCCATAGACAAATCTTCCCAAAGAGCCTCCCGTATAGGTAGAGGAATGTAGAGACTTGTGTTCTGTGACTACCCTTTAGAGACTTGACATATTGGACACTTCTTTACATAATTCCCCACGTCACGCTTCAATTGTGGCCGATAATACCTTTCTTCTGCAAGAGCTATTGTTTTATCTCTGCCCAAATGCCCACTTAATCCGTTGCTATGGAGGTCGCGAATTAAATGCTCTCTCAATGACAATGATCCTCTTGGAATGCACAGCTGATTGCCTCAAAATAAATACCTATCTTCATCTTCACAGTACAATTCCTTGAGATAATCAAATCCAATTACTTCAGCACGCATGGTCACAAGGATGCCCTCCTGCTTAAAGCATCAACAACACGATCAAAATTGCACACTCGTAACTAAATTTGAAAATCAACTCATAATTAATTCTTCTTGCAGTCACTAAAACAAGCTTTCACAATCTCTTACGTATCAACTGGACCTGCACAATTCAGTGCTACAATGATTAGATCCTTCTAAATTGGAACCAAAATCATATTAAGTTAGTTTGCTAAAAAAAAGGGTGCCGTGAGGTTGCCAATGCATACACTTGGAATAAATCTAAAAAAATAAACCGTTCAAATCATTGAATCCCGTTCCAACGTTGAACACTGATGCCGGTACTTTCATGAAAAGAGAGAGAGAGAGATTGAGGCCAAGAAATTAGTCATATTATATTGAAGAATGTCCATGGCCAACTCTACACATTCCAAAGTACAACGGTCGACAACATTTGAGCTATGATCATCAAGAGAAGAGCTATTCAAGAAAACTACGGTCCTTAACACATTGCTTAACGCAGCTGTAATATCCAGGAGATCGACACAGCTCCGTTGCAAGGCAATGTCCTTCGCATCCATTGTAACAGGTCATGTTAAGAGTTCTTCTCTGATGAGAAATTGAAACCCCATTGATAGAAGAAGCCACATTATTGCCTTGTAAAACAAGAAGCACAAATAATGCAACCAACAATGTCATTAAATTCATATTGCAAATGCAATTGTGTGTATAATATTTCTAAATATCCATGGTTCGCAATTTGTAGTGTAACATTTCGACTGTACATGCAGATGATTGGTTGCATAGAATTGTGTTTGATATATATAGCGAGCTTCGATTGACGGATCCCTCAAATAAACTTATTTGATAGACATCCTTGTAGAGTCCACCATACATTCCAAACATCTATTTTGTAGATATTCATTCGAATATCATCTCTGCAAAAAAAATTAATTGAATTTGATATCATTTGACTACTTAATTAAATTATTGAAATTTTAGCACTTTCTTAAAACATCATATTCATTGATTTGTAAGACACAATTAGATGTCTAAATGGTTTCCGATTTGTCTAATTTTTTGTAAGGATGATCTCAAATAAAATTATTTGAGAAATCCCTCAATAGACGGAGATTTTAAATATATTTATATATATTTATAAACTTATTTGAAAGATCCCTCAACCAAAGCTCACTGTATATACATATATATATATATACACACATAAAACTTTTTAGATAAAGATCAAAGAGAAATCCTGGAATATTTTATTTGTTGAGAAAATCAATTTGATGGCTTTTCAGCCTATCTTGCTAGTTTTGGCTTTACAAAGCCATAGGCTAGGGGTCACTATTTAAAAATTGCAGTGTTTAATTGGGATATAAATTGGAATAGTGATGAGCCTTTGTTTGCAGAAAATCAATGTGTTTACAAATTTTTATATAATTTGTTCAAAATATATTTTTTCAATATTAAAGTATTCTATGATAAAATAACTCAATTTTACTACACAAGACAAGAACCTGTAAATCACATTGAAGAGTCAACTTAACTGTTATTGTATTTCTTTTTGGCAAGCCAACTGTTCTTAATGTGATACCAACTCAGATTGCAATCTGAAGCTAAAGAAACAAATCAATTCAATTATGTTTTCAGAAAGAAAAAGAATGTACAACAATTAGTAAAAGCAATGACAAAGTTACATCTTCTGTATAACATAAATTATTCAATGTGTTTTCTCTATTATTTTGTTCTGTATCTTAAAAATAAAAAATTTATGGAGGATGATATGGCAACATTGAACTTTTGGGCAAACGAGTTCTGAATTTAGACGGTTCGCATCATTGGTAATCTGCATTTAAACAATAACATGAAAACTATAAGAAATAAACCAAGACAACAATAATTTTAGCTTGCAAATCATCAGCAAGTCAGTTTTCATAGGGCAAAGCTATAATTTCTTATTTCAACTGCAATGAATAATCTTTTACCAGCATGTACTATTTACTAAACATATGCAATCAAAATGAACATATTCATTCTTTTGGTTGATCACATTCACTGCAATGCAGTTATCTAACTGTATGAGATGCAGAATTCATACTCAAAGAAAAAGCATTTCAAGGTAAATGTAAAAGGCAAGGTTTCTGACCTTCTATTGAAATTTGAAGCAGGATGAAAATGCGAGTCACCAAGATCAAGCATAAGAAGAATGATGATTCAGAGTCCATATTCTTCGAACATAATTATTGAAGGCAGTTCCGAAAGAAACGAATTCCCTGTTCAAACATGAATAGCTAAACATTAAGAAGCTGAAAGAAATGATAAGAATACAACATAAATGGAAAGCTCAGTTTAAGAGGCTTAGATATGTGTCCTCACCTGCAATGCAAAGGTGATGTCCGCTTCATCTACATTCAGTGTTACTCTTTTAGATTTTTCATCTCGACATTGACCACCCAGCTTCAGGAGGCCCTACACTTAGGATTATGCCTCAGTGAGTAACTTATTTCTCCTTCTCCAAGTTGGTAAATTAGTATTAAATCTAATTGTGTAGTATCAGAGAACAGAAATACTAAGACTGTTATACTAACAATGCTTTTTCTTACCTGGTCACTTAGCACTCTGCACATACTTGAAAACTCAAAAACTCCAACTGGGGGAATTAGTGTTGATTTGCAGATGTCTATGTAAGATTTATTTAGCTGCAAATGTGTGACAAATTCAGAAATCAGTAACATAATTTTTCCATGCTTCCCGTTATCTTTTATCATCAAACAATGGCCAGGAAACACACCTCTGTTACAGTTGAATCCTTCTTTTTCCTACGGAAAAGCTTCACGGCAGAGCAAAGTATAATCTGTGGAGAGAAAGGACAGTTGTATTAAGATTAATTATGTGAGATGCAGGGAGCAAATATAAGACAGGTGTAAAATTAGTTCACAGCACTTGAATATAAAAACCTAAACTGCTTGGAACTAAAGACATCATTTTTCAAGAATTGAAATACTCTTAAGTCCCACAGCCTGCATACAAATACAAGTGGTACAAATCACCAGAAGAAGGATTACCTGTTGATGTTGCGGAAGACATTGTACAGTATCCACTACTGGTGATTTGTATGTCTTTGACAAAGCAGCAGCCATATGACCAATTTTCACCTGCAACACACGCAAGTGAATATTTAACATTTATATACTTCAAAGTATTTACTTGAAACTCTTAGGATTTCAGAATGTATTGGTAATAATAAGACCTTAGAGTTACAAATGAATCAAATAAAGGTCATGGAGTTGGAAAAATTCATGAAATATTGTTGCAGGAATGAAAGGATGAACTTGAAAAAAATGCTTGATAAGAAAACGATACTGAACAAGGAAAACAAAACTACATTTGTCAAGAGTCTTGTGGGGACCAATAGGGATCACTTACAATATCAATCTCCGGTTTTTTCACAACTGGAGCAGGAGCCATCTGCTGCTCAAAAAATGCATCTACTACTGGTGATGAATTCAAGTTGTCATTAGATTCTTTCAGTTCCGCTTCCAGAATCTCAATTGCACTCCTGGAAAATAGTTAGCAAAAGTTAGCCTCATAACCCCACACAAAGCTCCTACAAGTACAATCAAAGTCACCATCCTTATTGAGACATTTGCTGATACTAATATGACTCCTAAGTCCTATCACCATCCTATTGAGACATCTGCTGATACTAATATGACTCCTAAGTCCTAAGGCATTTACATTTTCTGATATATTGATGAATCTAAGGCGCTTGCTCCTTTCATACATATTCTTGATTGCACAGTCAAATTCTTGCACCTTTTCTACAGTTTATGATGTAACTCAACCAAACTAACCTGCAAATACAAAGAGCTTTCCTCATATCTCCAGATGCAGCAGCAACTTTCTGCCATTTTTCACAGTCAGTACTCAGCCTATGAAACTGCTTATAATATAAAGAACGATAACACAAGGATCTTCTGGAGAATATAATAAACAGCAAACTCACTCTGGCACAAAGTTCCAATGCTTGTGGTTGAAAGACGGTGTGAGGTAGTGTCTGTTGGAACAGAAAAACAGCTGTTATTAAGTAACACTAGATACCAAGACCATAATTGGTTTCTCCTCATAATTAAAAAGTATGAGAGAACAAGACTTGTTATTACATGCAAAAAAGTAGCACAAACTTACCATTAGCCTCTCCTGAAGAATCCTGATAATCTGCTCCACATTGTAGGCCCGAAAAGTTATAACCATAGGCTTGCCTAAAGCAAGAATATGAAAGCACAAACATCAGTAAGTACTACACCCCAAATACATTTTAGCTTCTTATTGCGCAAAAAGGGGTAAAAATATTAGATATTTGGACTCACAATTTAATGACTGAAGTCTTGGAAGAAAACGATCAGCCAGGTCAATGGCATTTGCCACTCCTGCAAACATAACAAGAATATGAGATCTAAACACAATACAATCTGCAAAGGAGTTAAAACCAACTTTACAATTATTACCTATGAGTACACATCTTGAGAATGGGTACGTTGTGAGCATGAAAAGATCATGAAGCACCGCCCGGTCTTTAGTAATTAAAAAATCCAACTCATCAGCTATTATCAACCTGAAAAAATGGAAACCACTTGAGTATAACCACACTCTTGATGATAACACCAATTTGTTAGGATGAGCAACTAAGCATTCAATGTCATAAAGACATCCTACTCATATCTAATTTTTTAGATTTTTAACCCCAACAAATATATAAGGAAAGGAGCAATGTGTGTTTATGTGGGCATAAAATATTGCATGGATTGTGGCAGATTGAGGATAATTTGCTTACGTCATCTTCCTTCTAGATGTCTGAGGCTTTTGAGAATACAAGTTCTGGAGAAGCTGCAGGGCTGAGGTAGTACTTTTAACTTTCTTTGGTGGTTGGTCTTTACCAAGTATCTGCCAATGCAAACCAAACCAAATGTAACCACATTCTGCTACTATAACTTATAAGTTATAATCAACAATAGAATAAGCTGTAAGAATCATTACCTTGCTAAAAATATCAGAAGTCTTCGTTAGAGAACTGCAATTTAAAGCCAGCACATCTGGCTCCTGAAATCCAGCCTGGTAGTAAGATCAATTCACAGTTTTAACACTTTGGATTGAAATAAACACAAACTTAACAACAAACACATTTTAGAACTTAAAAATGAATCAAACATTCTAGAGACCTAAAGTATTGAGGTACAATAAGCTCACCTCTCCTGCCCAGTCAACCAAAGCTTGTTTCACTTTTTCAATGGACAACGATTTTCCAGTACCGGGGCAACCACAGATATATAAACTCCCAGCCTTCTCTTGCTCAATGCATGCCTTGCAGAACTCCAAAACCCTCTTCTGCTCGTCTTCGCGGCACGAAACAGTAGACGGCACAGTTGACACGTGTAATGCCTCCTTCGCCTCACTGATTTGCTTAACATCTACAGCCAAAACCATTTGTTAATTCTTAGACCAAACAAACACATTTTCCCTAAAATTGAAATTGATTTTGCTTAAACAATACTTGCCTTTGGGATCCCATTTCGGTTTATCGATTGATTTCTCAACTGATTTGCAAAAAGTTTGAACCTTCTTTTGGCTGAAATATTTCTCAATTCCCTGCAAACAATTACAGATGAATCAGAAACGAAAATCAAGTCCTCCATGAAATTAAACCAACAACTTAATCAATCTTGCACAATCATTTAGCGGATTCTATTTCATAAAAATTAAAGCGAATCTCACATTTGCGGAACTGTTAGCGCAAGCACTGAGTCGCCGGCGAGGCGATCCGAGTTTCATCGGCTTGGATATCGGACTAAGCTTCATCGGCGACGAACTGGATCTGAGCTTCCGCCTCTGAGGAGTTGAATTGCCGGCGGATCCGACGACCTCGGGTGCGTTCTCCGATTTGACGGCCATGACTTCGTCGTCGTTGAGTTCAAGGCTGCGTTTGGCAATGGCAGGCATTGTGTTTGAAGGAAAACGAGAAAACGAAGGCTTGAACTCGCGGCAATGAAAATTGTGTGCAGGCGCGCTGGGCTTGAACATGCGGGAACGAACGGGTGGGAACCCATAGATAAAGGTATTTTTTTCGCGGGAATAAAAATTCGTTTTGGCGCGCTGGCGCGCGCGAGTTACAAACTCAGGGGGCGTGACAACCGATATGTATATGTCCGAAGGTGGGCTCCACCCGGTCGTGCTTGGTCCAGGCCCATCCATAGGAGCTGAAGGTTAGGGTCCTGTCGACACGATTAATTATACGAGTTATACTTGTGTTGATTTATACCCTCGCCTTTTTTATCTTTTACACAACAAAATATTGGAGAAATGGGAAATTAATTACATTAGATTCTCAACGATGTTCAAGCCGTATCCAGGGCCGGAGTTATAATTGTAGAGTTGAGAGGGGCGAAGTAGAAAATACAAGTATATAAAACACTTAAATATTCAATAATTATATGTTTAAAGCTAAATATTTATAATTTAGTCATGTCTAATTTGTTTTAGAGGGAACTATAACTTAAATTATAAGTTGTTTATTACAAAATCTATATGTTTTATATAATATAATAGAGAAGATATAAAAATATGGGGGGGCCAGGGCCACTTCAGGCAAAAAAAATCTTACATCTAACGGGGATAACATTGTTTTGCTATCATCTACCAATAACACAATGTCATGTGGAAAACTTATCATACGTGCCATTGCGAAGTGATATCCTCGTTACATGAGAGTTTTTCTCCACTTCAGTTATAAGAGTGGCTCCGCCACTACACGTGCCAATCATTTGTTTTTCATTTTTTAAATAAAAATGGTTATGAAGTTTGAACTAGGCACGACACATGGAGCATGAATTTCTTCCTACTTTATAAGTTTTTATACAATAAACTTCAATTTTCAAGCAATTTTTTTTCCATATTTTATTATTATTATTATTATTATTATTATTATTATCAAAGTGAGATAAGTTCATTGAAATAACAATGTCAGAGTATAAAAAGAAGACTGGACTTTAGTAATGTAACAAGTATGGCCTCATTAAAACCTTGCCTTTAAAAACTCCCAAATAGAGGAAAATCCGATCAAGGAAAAAAAGTATCACTACATCACATCTAGTATAAAATTAAATTAAGAAAATAATTTGTCATTGGCCAAAGCATCATAAATCCATAAAGGACCATCCTCTAACCACACTTGAAAGTCCTGAGACAGGAGCACTTGCTTAGCCCATAGATGAGCAACTTAGTTACACTCCCGATGAGCAAAGTGACAAGAAATATGAGCAAAACGATTAAAAAGGCCCCTAACTTCATCCACTAAAGCACCCTCCACCGACCAACTTTGCTCATAAGTTTGAAGATTCATAATAATCTCTTTGGCATCCATTTCCAAAATGACAGAACGATGCCCCATTTGACTTGCAATCTATAATCCCAAAATTGCTGCATAAAGTTTAGTAGCTTTAGGAGAAAACATGCCATGAAGACCTTTATAGGCAGCCAACATTAAATCACTCATACTATCTCATATGACAACCCCCAAAACCTCTAAAACCAATCAGCAAATTGACAGCACCATCAACATTTATCTTCACAAAATTACCATTAGGTGGAGACCAATGCCGCACAATATTAGTTGCTGGAACATGAGAAGACATTAAAATAATAGCTCGTTGATATTCCAAAAACAAGCTTCTGGGTACGAGCCAAAAGACTAAGATGTGAAGTACTTCAACCAGAATGTAAAAGATCATTACGAGAGTTCCATAATCCCCAACTCAAAAAAAACAAAGAAGACTAGCTCGTCATTAGTCAAAACTGAGGAAGCATATCGATATAACTCCTTAAAAGTACAAACATGTAGGGGGACAGTCAACCCTAAACCTTATATTTTATTATTTGAAAGAGGAAATAAATTTTAAATATTGGAACAAGTATATATAAAATTAGACCCATGGGTCCAGCGCGCTTAAAGCCCAGCACATTTAAGGCACTTAATACAAATGTATCGCGGGCCATCAGTGTGCCGGGCCTAGGATCTTAGTTATTTGGACATAAAAGAAAGAGCACGACACAATTATTCAATGGGCCAACACAAATACCGCAAAAAAGTACGAATTAATCCAACTTCAATGGATCGGGCTTGCTTCAAGACAGAAAACCCACTTCAATCCTAATACGAACTACTGTTTTGTTGGCTTACCTTGGGTTGCATAATGGAGACAGAGGTTGATTTGAGTTGACATAAAGGCAGACATGAGGAGATTCTACACGCAAGCTCATCCAGTAGTAGGTTTGTTAAGCACTGACATGACCAACCAGTGATTATAGAATATTACGATTGGATGTTTATGTGGTATATTTTATACACGTGTTATAATAGGGACATTTTATACACGTGTTATAATATAAATGAATATTTATTGATATTATTCCCTATAAGGGGAGAAAATAATTCATGTCGATTATCTATATTATAATATATATATATAAAATATACCACATAATCATATTACCATAACATTCTATAATTTCTCGTGATAAACACAGCTCCATTTTCTTTAACGCTAATGTTGGTTTTATGTATTGAACTCATTTTTTTAAACGAGGGCATCTATTTGAAGAGTGTGTGGTAAGAAGAGATAAATTTGAGCTATTGACTATAGGTGTTATACATGTGGTTTATAATAGGCCCCTAATATTCCTTTTGTATATCATGACTCACGCCCCAACTCAAATTAAGTTCTGTGGTGGTGTTGGTAGTTAAGACCAAGGATTGTTATCGACATACATGGCTGGCTTTCATTTGACCACAATGGCAGCTTCATACCACTTGAGATAAGGCTCATGCCTAGTTCCATATAAATTACTGCTATAAAAAAGTAAAGCAACAATTTAGAATGTCTTACTTCATTGGTATTTTATCCCCGAGTGGTCCAAAGCATCCCCGCCGCCAATCTTCATGCATCACAAATTGATCAACAAAGTTTACAAAACAATATTTAAACTGTTCTAATGCACGTGAAAAATGAATTGAATTCGAGTGTAAAAAACGGATGCACTACCTTGGTCAACTAAGTACTTAACTTTCGATGGTAGGCTCCATTCGATGAAAGCAATGAAAATTCTGTGAAATTGTGATTGGTTGTTTAATAATCCTTGAACTTAGACCCGATTTGCATTTGAGTATCTTAATTTCCAAAATGGTTCCTGTGGTTCTTTAACTTCACATTCGTTAGGGCAAACGGTCCCGCCGTCAATTTTGCTATTTTTTTCTATTAAATGCAGGCAAAATGGTCAGAAGACCCATTCGGATTTCATTTGAGGTAGGGGATAAACCCTAGTGGTGCATATCCAATCAAATCCTGGGAAAACTAGGCATGAAATATTTAAATCTCACAGGGCCACAACAACCCTTGCATTATTTAAATAATAAATGTGGCTTTTTGAGATATATATTTTGTATGGACTTGAATGGCCCGTTTCAATTAAAGGACTCGGCGGGGCTCGGCGGTCTGAAAATCAATTTCAATTATCGAACATAAAAGCGGCCCCTCTACAGGGACACAGTCGGTGAAGAAAGCGACCACTTGCATGTCGAAAGGGACCAGTTAGATATTTCTACAGCAACACATGCATTATATTACCGAAATATCCTCCTTCAACAGCAATTAAGCATTCAACGTTAAGTATAGGCCAAGAGAGATTAAACAAAATTAAATGCTTATCATCCTCTCGTACCGTATCATTGTTATCAAGGTATATGCATAATTTTCTCATGTCAATTTTTTGGGAACGATGTGAATCCACACGTCTTTGATAAGGGTTTCTAAAATCGAAAATGAATTGTTTTGATCTCAATTTATGTGTGTCATCTTTGTGGATGGGCCATGCTAATTTACTTTGTATCGTTTTAGTTTTATTGGATGTCTTCGGTTGGTTTTTTATAACATGCATGTGTATTTTATTAACAACAATTTATTTTAAAATGGCATATATATATATATACATACATAGAGTTTTCATTGAGGGACACTCCTTGTATGGCCCATTCCGGATTGTATTTCACTAATCCAAACATTCTATTTTGTAGATACTCATTCAAAGATCATCTCTACTAAAAAAATCACTTAAATATGATATCATTTTACCACTCAAATATATATATAACGTAGAATATTCAAAAGGTAGACACATAATGTCAGACTTTAGTGTTTATACACTCCACCATCTAAAAAGGAGCCAATGACTTTCAAAACCAATTACAGAAGAAAGCAAAAAAAGTTTCGAAGGCTCATCCTAAAGGTAGATTATTCTCATATATACTATTGATGTATATAGAAAGCTTTCATTGAGAAATTCTTCAAATAAGTTTATTTGAGATTTATCGTTGTAAGGCTCACTATGTATTGTATTTCACTAATCCAACTACGCTCCATTAGTATCCTATTTAACAATATATGAAGTGAAAACAAAAATAAGTTGAGTATTATTTTGCTTATATATTTTGATCAGGAAAAATGGAAAAATGGAAACAAAAACCATGAAAGGGAGATATGGATGGAACTATCAAATGCATTTTTTGGGTGGCAAAAAAGAAGAGGTGGCAACAAAGTAGATGAGGAGATAAGAAAATTGGCGTGGCATTGGCGTCTACATGTCTTTGTCTAATTAGAAACACATGTGGAAAGGAATTCCAAGGCCCCTCCTTCCTTGCGATTGTTCAATTTCAATTCCTTCTATCTCTTATATATTTTTTCTTGCTTTGGAACTTAGGAAGCCAGTGGCCACACAATAAACCCTAGGGCTAGGGCTTTCCTATCATAATGCTGCAGCATTTGTACGTACCTTCTTGTAACGTTTTTCATGATAATGCGTATTCATTGAATGCACTTCAACCAATATATATATCCTTTCCTTTGGTCCACCCTAACTTCGCGTGTTCTAAAAGTTTAATGCACTTGTAAGCATTCAATTGGTTTATATACAAACAATTTTTTCCTTTCCTTCCTTTTTTTGAAGTAGAATTTTTATTTATTTATTTAAAGTACAAAAGTTCCAAACTAGCTAGGAATTTGCATATACTCGTATCATATGGATCCTAAATACCTCGATTCAACGCCCAAAAATTTCATGCCGCTATCGTATAGTATTCATCTTTACTTGGTGATAAATAAAGCATCCTTACTTTTTCTTTTTCTTTTTAATGTCCCAGAAATTTCATAAAGCGAACTTTCTAGGGAGCCGCAATTACCATCAAATGTTCACATACATAATGTGGATTGTTTACCCAATATAGAGCAGGCACAATCTGGGCATACGTATCATTTCCAAAGGTACTACCTTATGAGTGTTTACAAAGCAAATTGTCTCATTTGCCCTTTTCATTGCTCGTGATAAGAACTTGGTCCACAGCTCTGGTGCCACCAGACGTGGCCAATGGCCTGCACAACACATGGAACATCGAGCACACTTCATGTGAAACACATCCATGCACTCTCCATAATATATTGAAAACTGTTGCCATCAATCATGCATATAATTGATAGGTCGTCCAAATGTTAGGTTGTTTGGTCACAAGGCATGATTGGGGGGCTGCAGTGCAATATAACATGTTTCGGTCATTGGGAAAGTGGGTAGGCCAAAAGCCCCAAAAAAGTTCTTAGAAACCTAGACAGGATATGTTTTTGGATGGTTTTAATGTACGAGAGGTAAATTGAATGCAACTAGACTTTCAACGATTTCAGTTCAAATTGAAGATATAATGTATTAAGTTTTTGCGAGGAATTCTTGGTTCGACCACTCTCACAATTTGTTCCACTCATCTCTAGAATAATTTCACCTCTTTTAATGTGACGTCATATACGACAACCGCATCCAAGAATCTATGATAAATTATTCAAATGTTCCTCAAACTTGTACTCGATTTACATTTTGGTCCCTCAATTAAATTATTAGTTCAAATGGTCCATTAACTATATATTAATCACTCCATTGATCCTACCGTCCAATTTTCTGTTAAATTTAACCAAATTTTAAGGTAAATACGACTTTTCATAATTAACAAATAAAAATATGGTTAAAATAAATACAAAATTATAAAAATTTGAAGAAAAAGAGAAAAAAAAATCATGAGACCCAAACCCAATTCCCTTCGATTTCTTCTCCCCCATTCCCCCTCTCCACTCTGCTCTCTACCTCTGTCTCTCATCCCACCTCTGCTCTCCTCTACCAATTTCTCCTCTATCTAGTTGATCCAACCTTCCCCCTCCTTTCACGGATTTCACTTCCCCAACACTCTGAGCACTTGTCAACCTCTCCAACACCACAAACCCTCCTTCAAAACTCATATCCATTTTCTTCCTCAGTTTTTGTTTTTGTTTCATTCAACAACCAACCAAACCCAAAGGCACGAAGAAACACCAGCCAAGACCAAAGGAAACATCAATGGCACACAAACACAAAAACCAAAAAGGGAAAACATCCACAAAGCCAAAGGGGACCAAATCACGCCCTCAACCTTCTTCCTCAGTTTAATCAACCTATTTGACAACAAAGTCCAACAAGCCCAGTAGTGAACCAAACAATTGTGAAGGCTTATTCGAATATGTGGCTAGCTGGGCAATTGGTGAAGATTGAAGGAAGAGTGGTAGTTGAAGCAGACAAAGTAGGTGCTAACAAATACATCAGAGTGACTTTGAGTATAGAGCTTGAGAAGATGAAGTCGAACTTGTTGATGGAATTTCTTACCTTTTCTTTGCCCTCAATCAAAATTTTTGAAGAACCCTAACCCATAAATTCCCCAATATTGAGTCTAATTTTGAGAGAGAGAGAGAGAGAGAGAGAGAGAGAGAGAGAGAGAGAGATAGGGAGAGTTTTTATTTCATTTTTCTATATTTATTTATTTTTAACATATGAAATGACCAATTTGCCCTCATATTTAACGGCAACATTGAGAGAATGTAACGGTAAGATCAATGGAGCGATTAATATTGAGTTGATGGACTATTTGGACTAATAATTTAATTGATGGACCAAAATATAAATCGAGTATAAGTTTGAGAACCATTTGAATAATTTACCTAAGAATCTATCATATTTTGTAAGAAGTAATAAAGTTTTATCCATGGGCTTAGTAAGTGTTGGAATCTACTTCTTGCCTATTGCCAGTCAGTCCTATCCATGAGACTCATCGATCATGCCTCATGCTAGTTAGTGCATTTATTTAGTAATAATGGCTATAATTCCAACTCTTCATAAAAAAATAAAGAAATAAAAGGCTATAATTCCAACTACATTAAGGCCTAGTTTGGGATTGCTGTCACTTTTAAAAAAAAATTGTTTACACTGTGCTTTGAAAATAATTAACTGTAAAGTAAAGCAGCTCTATGTTTGGTAAACAATATTTTTGAAGTACTGTTAATACAAAAAACGATGTGAAAACCGTTTGGTAAATTTTAATATAAAATTATTGTAACTGTAAATAATGACTAAAATAGACATGATGTTGAAAGTATTATGTATTAATCATTTGGTGGTAGTAGTAGTGATGGAGTGGAGGTGGTGATAGTAGCGGTAGCGGTGATGGTGGTGGTGGTGGTGATAGTGGTGGTAGTAGTAGTGATGGAGTGGAGGTGGTGGTGGTGGTGGTGATAGTAGCAGTAGTGGTGATGGTGGTGGTGGTGGTGATAGTAGCAGTAGTGGTGATGGTGGTGGTGGTGGTGATAGTGGTGGTAGTGGTGGAGGAGGTAGAGGTGGAGGTGGAGGTGGAGGAGGAGGTGGTGGTTGTGGTGGTGGTGGTGGTGGCGGTGGTTGTGGGGGTAGTGCAAATAGTGAATGTGGTAGTGCAAATGGTAGAGTTGGGTGTGGAAGTGAGGGTGGTGTCATTTTTTAAAATGAATGATGGTATTTTGGGAATTAAAAAAATTCCTTAAATGCTAATCTCTGCTTCTTTTGAAAGCAGCTTTGAAAAGCAACCAAAAGCCTGCTTTTAAAAGCTGCTTTCAAAAGGTCACTGCTTTTAAAATAATCATGATATTTTATTTTTACCAAATATCTTAAACTGCTTAACTTTAAAATAAAGCAAATTTTTGGCCAAAAAAAGTAATCCCAAACGGGACCTAAGAATAAAAGAATAAGCTATTGTATTTCAACACTAAACCTTACTTCTCTGAACTTATGCAGAGGGAAGTCTGTGACGACTACTTTTTTCACTGTGGGCCAACCTGGCTGTGTTTGTACGGGACATTCCACCGTCACCCACATGCACATGCATATTCACATATTTTTCCTTTTAATTTTGTACTCTCAGTTGCTCAATTTCCAACTAATATACTCATATTCATCTTGGATCTTGGTTTTTTCTTAATAATATGTTTCAAATAAGCATCTCAAATCGGCGTTTTCTATTTGCGAGCAGTCTTTTTTGTTTGGCTCCGTGCTCGTTGTCTTGGTATAGAGCCCTTGTGAGTGCGCTTCACTTTTCCTTGACAATGAATTTTAGGATCGAAATGATCTGGCTGTTGCTGCTGTCTAGCTTCAAAGAAAATGAACTATAGGATTGCATATATACTCGAAAAACTTTTCGGATAAACTATTTACACGACGAATTATTGTTGTGTATAGTGACTTATTTTGGGCTACTTAGCCTTAGGGTGTGTTTGGGAATGCTTCTGCAAATGATAGAAAAACTTTTGGTACTTTTAAATGAAGCACTTGGATTTTTAACAACGATTTCAGCGTTTTTTTTAAATTATAAATAAAAGCAATTCTAACAAAAGTGCTTATAAGCATAAGTATTTCGTATAAAAGCAATCTCAAACAGATACTTTGTTTATAGCGTCTTTGTTGTAACTATATATTTCCTTCACAAGAAGACGAATAGCATATCATTATTTTACTATACTTGCTTATCTGACTTGATCCGATAAAGACGGTGAAAATGCATCATTATCTTGTATGCTCATATATGGTGTTACTAGAATGTGCCAACTTTTGTGAAAAGGAAAGGTTTGAAGGTATATATATTTAAATGAAACTGCGCGTTTTGGTTGCACATTTGTTTGTTAGACTGTCCAACTTCATGTACATTGGCACGCTGTTGAATGCATCAGCTGTAATAAGTTGGCAAAGTGAGCTAAACATCAGTACAGTCCGTCCAAATTTCTAGAAATATATACATATATATATATATATAGATATATAGATAAACCCAAAAGATCAAAGTCAATCGAAGTTTATCCCCTCCTGAACCAGCAGATATAGATGATAGTGGAACCTTTTGGTGTAAAAATCTTGCTGGTGCCATGCTCAGTGAACCACGGCTGGGCCAGTCTGACCCTACATTTCATACAATATTTCTCATTTCTTTAATCAACAAGAAGAGCAACAAAATTTTTGACTGTCTGGACGGCTAGTATCAAAACAGAGGGATCAACTTGTGCTGCACAAGTTGAGCCAACATGTTAGAAAATAACTTCGATGTGCTTCAACCCTGCAACAAGTGGGTAATCATTATCCTCAAACATTGACAAGAAATTCATGGGGTTTAATTATTCATGAAAATTATTATATCTGATAGTTGTCCGTTTATACCTTGTGTTTTTCATGTTTGGTAAAGAGTTGCTACCACCTTGAAGCAATAACTATCTCATTCACGGTTGAACTCATTACAAAATTCTTTTCATATGTTAATGCAATTATGAAAGTCGTGGGGATGATGGATGAAGTTTGAATTTGAAGGATGAAGAGGTTTGCTAAACATAGTCGATCATGCACACACGCGAATGAATGTGAATTGTTAATTGGTGTTAAATTTTTAGTAGATTGTTATCGATCAATATCCTAAAAATCAAATGGTAAATATTTGGATGAACTCCTTTTGAAATATTTATTCATTAATATGGTAATGGACTAGATACAAGATTTGGATCGCCAGCACTAGAGCTTTATGTGCCAGAATAAACCAAAATTTGAACATGTCATATCACCATTGAGTTTGACATGAGGAGCAGATCTGATAAGGTTCGTCGAAATCTAGCTAATTTATTGTTTTTTAACAATATTATCTTCTCTGCTACTAGTGTGATGTCGGGGGATATTATTGCAAGAGTTAAACTAAAGTAATCATCCAAGCTTGCACTAAAAATATATAATCAAGTTCACATCTTATTGTCCAAATACTTTCTAATTTTCCCATCTAGTATGGTTGTACATATATGTACACCAATGTCTCTTTGGAAGCACTCTCTCGAGTAGTAATTGATTACATTATAAATAAAGAGCGGTGTTAGGATCAGTCTCTTACATGCGTAATATGCTTCTAACAATCATGCATGTAAGACTCGCACTACGTTAATAGTGAAGGTCAATCTGCGCGCATTTATGCGACCGGAGTATCCTTATTCAAGTGAATTCAAATCCTCCATTTATTTAACAAATATTATTTAACAAATAATGCACCGTACCATTATAGTAGAACGTTACGCATCAATGACTATCAATCCCTAAATGGCATTGTACTATATGGGATCGAAAGATCTGACGGGAAACAGAAAATGAAGACACAATTGTTGAAGAAGTAATCGCAGCCGTCAGAAAGATCTGAAAGGAACGACCTACCACCGTTGAAATGGTGGTGTCACCATCATCTCTCTTCTCTCCTGATGACAACATCAAGCAAGTTGGCCTACAGCTTACTGCTTACCCTCTTCTGAGCTTTCATTTTGGACCGCTAGTTCCTCACCCGAAAAAGCCCTCAACTAGATATTTATTTTTGTGTCGACCAAATAAAATAATAATAACAGGAAAACAACAACTCCTAGGAATTAGAAAAAGAGCATAAAATGCAGAATAATATATAAAAGGACACCAGTCATAGGCTCATATTTATTGTTTTTAAATAACGAAGATATTTCATTAAAAAAAAAATTTAAGGAAGATATTATATTTAATAACCTACGGAAACGGGCGCACACGGGCCCACTTTAGTGCTTTCACATAGAAACTCAATTAGCAAATGGCTGCCTCTCTTGATCAATTGTAGCACATGTCATTTTTTCTTCCCCAAAATGACGAAAAGACACCCACTAAAGTACATATGAAAGTTCGGTTTTTTGTTTTGTTTTTATTGATACGAGTGATTCGAAAGTGTGACTATTAATTTGTAAGGTAAAGTACTTTTTTACTGGCCTAGATTCCGTTGACGTATGTAAGTTAAGTTTAATTAAACAATTGAACGATTTTTCTGAAAAAAAGGAAGAAGAAGGTGAATGATTATGATTTTGAGTAGTTGATTAGTGTTAACCTAGTTATGCGTTTGTGGACAATTTTTAAATCATGAATCACACAACGTAACTTACTCATATTAATATTTCGTAATGTAAGTTACTTTTATTATATAAGTTAATTAGATCATAATTACTGTCTTTATTTATATAACGATTTAAAGGAAAATAATTAGTTTGAGCAAACAATTTCTAACAACTTTAACAGAGGGGCCGGAAGGAAGTTGTAGAAAGTGTGAGCTTAATTAAGCAAACATATGATTTTTTGGCAGATTATAGAGGTAACTTTATTAATTATAATAATTGCCAAAATGTTTGTGGGATATATCTCAATTAGTTGAATTCTTTCGCCTCCATCTATATGGACAGAGGTTTGAAAACCCTAGACACCTAATGAATATTTATGTAAACTCTCATATTCCAATCACTTATACTAAAATAATAATAACAAAATTACCGACACATGTGACAGTATTTGTGAGATTCGCTATTGATAAGGTGGTCTTATGTCTTTTTCACATGATTTGTTAATAACCAGTTAAGCTCCATCGTGTAATGTAATCACAGAAAAAGCCAAGGCTTGCTTTCTTCAGATTAGTGGAGTATCTCTACGTAATTTGCCTTAGATTATGTACTAATTTTTTTTATCTTTCTCTTCTCTGGCTAGTAGTTTGTAGACTAATTATTTGACACTAAAAAGACAGATTTGCACATCACATACACAAACATTTGCATGCATGCATGATTAGTCCCTACATGTCCAAAGCATTCGATTAAGGTTCTAATACTTTGATAATTAGTAATCATAAATTCAATTTTTGGGAACTAATCATACATGTAGATATTAAGAAAATGATTCAAATTTTCTTTATTTTTTGGACAAAAAATGATTCCATCCATTTAGCAAAATATAAATAGAACAAAACGAGTAGAATTTTCAAATGTACACTTGCCACATACATCCACATCCCTTATCTGAAATACTGCTATATTTTGTTCATATTAAAATACAAACGATATTAGAGAGTATCTGAATGCAGTGGCGAAGCCAGGATTTCATGTGTGTGGGGGCCTCTTACAAAATATAAAGAATCAAAAATTCGAACTCATAATACATGCAAAAAATAGTGTATATATATCACATATGTCAAGAATTATATCGCTTATTGGTTGCAATCATAATTGTTATCGACAAAGGGATAGACAAATACATTCTAAGCAAGAAAAATTTCAAGAGAGACACAAAGAGTAGCGATTTAGCAAATATCTTTAAAGCTTTTTCCCCATTAAATCCAATAGAAAGGAAAAAAAAAAAATCAAAATTTCCCAAATTAAAAACAACCTTAGGCCTCTTTATGCATTCATATCATACATAAAAAAATATTGACTAAGTATGAAAAATGGTTTTTCGGAATAATCATTTTTCTCAATATAATTTTTGGCGGCTTTTATTCCTTACACATGAAATAAGAAAACTTGATTTTATGGGATTTTAGTATGAAGTATATATTGACTTAATGAGCCATCATTTTTAGCCTAAATCGTATTTTACACTAAAACCGATTTTTCATATTTTGACTTGGTGAGAATTTGATTTTCTAGTATTTTTATTTGAATTCAAATAGGGGGCACTTCCTTATTTACATTGTAAACTTAAGTAAATGGAGTAATATAAAAATAAATTAAAGTCAAAGGACAAAGACATTTACTTAAATGTTGAAAATGGAAATAAGGTAATATGTACACCTGGAGTGCATCACCACTAGTTGAGCAATGGGGCAATTTGAACTACCTCCTTGTGCCTTAATAAGTCCGCCACAATACATGTGGGTACATACCAAAACATAAAGTATTTGAAATAATATACATATACAAATACATAACAGTACATTACTTTTAAAATATAAAAAAACTTGAGTGGGGGCCCGGGACCACACTGGTCCCAGTGTGGCTCCGCCCCTGTCTGTATGGATATAATATTCAATACCCTCATATACTCGATATCATAGCTCAAATTGAAATCACAGCTTCAATAACAAATATAAAAGAGGATTTAATATAACCAACCCGTGTCATTCCACTTAAACAGCACAACATGAGTTGCAAAAAAGAAAGAATACAGGGTAAGGGTAGAATAGAAACATAAAGAATGAAGAGAGAGAAATAATAGAAGTAAAAAGAAATTACTGGAAGGTAAGGGTATAATTGAAAAGAGAAAGAATAAAATTGATTAAAAAATATTAAAAAATAAAGGGAGTGTAAGTGGAGAAAATAGGAGTGAGAAAATCAGCTTCCGTGTATATATACCAATTAATTAATGACACATAAGCTGTTAAAAGTTGAAACAACCTAAGAATTATTTGGTATACTATCGCATAGGAAAGTTCCTCAAAAACCAATTATGTGACCGTTTGTACAAACTACTTATCTCAACAACCAAAATGCAAACTAATAGCATGTAGTTTTTTGACTAAAACAAAAAAAGTTAGCAAGTGGTTGCCTTAAACCAATCCCAAACTGACACGAGTTCCCAAAGTAACATCCGGGGCTGGTAGTATATCACGGATTCACGGAAAGTAAAAGTCGTGGTCGGTGTGGACACGTGGCGCACGAAGAGCAGCCAGATCGGATGGAAAATAGTCCGCATCAGCAGCCGCGGGACTGAAGTCGTTGAGCAGGTTCCGTTCAAAACCCCCCCTCCAAAATTGCCAGCTGACTCGGGCCCACAACGCGAAACTAAAAAAGCCAGTAAATCGCATAAATATCCCGATAACTAACCGGCCACCGGACCTTCCGGTTTATTACCCGTATAGGTACGGCATACGATCTACATACTGCCTTCCTATTTATATACGGTCGGAGATTTTTTAAGCTAAAGCGTCAAACAGAGCTCTTGTTTGTATATATAGGACCCAAAGAGTCTCATTTTCCTCTGAAGCTACGCTTTGTGAGCTTCGTTCTGAGGGACTCGCCGGAAAATTCATCAGTTTTTTTCGAGCTTAATCGGAAAATTTATCGGAATTTGCCGAAAAAATTTAAGTGAGTTCATTTTCATGGAAATATATATTTCTTTTTTTCAATGCTTAGGGATCTCATTTTTCGGGGTTATTGTGCAAGCTTTTGAGTGGCTTTGGGACGCGTTTCCCCGATCCGATTTTCCTGGAAAATACAATGAGTGGCATGAAAATTTTCGATTTCCAGTTTCTGTTTCTTGTGTTTTCCGGGAAAATTGGGGAATTTTCTCACGTGCTTGGCTGATTTGATTTGTTTGATTTTTTTTTTCCTTTTCAGGTTAAAGAGTGAGTTGGAAGCAAGAAAGGCAAAGACTTTCTGCAGATCCGATTAAATTACACCAAAAAAGGAGAAAAAGGGAAAAAAATTCGAGCTTTATAAAAACGAAGCTGAAACTCTGATTCCTTTCTTCAATTTTATCAATTTCACATTTTTTCCTTCACCTTCTGATCCGAAAGCTGAGAGAAATGGTAGTGAAAGTAGCTTCGACCTGTTTGCAATGGTCGCAGCCCATTGTTCCACACTCTCCCCCTTCCTCTCAATCTCTAGCATCCGCAATAGCATCTCCTTCCTCAAAACGACGTACCCGTGGCGGCGACGGCGGAGCTGTTCTATGCCTCTACGTCCACAGCTTGAATCGGTCGGCTCTGTTCGGAGCTCCATCGACGAAGCTAAACCGATCCAGGTCATGCGAGTTACCGAAGCCGAGATTTCGGTCCATGAAAAGAGCTTGCAGTGCGAACTTGGACGCCTTCTCCGATGAAGAGTTCTCGAAGAAGATTCAAGAGCTCGCTCTCAGATTCCAGCTCTCGGACGATTTTGACGGTGAAGATAACGGTGACGGTAACACCGCGAATTCGGAAACAGAGACAGCTGATTCTGATAGTCGCCGCGTGAATGACTCTTCTTCAACAATGAGATTTGAACAGAACCAGAGCCTGTTCGAGTTGCCGCTCGATCTGGAGCTACCGTGGTCGTTCGATTGGCAGCAGCGGGACGAGATTGTTCCGGAGGCGAGCATCGAGCGGAAGGCGAACAGCGTTGACCTTCCGCTCTCTCTCCGAATGATCAAGAGAAAGCTACAGTGGCAGGAAGGGTTCAGAGAAGCAGGGGAATCCGCGTGTTCCTCTGTGAAAAAGGCCTTCTCTTCCATGGTGTTCATAATCCGAGAGCTCCATACGTACACCTTACAGATGAGAGAGCTTCTCTTCTACGAAGATTTACAGGGGATTTTGGGTCGTGTTCAGAAGGAGATGCACGCTTCGTTCGTTTGGCTTTTTCAACAGGTCTTCTCTCAAACGCCGACGCTAATGGTGTACGTGATGATCCTCCTGGCCAATTTCACCGTCTACTCATTAGGCCACAACGCCGCCATTGCGGCTGCTCCGCCACCTGGGATATATTCCAGTGCAACTGAGACTACTATATCAGTGGAGGAGGTTCAGAATCACAACGATAAATTGGATAATACCCAATTTGATTCCTCGACAAGTAAGTCGTTTTCTGTGAATGGGAAAACGACATCCGTAGGCGGAAACAATGGCGGTGGTGGGAAAGCCCGACCCGTGGGCAGCGGCACGGAAGGAGACGGCCGGTTCGACGGGACGGACCAATACCGGACAATTGTCCCCGACGGAGCTTCTCAGTTGTCCTCACTTGGGACGACGACAGAGGCAGAGTCGGTGTCCGGGCAAGAGAGCAGAGAGGAGGAGTTGGCTGTGTGGAATTCGATAGTGGAAGAAGCTCATGAAATGCGAGGCAACCATGAAGCTCTGAACCATGAAACGATGGAGAGATTTGTTTCGCCGGTGGTGGCGAGTATGGAGGGTGATGATTACGAGGAGTACTTCAGAACAGAGCTTCTCTACCAAACGGGACTATCCATAGAGCCCAGCAATGCTCTGCTTCTTGCCAATTACGCTCAGTTCCTCTACCAAGTTGCTCGTGATTATGATAGGTACTGTTCAATTTCTTCAAATTGTCAAAGTTTTAGTCGCTAATTTTGATTTTCATGTCCATAAATTTCTTGGGTTAAATTCATTGGTTGTGGAAATTAAACTGTCAAGTGGACTAGTGCGACAATTCAATGTTTTTTCTTTTTGATGTTTCTTTGGTCAAAAGAAAGATATAAAATCTCTGGGTTCTTGCCTTTGATTTTTCTTTATTGTCGTGTTGCTTTAAAATTTTTTTTTTTCCAGTGATAGCCTGACAGACAGGGAAATGTGTGGTGGTATTTTCCCAATTTGGTCACGCGCTTCACTTGAAAAAAAAAAATGAAAAAAAAATTTATTTGCTTTGATTTTAATAAAATTATTTGAAACTATGTGGTCTAAAAATATGTTTGTTTTAGCGTAATTAGATAATAAGTAGAGTGTGATTAATGATGGATTTGTAGTTAAGTAGAGTGTGATTAGCTTAAAGCGCAATTACATGTGGGCTGACTTTCGGGGTGATTGTTTAATGGTTTGGAAACAGAGCTGAAGAGTACTTCAAGAAGGCAGTAGGGCTGGAGTCACCGGACGCGGAGGCCTACAACAAATACGCGACGTTTCTGTGGAGGGTTCGAAACGACTTGTGGGCTGCAGAAGAAACCTTCTTGGAAGCTATTTCAGCTGACCCAAGCAACTCATACTACGCTGCCAACTATGCCCATTTTCTCTGGGACACCGGCGCTGAGGACACGTGTTTCCCTCTCAACTCTCCTGATGATGCCACCCAAGATGCTTAGTAAATTAAAATTTTTATTTTAAAAAATATATATATACAGAAGAGAAGAGAAGAGAAAAGAGCCGTCACCTTCCGTTTATTTCCCAATTTTACTCGGAATTTGGTATTAGAAAATCCAAAAAATAAAAGAAGAGACTAGAAAGAGGTCTTTTTTCTTAAATATTTATTTGTTCCTGAAATTTTGGTGGGGGGTGGTGTGGTGTGGTGGTGGTGGCGTTTGGAGCGGAGGGAAGCACGTGATCTCGGACATGCTCACATGCACGGCAAAACTGGCATGGCAGCAAAGAATTTGCAGTGTGTTTGGCGTTGCGTGTTGTTTCAGATCTGTATGTGCACGGGGAGTGGAGCCAATCGGAATGCATGGCTGCTTTTGCACAGATTATCGCGTTTCCTTTGTTTTTTTTTAGGGGTCGACACAAACAGTCACATGGCAAAGTGTAATTAGCCTCCTTGTTAATATTATGCCATTTTCAATTTTACTAGAAATGCGAAAACTGAAACATAGTTTGGTGAAAGAAAGCACGTGTTTCTCGTGCATTTTGCTTATGTATGGCTCTGGAAATTTCTTCTCTTCAATTGAATTTTCTTTCGTGTTTAGTGGAGGGACAGTGCGCGAACTAAGTTGTTGATTTGTTTCTATCGGGGATTATGAAGACATGGAAAAGCTTTATACTTTTGTCTAAAGAACAATGATGGCACAGTAGCACCCAATGAAAGGGCTAATGATTCATGGGTGGCTGAGAGAAAAGGGAAATGGCAATCCAAGTGAGTTTATAAAGATATCGTATACCCGAGTATTCGGTTTGATAACCTGCTACTAATTCTTCTGCTTCGGATAAATCAAAATGTAATCTCTCACATTCTACTAGAGAAGAAATGAGTAATAACTCTGGTTGTTCGCTGTTTAATAATTATTGTTTAGGCAGTTCATACCATCTATACATAATGTTTTGATCAACTTTTTTCTCACATTTGGACCATTTAGTTAAAGATATCGTATTCGACAAATCAATGGAAACTCAACGTGTATGTTAATTATGCGATCAATCTTATAAGAGCAGCGTTGTGTACAATAATTTTTGGGAGCATAGGATTTAGGGTAAGTGAATAGGCTCTCTTGTAATAATTATGAACAAAGCAATCATGCTTTTGATGATGTATAATGAATAGACTCTCTTCACAATTATTGGACATATATAGCATATTCTTCTCCTTTAGTAAAGTTTAACCATGTGAAGTTGGGTGTTTGGAAGACTAGACCTTAACGCGTAGTCATAATTACAACTGTTTGCTTGGAAAAAGCAAATGACTAGATAGATAGACTTATTAGGAAGCATATAGATGAACAATAATGTGTGTGAAGTCAAATGGGGTCGTTGGATTGGGGGAATTGAGATGAGATTATTAAGTTAGAGCCAAGCAGAAAATGACGGTCATCACGTGAAATCGAAGATGGTGATGAATTAATCTAAGACCAGTCTCTCTATGTCTCCATTCATCCTCCCTCCTTCCTTCCCATGCCCTCTCCATACCTATCTCACCTTAATCTCATTCATATATGCATATGCCTCTCCATACCTCTCTCTCACACACTAGAGATCTCATTCATTTCGGTTGCTGCTTCAATCTCATATGTCTAATATTATAGATGATGGGGCAATACTAGTATAAATATAGTTTTTTCGTGAAGAATTCAAATATCATATCGAGACATTTTTTGATAAAGCCTCCCACATACTGGGCATGACATGTAAATTAATACATAATTCACAGTGAAGTCTACACCAATCTACAACATTTTCTATTGAGAGGAGTGATAACATAATACAAGGATGCTAGGACTCGAACCCAAAACATTTCCTGGAGGAGCAATTGCTCTAAACCACTACACTAATGAGTCATTTGCCCAAGTTTTGTTTCAAAGGAAAAAGAGGAATTCTTATTACTACACTTGAGCACACATTTTCTTTTGGGCTAGTTTGTTGGGCTGAAAACCAAATTTGGCACAGGCTAAGGAGAAGGAAACCCCAGGTCTGACCATCTTTGGGCTCGATCTCAAGCCTGATGTTTGTTTCTAGACTACCTATATATGTGTCCATAGCTGGTCCAACAGCCTTATTGGATCAACTGCGGCCCAAAGTTCAATTTATTTCCAAATGAGTCTATTCAAAATTGTAGTAGCGCATTCACAATGAGCTCTCTAAACCATCTTCTTAGAGTATCTACAATGGGCTACCTAAACCGCCTCCTTAGCTAAAATTTAGAGAGGAATTGAAAAAACCCACCTCCAACCATGCTCTCTATTTAGCGTCTAAAATAGGGAGACCTCTAGAAGCTCCTAAATCCAAGGAAAGAGAAAGTACTCATAGTGACTTCCTATAATTAAATGCTTATATATTTAATATTATTTCAAGCATTTCTTTAATGCCAATTATTTTTTATTATTGCTTTTGTGTCTACACTTTATTCAAAAATTGAATTAAAATTTACTAAAAACATTTATGACTCTCTAAACTACGGAGTATGGTTGGAGTTGAAATTTTATAGAGAGCTCCTAAAATAGCTTTATAGTGTTTTTAGCTAAATTTTAACTAAAAAATAGAGAGCATGATTGTGGGTGCTCTTAGACAAATTCTATGGAGGAATTGGAAAAATACAACTTTAACCGTGCTCCATATCCACCTCTTACAATAGGAAGACTTCTATGAGCTCCTAAATCTGAGAAAAGAGAAAAGAATCCTAGTGGCTCCTTATAATTTAATGATGTTTTATTTTATGAGTATTTCAAACCTTGAATTAATGCTAACTATTTTTTTTAATAGAGATGGACTAATTAAAAAAAATTATAGCATATATAACTCCCTAAAATAGAGAGCATGCTTGGAGTTTAAATTTTATAAAGAGCTCCTAAAATAAATTATATATATTTTAAACTAAAATTTAACTAAAAAATAGAAAGCATGATTGTGGATGCTCTCAGACTGCATGATAACTTTTTTAGTGGCTTCAAAACAAGAATGGTCTTACAAATTTTAGACCAAATCTCAAATTGTTGTTCATTTGCGTAGGAGTATTATGTACGGTCATTTTACACCTATTTCAATAAATCTTGGAGAGCTAACCAATGAAGTTGACGCAAAATGGTAGTAATAGACTTATACGCTTACGTGTGGCATACACGCTGATCATTACACAAATTGATGATTTTAAAACTTTTATCTTTATGTGTGACGTACACGTTTACCGTTACACAAATCCAAGAAAATGGAAGATTTTGACAAAGATTGATAACAAATGTAATTTCTTAACAAAATATATTCCAACATGGCTTTACCTTAAAAAAAACCAAAATTTTAGACCAATCTCCAAATTTGTTCATTTGCGTGTACGGTCATTTTACACCTGTTTCAATAAATCTTGGAGACCCTAGTCAATGAAGTTGACGCAAAAGGATCGTAATAGGCTTATTATACCCTTACGTGTAGCATATGTGTTGACCATTACACAAATTGATGATTTTAAAACTTATATATTTACGTGTGACGTACACCTTGACCGTTACACAAAACGATAAAAATGGAAGATTTGATAACGAATGTAACTCCTTAACAAAATATTCCAACATGGCTTACCTTAACAAAACAAATTAAACCAAAAGCGGATTCTTCTCAGTTCTCTTTCATCTTTCCTTCTAAATTGAACTTTAAAAAAAAACGTGACCATAAAATTCTAAATATACAAATGCAGTGCATGTAGGCTGAAGGGTGTGGGAAAAACATTCCACTCTATCTCTCACTGCCTCCAACCAAAACCCTCGTCAACAAAACTGTAATGAATCAGAGGCAGTTAGGAAAAGTAAAGAAAAAGACAGAAACAGAACTGAAAAAGAAACCCCAGAAAAGAAAGTTTTGCAGTCCAGCTGCTACAACTAATTAATAAACTAAAACGCTAATCACACAATACAAGCATTTTAGCAATATTTAAGCCAACCAACACCATATTGGTAATTTCCAATCCAGTCAAAATGAAAGGAAAAAAAAAGAAAAAAAGAGAATCCAGGCTTCACATTAACTATTAGTTCTAAATAGTTCTTCACAGCTAGAAGAAACTATATACTGAGTTGAAGATCAGAAGCTGGTTCTGTTGGTACCCTGAGCAAATTGAGAAGAAGAAACCATCTCTATCAAATCCATCTCTCTCTTTTCATTTGAAGAAGCAGCAGCAGCAGCTTCATGATATTGATCATGTGCCATCAAATATCCCATGCTTGTGTTGTAAAAACCCAAGTGATGATGATCAGTGGAACTAAAAGATGATGATGAGTTGGCCGTCCCATTTAAGAGGTATGAGAGGTAAAGGTCAGAGTAGAGGGGGGTAGGAGTAGTAGAAGTAGTGGGATTAATAGCATTTTGTGTAGGCTCCGCTGGACTCACAATTAGGCCAATGTTGTTGCTGTTGTTGCTGCTGTCAATGGAATGGGATGGCTGCTGCTGATGAGGATTGAAAGTGTGAACATTGTTGGTGAAGAAAGTTTGCATGAAATGAAGCTCCTCATCATTGTATAATGTATCACCCAAATTCAAAGGAGAGTCACAGCAATTGCTAGTTGTGGACTGGTCAGATGGCTCTGTGGCCAAAATGTTGAGGTGGGTTTTTGATGGGTTTTCATGAGAGAGAGTGGAAGAACTGGTTGGGGTGTTGTTGCTAATAGTGGAAACATTTGGGGAGGAGTTGTTGTTATTATTATTATTATTGTTGTTGTTGCTCATGAGGTTCTTGCTCCTGATGTAGTTTTGGAGTATGGAAGACTGAGGCTTCTTGTTGTTGTTTCCATCTTTCCCCTCTGCCTGCCTGTTCTTCCTCCTTGAATTCTGCCTCCTTTTTGTGGCATTCCAATGGTTCTTGATGGCGTTTTCAGTTCTTCCAGGAATGCGTTTCGCAATCTCTGCCCAACGGTTCCCAACCTCAGTATGAGCTTCCACAAGTATCGTCTCTTCCTCTTCAGTCCAGCTATCTTTCTGAAAAAACCAAGATACCAAGCACAAAATATGGCACATTGCACTCTAAGGTTATAAGCTATGGGGAACAAAATTGGTATGTGCATATATTACCAAAAAAAAAATCCAAATTAGTTTATGCTTAACTGAAAAAAGGATGTGCATTTTCGTTAAAAATGATGTTTAATTACAAAATAAACATTCACAAATATGCTACTTACAGCTATTTAGCTAACCATAAACTAGGGTTTGAGAATACAATTTGACTTACCCAAACGGAAAGAGAGAAAATCTATCAGATCTATAAATAGATCCTTCACAATCTAAATTTGCGACTTTGACTTTTTTGAGTACTATAATATCGGTACCCATAGATCACAATCCGAGCAAAAATATAGCGACATTTGGATACTTTTCACAGTGAAATCCTAACTCGTAGCTAATTAATTGTGCCAAATCTAAGCCAAAGATTTGAAGTTCTTAGTTATTCATGCATCACAGACATACAACAACATCGACACCAAAAGAGATTTAAGGACAAACCTTGATATCAGGGCGCAAATGATTATGCCATCTCTCTCGACACTGCTTGCCAGCCCTACCCACCAGCTTCTCAGCTATCTGTGCCCATTTTCTCACTCCATATTGCTTCACCAACCTGATCAGCTTCCTAATTCACCACACCAAAAACAAAAACAACCCATTAATTGTACATGCAACATTATTTGTGACTAGAAGAAATCAAAATCAACCAAACAAAGAAATGAAACATCCATAAACTTGAACCAAAAAAAAGAAAGAAAAAAAGGGCAAGTAGAGGATGATGACAAGGTTATTTCTTGTTATATATGTGACCTACCTGTCTTCTTCATCAGTCCACTGTCCCTTTATTAAAGCTGCAGCAGTTAAACCTTTTCTAGCTCTCTTTCCCACCCTCCTTTCTGAAACCTTTGCTTCTTCTATGAAAACAGTATTAGGGTTTTGCTCTGCCTGGCCACTCCAAGACATCATCAAGGCCTCTCCATGATCACCCAAAACCCCATCCAGAAAGCTTACCTCTTGGGGATATTGAGCACCAGCACCATAGCTAGGCCAACAAGAAGCCTCATGGCCAATTGCACCACCAAAAGAAGAAAAACCAAACAACCCATTTGTGGAAACCACATTTTCTTTGCTGCTTGCATTGTTTTGGTGAGAGAAATTGCTCTGGCTTCCCCACAGGAACCTGTCTATGGCTGTCAATGGAGGACCTGGTCTATGCATATTTTGATGGTGATGATGAGGATGGTGTGGTTGTGTGTTATTTATAAGTCCATTAACACCATAACCACCACCACCTTCTTCTCCTCCTCCCTCTCCTTCCATGGAAGACACAGTTGAAGAGTGATTGACAAAAAAGAAGAGAAAAATTAAGGAGGCTGCAATTTGGTGAGAGGTTTTGTGGCTTCTTTTTTGTTTCTTTCTCTTTATTTTGTGCTTAGAGAGAGAAAGAGAGAGAGCACCCCATAACGATAGCTGGACAATTAGCATGTACTAGGCCTTGTAATGAGCCACATGGCTTAATAGCCGTACACCTGGAGATATATCCAACGGTTGAGAATTGTCTTTGGTTGTAACTCCTGAGCTTCCTCTCTTGTACAAAAGTAGAAAGAGCTGGGGCTGGGGGAGGAGAGATATTAGTGGGTTTCGTTATTAATTCCACAATTATTAAATCCATTTTATTACAGATTTTTTAAAATTTTAGATAATTTTAGAGTAACTCTGAGGTAGTGATTTGGGCAGCTACGAAATGTTGATCAATTTGGCGCCATTGTAATGGAATTACAATTTTACCCTCTTAATTAACACTCTCATGGCAAATAATGAAATGAGGGTATTTTGGCCCAATGATGCACTAATTAAAAATTATGAAATTAAATATGATTTATTAGGAAGAGGAATTTTGGCAGAATTTTAGTCTCCAGTTATAATTGCTTTGTTTGGGTACTAAATGCTAGCCAATTGTGGAAATAATTATATCGCTACTGCACCTATTCCAATTTCTTTTGAATTAAGCTCCCTCATTGTTTTTTATTTTATTTTTGTATTTAGTAGTTTTAATTATAATTATTTTGGTTCCCTCAAAGCTTTGTTTTTATTTTATTTTATATACAAGCGATATGGGGATGAGGTTTTATCACACACATGCATTGTCAAGGCGTCGTGAAGATCCGAGCATAAGACCATTGATATGCATCTCAAAGCTTCATCTTAGATTTTGACTTAGGGACAAATTTGTATCTATGACCATTTTGACTCAGAGAGTGACTGTGTTGACAATTTGACATGATAGAATTTGAAGAATAGACTAAGCTCAATTTCTAGATTTAATACTTTTAGGACATCATTTTCATTTTTCAAGTGCCAGACACTACAGTCATCCGTTACTTACTGGAGTAGATGAAGAGGTTTTAATTTGAAAATAAAAAGAATAATTGTGCTTAATAATATGCATATGAGTGATCAGCAAAAAAAGAAGAAGAAATAAATTGACTCATTAATTTCTAATGGCTGGTAAGTTAATGATCATTTGACCAGAAATAATCATACTTTTTATTTTTAATCAACAAACCAGAAAAGAAGGATACTATTTAAAATAAAATAAAAATCAATGGCAATGAGGTATTCGAACTTGGAAACCTCTTCCAATATTGAGAAGAGAAATACCACCAGACCGACCAAGTGCTAGTTGGTAAAGAAGGATACCATTTTTCATCAACAAAATTTTTGCTGGATGAATTACATGTAGAGGAAAATAAACAATTTAGTTAATAGTGTTGTCCCTCACTTGTGGTTTTTCTTGGCTAGTTAGCTTGGCCAATCATAACCAAGTAGTAAATGTAAACAGAATTGCAATTTCCAACTCTTGTAACTCATTGGTCCTATGCTTGTAACATATAAAATCTTTGCTTTCTCCATCAAAAAGAAAGAAAAGAAGTATATCCCGTACTTCTTCCAAGCCCAGAAACTGTTTGTGCAGGCAGTTTGCCTTTCTTTTATCTGAGCATGAGTTAGTTCCTTCATCTCAATTCTAAAATTCAGGCCTGGATCAGGACATCTTGGCCTTGGCGAAGAATATTCCGGCAAATAAACCTGGGGAGAAACAAAATCCATTAAATTGAGAGTAATGAAATCACAGTGCTGGTATTCATTGTCTACAGAATGATTTTGCTGATTACCAAATAGTATACTGAAGAGGTTTGGTAGACTGAGAGGCACCTTGAACAGGACTAAACCGGCAAGCGAGATCGGAATCTTGTTTAAGGAACCCACCAGACTGTAAGGCAGAAGAACATCAGAAGTGCCTATATAGATGGATACTCGTGAGAAGTTCGTTTTGAGCTTAAGCATACAGCAAAACTTACCTATAGGTGGTGGGGCCAGTTTGATGTAAAAACCACATGGAGGTGAAGCTGATGGCAAGTCCAAGCAATCCACTAGCTGTTGCAATGACCCAAAACATAGGCAATTTGATTACATCCCTGCATATTGAGACCAAAGCATTAGGTAGAAGAAGTGAACTAAATGTGCTTCCAAGAAGAAAAGGGCATGAAGTTATGTCAAAATTAGAAGCATAAGCTTACACGCTTATTATATATTCCCATTCATCAAACATAATAATCAAGAAGGCAGCAAATGGTAGAGATAACAAATTATTCAGCAACACCATCGAAACTTCATTGAGAGAGCCAGATCTTGTGTATTTTTTTGCTTCATCCATGACTCGCCGTAGAGTGAGCTGTCACAAAGACAAAATATTTACACAAATCATAAAATGACCTGCACAAGAGCTGTAGTTGCTGTGGTCCAAATTTAAAGTTACAGGTCTCCAAAACAAACTAAAAACTAACAGATCTCCAAAACTATAGCTCTACTACTTACTGAGTAGCTTGCTGTTAGTATGCAATTCGAAATCTGCCATGCGTAACCTAATGTATCAAAGGAGATATCTGTAATGCCACTGCTGATAGCGGAGATAATCTGTGATACATAAGAGACAAAAGTACTCATTGACACTTTTATGTCAAACAGTTGTCTGGGGAAGAAACAAGTAAATATATTTCATCTACGGAGCAATATACATGATATGCGAATCAAAATGCTGGCAGTTTCTTGCAAAACATTAACTGTAGAGTTGATTACCATCAAAAACATGGCAGTCCACACTTTCTGACTCTGATGTTTCCGGAACAAATATAATTCTCCAATTGCTGTTAAAATATTTGTCACATTCTTCAGAATGGTGACCATTGCAATATTTACGTATTTCAAACTGAAAGGAAAAAGAAAGAACCAAAATACATTAAATTTTAAATGTATGTTAGAATATGTTTTAGTAATCAACCATATAGAGCTTCAAACTAAAGAGAACTATATATTGTGGATCGTATCACCAATATTCCCTTCAGAATTTGTCCTCATTCCCTCTACTCTAGGCCTGAGCGAACAATAAGCTCCAAATTGAACAAATGAAAAGCACCTAAAAGTGCAGAGTATACAATTATTCAACTTACCTATACATGCCAGACACAAGCATGCCGATGAAGATTATGTTGACAGGGATCCAGACCCTGACCAGTTTCCAATTGAGCTTTTCCACAGTAACAGCTCCAGAGAAGCCCAAGAGGACAACAATTACGGAACTTATCAAATTCTGCAAAGAAGCATATGGAACAAATAAAGATTCCATTTGGCTGGCTAAATTTGTGGAGTTTCATAAGAAAAATTATCACCCAAGAAGTGACAAGGACCCCATTATTATTAGCCTAGCTAGAAAATACACAAAACAGGAAGACATCTGCAACTTATAAATATAAAACTTCTACATGGTAATTTCATCCTTACCGAAAAGCGGGTTGGAAGGGAGTGAACATGCTAACCTGATAAAACATCAAGGATACTCCTGCATTGAAGTTGTAACTGGACAGAACAACTTTGTTCAGCAGTATCATGCTGCAAGAAGAAATGCAATAAGCTGTCCCAGACAACAGAGGTCCAGATTTCTTTGCTGACCCATGTCCACGCTTTTCATTCGGAATAGAGACAGTCTCGCCATGCCCAGCTCGACTCCCTCTAAACAATCTGCTTTAACAAAGAAAGAGAAACAAACAAAGGAAATGCGCCAAATTAGCAATGAGGCAAATTTACCACACAGCTTTCATATCCCATATGCTCAAGCTAAGAAGCCATGTGCTTAAGCTAACAGTGACCCCCACCAGCAGAAATTGGTAGTGTTTATCAAAGTTACTTCCAAGGAAGAGAATCAAATTTATATTGCGCAACTCTTTAACAGAAAATGCAAAAACCAAATAAGTCCCATTTCTTGTGGAGCTTCAAAGCATCAAATTTTAAAATGAAGAGTAGGTAGCTGATGACTCTACCTGTCACTCAAAATCGTAGCTCTACGTTCTGGAAGAATGGTATGAACTGCATTTAGAGAACCAACTTCTGGGTCCTCACTATCATGGCCTTTAACTGCATCTAACTTGAAATCAGATGACATATCACCCACCTGCAAAAAAATTAGCAACCCGATTGAAAACTAAACTCCAATTTTCATTTTCTGAAACTCAAAGCCTCAAATCATATCCATTTCTATTCAAAGATGTATATGATCTTACCAATGGAATACCCTTTTTAGTTTAGTCTTCCAAGCTAGAGAAAATGTATAACAGAAGAAGACAAGGAATGGGAAAAGCTTAACCAACCACAAAAAGGGGTTTGAATAAAACCAGAAAGCGAGAGATATCAAAAGCCAGGGTAGTGGAAATCATGAAGAAAACGTGAATCCATGAATACCATCTTTTTGAAGAGCACGCAAAGGCAATTAAGTGTGGATCTGGGTCAAGTTGTGACAGACAGTACTCTTTCTGTGGCTGAAAGAGAGAAAGAAAGAAGGAAAGAGAGGGAGAGTGAGCATTAAGAAAGGAAGAAACAGAGTGGGAGAGAGCGATATTCCAGCTGAGAGACGACCGCCATAGAAATTGAATAATATTTGGGAATGTGGAACACTTCCCCATTTTCCTCCCAAAGTCAAATGCTGGTGCTGACAAACATGATTCATCTCTCTCTACTCTCTCTCTCTCTAGAACAGGAAGAAGGTTAACGGATGTGAACTGGGTCTTCTTTGTTTTTGTCTCTTCTTCTCTTCTGTGGATCGAATCGGGGACGCTGGAATCTGGAATTAGCAAGAAATAATTTGGGTTTCGTATGGAATTTCAAACGGTTTGCTTTTTGAGCGGAAATTACGTAATTGGTTGTGATCTGGGTTTGGGCCACATTTGAGAACATTTTACAAGTACAGCCGTTCGGCTATACCCTTTAAATATAATATATTCAACGTACAGCCGCACGGCTATAATCTATAAATGGAATATTTACATGTATGGCCTCGCGGCTATACTATATAAATAGAAAATTTTAAACGTATAGCTGTACGGCTATACTCTCTAAATAGAAAATTTTACGGCTATAACCTTCAATATAGCCGCGCGGCTATACGTTATAAATGGAATATTTAAACGTATGGCCGTTCGGCTATACCCTGTAAATAGAAAATTTTACGGCTATAACCTTTAAATATAGCCCGGCGGATATCATTTATAAATGGAATATTTAACAGTATAGCCGTTCGGCGATACCCTATAAATAGAAAATTTTACATGTACAGCCGTGCTGCTATAAGCTGTAAATAGGATATATTCAGAGGAAAGCCGAGCGGCTATACTCTATAAATGGATTATTTAAATGTATAGCCGAACGGCTAGTCGGTATAAATAGAAACTTTAAACGTATAGCCGCCCGGCGGGACTACATAAATAGAATATATACAAATTTATAAATAAACCCAATCTTAGACATGTATTTATAAAAAAACCCAAGTACTATTTAAACATAGAAACACACCCAAAATCAACCCCAAAGTCAACTTTTTGGGTGTGTTTATAAATGGGTTTTGAGTGTGTGTAATGATGGGTTTTGGGTGTGTTTATAAAGTGTTTTGGGTGTTGGGTTTTTTTATAATTTCAACCTCCATTTTGGGTGTTTTAGTGAAACTCCCTAGAATATATTCAGAGTATAGCCGCTCGGCCAGTCTATAAACAATTTTACAAGTACAGCCGTGCGGCTATAACCTTTAAATAGAATATTTTCAACGTATAGCCGTGCGGCGATACTCTATAAATGGAATATTTAAAGGTATAGCTTATAGGCTGTACTATGCTATATGAATAGAAAATTTTATAAGTCTAGCGGTTCGGCTACTGTAAATAGAAAATTTTACAAGTATAGCCGTTCGGCTAGACCCTTTAAATAGAATATATTCAAAGTATAGCTGTGCGGCGGTACTATAGAAGTAGAAAATAAAAGTTAGCTGTTCGGCTATACCCTTTAAATAGCATACTCCGAATTTCTCTTTTGTAGTTACTTTAATTATTGTTTACTTAGTGAATAATTAGTGTTTAAATATTTTATTAAATAAAAAAAAATTAGTTACCATTTATTAAGTAATATGATTTATGAAGTAAATTAAAATATTTAATACTAATTATTCAATAAAGAAATAATAATTAAAATATAATTGTAGATAACTAGAAAATCAGAAGTACAGATTGTAATAGCTGTGTTTGTATATACTAATCATGTCACCGCGATTCATTATGTCATATGAGTGTGGTGGGTGATATTACATTTAATTTTGCCGTTTCGTTTTGTCGGGGTGAGTTCGGGCCAAGCTCACAGCAGCAAAAGAAAAGTTGGGGAGAGAAATTCGTGTTTTTGAAACGTCAGCTGCTTCTTCTTGGCAAACTGAAGAGTCTATTACTGGTATGAAGTAATTCAACTATGCTACGCCAAACCATTCAGCTTCTTGCTTATTGGAAGTCTTGTGAATGCCTCAAGTATTTTATTCTAAAAAACTCAATAACATGAACGAAATTTGATAAACTAATGGGAATTTAATTACACATTCAAAGACTTATACTGATACATGCAATTGGAGTTATTCTTATGGCATTTATACTTGCTATATTTCATTAATGCAATATGAATAGATAAGGTTCTTAAAACACGAAAGCTTAAAGAGGCAGCACAGGCAGATGATGCTTCAGATGCTAAGTCAGGTCCCTTCCTTCAGGAAGAGATCATGTCTTTGAAACGTTTGAAACTCCTCACTAAGCATGCAGAGCCTGTTGAGTCTGCACCAGAAACGATACCAGAGGCATCACCTCCTGTCAAAGTGGCTGAAACTGTGACATGAATCACATGAGTTCTATAAATTGATGAGCGCAACTCCCTATCTTTAAGATTGTGCTGATTCTGGCCGTTATTTGATGGCTGCAACTTGCCGTCGGATATGAAATGTCAGCACTTGTGCTTTGCTAAGGTGGTTCATATTTTCTAAAACAATATATGAATGTTAACCATATATGAAATGTCAGTGACTGCTGCTAATTATTTTGCCTTTTCATCTTACATCTTTGAATATTTTGTTTAGTGTTGACTAGGCATTTGTATTGCATGTTTTCCCAACTTCCTTTTTCTGTGTTTATCAAAGGGGAGAGGATCTGAATGGCAAAGAAAAACGTATGGGGAAGAAGGGATTTGGATGCTCTACACCCTACAAAATTTAATCGAGCGGGTCGAGTCATGTATGAGGGCATGTCGGAAATTGTCACCAAATAGAAAATAAATGTTTTCAACTAGGAATATCATTTAAAGAAATAATTTTTTTATCTACTACTGGGGGTTAAAAAAGCATTAAAATTTAACCTGGAAAATAAAATTTAAAAAAAAAAAAAGGCCCAGACCCGCCTAGGCGGGCGCCTAGCGCCTAGGTGGATTTTTATTTATTTTCAGATGATTCAATCGCCTTTAATTTGTGGTGATACACTGGAATTCACGTAATTGTTTATAGTTGGTGCTCTTTCTTTATGCACCAAGCTCTCAGAGCTTCACATCAAAGCTCCTGAACATAGCTTTGCCTACACGAAGAAAACTATCGAACGAGCGTTTGGCCGCAAGCTCCAGGAGATTTTTGATAATTTTGAAGAGAAACCAGTAGCATCTAGAAGTATTGCTCAAGGGCATGGTGCTGGTCAACAGGTGAAGCCCATAGTAGTTGCAACAAAGGTTAGGCATCCTGCTGTTTGTGAATCGATTAGGAGAGATTTTATTATAATCAATCTGGTAGCAAAAATTTCAAACTTGATTCCTGCTTAAAGTGGTGGAGATTGGATGAGAGTGTACAGCAGTTTGCAGTTTTTATCATGTCTCAAGTTGATCTTGCAAGGGAAGCTGCCCATTTTGTGCATCCTGCTATTTTGGTGGAAACTTATTAACAAGTAATTCCTACATGGTTGATTTTTTTTCTCTCTATTGTTCTATCTTCCACCATCTTCTCTCTAAAAATGGGCAGGTAATTCACCTTCAAAGGTTTTGCCTTGTTAGTTTTTCCTTAACAGTTCTGGAGATCCGTTGTTCGGGTGTTCCTTATTAAATAAGTTGCAAGTTTGATATTTGCACTTTAAATATATATTCCTCCTCTATGCTAAGATTATGCAAAGAAAGAATTTCATATTAGAATGCTTTTCAATCCAACTTCCCCTTGTCTCAAAGCCTGAATTTTGTCAAGCACAATTGAAATATGTGATATATATTTGTAGTATTCACTCCTTTTTTTCGTTTATTCATCACTGTGTGTGTTATGGTTGTAGACAAAATGCAGTTCCTCAATGATGTTATGAACTCAGGAAGCTTCTGTTACAAGTTTTCCTCCTTAATAATCTACATTCTGTATTTGATTTTAGTCTATACTTGGCCAAAGTTTTCTAATCTTCTTCTTTTTACAGCAAGTGGAGGAGGCATTCGCTTTCTGGGGGACTCCAGAAGGTGATCTGGTCCATCCTGCTGAGTGTATGCAGCAGTTACTGGAGAAAGGCATCATAGAGTCAATGTCTGTACTGTCATGGTAACCACTTCGGTTCTTGAGGTAATTTATTTTTTCCTTTATCTACTGCAGCTGAAGCATGGAAATTCTGTAATCTTTGCAACATAGGCATGTGCAATTTATAAGCACAAAGACAATTAACTTAAAGCACACGGAGATTATCAAGTTGTCTTCTTTATTTGTTTTTCTGCTTTTGTCTGTCGGCCATATATCCTTTACTCCTTTCTCTTCTCCTCATAAATTTAATTTAATTGTCTCAGAAAAACAAATACGATAGTTTTTTATATTATATAATAAGTTTACCATGAGTAGCAGAAATAGACAATAACTGATATCTTATACAAATCTGAGAGGCAATTTGCTCCAATTTATATTATCATTGGTGTGGTCATCAACAACTGATCTTATACAAATATCATCACTGATTATGTTTTGCAGGGATGGCAGCGGAAACTTGATCCCGGTTACAATGTGATGCAAACACTGCTTCTCAAAGCTAACTGAGGGGCTAATGGCTCCATAAGAAGGTCTTGTCAGTGCTAATGCTATGATTATACAAAATCCAAAATATACCAATCCCAAGAAGTGGACATGAACATCTAGATCTTTATTCATTTAATTTTTGTTGTTGTTTTGGAATTGCAATACGTTTTGAAGGTTCAATCCTTCTGTATTTAGTTTGTTTTTATTTTTATTTAAAAAAAAAACATTACTGTTTTTGAAGCCTCACAATTCACATGTAAAAACAGTAGAGAGGTAAAAGACAGAAATAAAGTGGAATGCTGTTCTTTTTTTGGTAACCTTGCTGCTCGGCTATACGCTTTAAATAGAATGTTTTCAATATATAGCCGCGCGGCTATACTCCGTAAATAGAAAATTTTAAACGTGTCGCCGCGTGGCTGTACCGGTTAAATAGAATATTTTCAAAGTATAGCCGCACGGCCATACTCTATAATATAGCCACGCGGCTATACGCTTTAATTATCGGTTATGTTTTAATTATTGTTTACTTAGTGAATAATTAGTGTTTAAATATTTTATTAATTAACAAAAATTACAAAAATAGTTACTATTTATTAAGTAATATGATTTATGAAGTTAATTAAAATATTTAATACTAATATTTCATTAAAAATATAATAATTAAAATATAATTACTAATGAAAATAATTAAATAAGGCTAATATATTATTTAAAAAGTATTTATGTTTTAATTATCTTAGACTTTTTAAATTACTTTAACCAGTAAGGGTTTCCTTTTCTTTTTTTTTGGGTAAGAGGGGGGGCTAAAAGCCCAAACCAAACAGACTACAAAGCAGTAAGGCTATCCTTTTGTCATCATGCTAACATGGCAGGCAGGCACCAATCGCCATAGAAATCCATGCCCCTTGTGTCATCAACTATCGAGATTCAAGGTTAATCGTGATATAGGACAAGCCGACAAGGCCACAAGGCCATGGGGCTCAACCTACACCACACACTAGGACTCTATAATTACATGATCCTTCTATAATTAGTTTCACGTGAGTGTTGATAATATTATTTTAATGTTTAACATTTTATCTTTATTTATAGAGAATTCTTGTAGAATATAAATTCTTATTTTCTTCATAGACTATTATTTGATATCTTTGTTTTCTGTTTTTTTAGTACAAGTTACAGTCTTGCAAGGGAGAGGGTTCTCTCACACAAACAACTAAGATGTTATGGGGGTTAAAACTTGAGACTTTTAGTCTGCAAGTCAATACTCATTTTCACTCAGCTAGACCCTGTTCTTTTAAAATAAAGTGTTTGTGTTTTCAAAATTTTCTTAAATAAGGCAATTTTGAGTTATTATAAATTTGAACCATAAAACCTTTCTTTTATTGCCTCGTTAGTTGGCCGGAGAAGGGATTTGGGAATACAAATTGATTTGCTTTTTCTATGTTTGGTAAGTCCAAACTTGGAAAACGATTTCCTCAGCTCATTGGAAAAATAAGAGTGAAAATAAGAGCATGGCTTGGCTCCTTAAGGAGGAACTCCTTAATATGACACATGTCAAAATCACATTAATTATAAAGAGGAACTCATCCTCAATCTTCAAGAGCCAAGCTTTTTCCAGAAAATAAAACCCATGAGAAACACAGACAAGCATTAATTACACTATTTTAAAACCAATCAGCTCCTATTAACAATTGAAAATACCAAGGCAAGCGCTAAATTTATTGTATAGTCTAATTTAAGGGGTATAATTTTAAAACTAAACAAAGTGTGTTTCCAATTTCTCCACAAATCAAACATGTGAAATAAAATAAAATGACATTTTCCAATTACTTTTCCAGCATTACCAAACATGAAAAATCAATATTCAATTTCCCTTCCCCTCTTGACTTCTACTCAATTCCTTTACGCGGACTAAACATGACCTATATATATATATATATAGATATAGATAGCAAGAAAATAAAAATAAACATTATCCACATACCTATACCTTATACCTCTATTGTAAAAATCAAAAATCAAAATCATGATGACTGATATGCAGTTGCAAATCACAAAAAAAATAAAAATAAAAATCACAATCCTTGGTCTAAAATAAGGGCTACAACTTCCAAACATGTCCAACACTCACACTGTATACACAATCACAAAGCAAGGAAGCACAGCCCTCGGATTAAACACCAAGAGCTCCTCCTCATCCATCCTCGTGTGGGCCCCACTCCCTCCTCTCCCCACCACCGAGTCAAACCCGCCGCCCTCCTTGTCCACGTCATGCAGATCCTCCTCCGAGTCACACCCGACCCGACCCGCCACGACCCGACAAACAAGCATGGCACGTTTCACGTTCATGAACTCAAACTCCTCCTCGATGTCCTCCGGGATCGCCACGTGTGCCCTGGAGCTACTCGACAGCGTGGAAATGCCGTCCAACTTGGGTGAGAATCCGGATTTAATAATCCCGCAGACGCTACAGTACTCGCGATTACAAATCCCGGAATTCCCGTTGAGTCCCAAGTCGCACACGAAAGTCGAGCAGTGAAATCGGAGAAGCTCGTTCCCGTCGGCGATGCACCGCTCGTCCCTCCTCCGAACTGCGCCATTTCGCACCGCTTTGCACTTCACGGCCTCTCTGTACTCCTCGAACCTCGACAGGATTTTTTCGCTGTTGTGGATCTTCAAGATCCGGCGAATTTCGGGGGCTTTTCGGGTATCGGTCCAGCCGGTTTTGAAAATGATCCGGACGATGTTTTTGCCCGAGTCTCCGTCTATGAGCTCCGAAACGGCGTGGCGGGTCGCTTGGTGGTTGTCGAGAGTCTCGGGTTTCGGGAAGATTTCGCCGCAGGCGGTGCAGGGGAAGATATCATTTCGGAGAGGGAAGAAGGGGTGGGAAGCGGCCGAAATGTCGGATTCAGGGAAGGAGCCAGATGGGTATTTGGAGTCCGGGTCGGGTTGGACGAGGGAGACGATGGAGTGGTGGGAGGAGCGAGGAGGCGTGGAGAGGTGGGATTGGATGATGTTGGTGCAGGTGATCTTGCAGGTTCTTGGGGAGGTGAAGATGCGCTTGAGATAGGACCAGGAGGCTGTGAGGGCTTTTTGGGGTTTTAGGGTGGGTTTAGAGAGAAGGGAAGAGAGCTTGTGTTTTTTGGTTGGAGGGTGGTGGTTGTTGGTGGTGAAAGTGAAGCAGCCAAGGTGGAGGAGGAGGATGAAGAGAGAGAGGAACTTGTGGAAGAGTGTCGATATGTTGGCCATTAGGGTAAAGGGAGTGAGACGAGCTATCAAGCTATAGGGTTAGTCATGAAGGTGGAGAAGAGGTGATTAGGAATGAGATGAGAGAGAGAGAGAGCAATGATGGAGGAAGAAGAAGAGAGAGGATCATGAAAGGGGGAGAAGATGGAGAGAAGAGGAGGAGGAGGAGGGTGGGGCATGGGAGCAGTGGAAGAAGAAGAATAAAGCTAAAAGAGAGTAAGAGTGGGTGGAAGGCAACTTCATGGTATCTCTTTGTCTGCTGCCTCTAGCTATGCTCTTAGTCTTATGTAATGTGGCTAGCTATATATTATTATTATTATTCTTGTGGAGAGTTTTTGAGTGAGAATATCGCTTTGCGTTTTTATGAATCATGAGATTGTATAGTTTGTTACAGTATTATATATCTGTTACCATGTATTGAAGAAGACGGTTAATATTGCATATTATTACCGTTAACCGAATATAATTGTCTTCCATTTTAAGATAATCTAACAAGATCCATGCTTGAAGTCCTTTGATGTTGATTGAAAAAAATTATATATACAGAGAGCTTCCATTGAGGGATCCTTCAAATAAACTTATTTGATAGACATCCATTGTAGGGCCCACTCCAGATTGTATTTCACTAATTCAAACCGTCTATTTTGTTGATACTCATTCAATGATCATCTTTACAAAAAATCACTTGAATCCGATATCATTTGACCATTCAATTGAGTTATTGAAATTTTAGTAATTTTTTGAAGCACCGTGTTCATTGATTTTGTAGAACACAATTGGATGTCGAAACGGTTTCCGATTTGTCTAATTTTTTGTAAGGATAATCTATGAATGAAGACTTAAAAAATAGATTGTTTGGATCATTGGAAAAAAAATTGTAGGGTACCCTAAAGGGCGTCCCTTAATAGAAGGGGACTGTATATATATATATATATATATATATAAAGAGATGCATGCATTGGTTGCATATTTTCAATATAAATTTCTACAACAAACTTTAATGTTAGAGTATTACCAGTGGTTGGGTGTAAAAGATATATATATATATATATATATCACATTTACACATCTTTTTGTCGAAAACAACCGCATCCCCCAAATACGTAAATGAGATATAAAAGTGGTTTTACACCATCGAATTTACACCTTCCACTGATAATGCTCTTAATAATAACAATATTCAATGAACTTTGATCAATAATCTAAATCTTAGTAAAGAAAGGTAAATTTGTTGTCTAAAAATCACATGCAATGTAGTTATTAAACGTTGAGTTGAGTATTTCATACTTCTAGTTTTTTTCATATATTTTGAGTCCATTGTGAATGTTATATTTACAAGTCTTCACATTTACGACGCATTTTAGTCATAATAATTAACATTTGAATTATTTTTTTTAATGGCTATAAATATTTTGTGCTCTTTATGATTCAGGAAGGCATGCTTTTGTTTGGCTAGAACATGATGCATGCACTCGAACACCCCGCAGGTATCACATGGATCTTACCCTTAACCATAATTTCATATTTAATTATGGCCAAATAAAAGCTATAATGAAATTAATATCTCATCTCATGTCAACGATCGACAATCCAAAACCCTCTTGACAAGTTGACGACAGTATATGCAGTCTTCTCACAGCAATATCTCTGGAGAAATTAAAGAACGATTTTCGACTAGTTCAAACTCCTAGATTTGATACTGTGTGTGGACGTGGTGGTTCCACACGTGCAAGGGCCAAAACCCTTTTCTGTGAAAGACAAGACATGAACCAAAAACATGACACATGATTTTTGTCTAATTGCAGGTTTCTTTTATTTTTATGGCTAGCTAACTTCGAGGGAGTTACTTAATAAATCAAAATTTGTTTTAGTGCTTCACAGAATCGATTCTTTCTACTGCTGGCCATGCATTTTGGAGACATATGCTTCTGATTTTCTTTTTTCGTTTTCAGGAATCAACCACACTACCATATGTTAATTAAACTACTCTTTTGCCCCCTCTCTTTGGACGCTGCTAATTAAAGTCTAATTAGATGGTTGATGTATTAAAACTTAGGGTTTGGAACGGGATGTGTAACCCTTATATCTACAACGCTTGTTACGTATCATTGTCAACACAAGAGTTACATCAACTCAATAAATGTTAATTTTCCTCTTTATAAGGTTATACACACGATAACTATATATGCATAACTGACTAGTAAGATCAAATAAGATAAGCATACGTACCCCTTCAACATATCCCATTTTATGGACAACTTTGTAGTAAATAGTATTAATGCCATTATTTCAAGAATGATGTAGGACTAAATATGAGTATTTATCTTTACATTTCCGGTAAGAGTCTGACTATTCATTATTCTTTCAATAATAAAAATAAGAAAAATGTACACCATTTGGTGTTTTGAGTAATGCTAAGGTTTTAGTGAAGCTTTAATCCCTAACTAGAAAAACATTAGGGGAAAAAGAAAAAGAAAAATATAATTTTGATGGATTCAAACAAGTAGAGATCTACTATGTCGTGATATATTGGTGCCAAATCTCATCAAGATGCCCCCAAATGGTCATTATTTAATTGTGGGCTCTAGCCTATACAATAGTTTAATGTGGGCCAAGTGGCCCACTTGATGACCAGGCCGAGCTTCTTGGTGGGCCAATATGATTCAGATGAATGTTATGCTCAAATCTCCTTGTCTCTCATGAGTCATGACACGTCACAGGCCCCACTTCTTCAATTATAGTATGAGGTAATGATCGTAGCCAAATGACCCTGCCTTACTAAGAAATTACAGAATTTACCACAATTGTGAAGTTTTTTTTAAGGTTAGTTTGGGAAACTGAAAAAAGTTAACCTTCTTGATTGGGGCATATTTTACGCGGAATTAGTGAATATTTATTTTTCTGATATTTGAGTGCTTCTATTACCGCCTGAATACACACTCATTTCTCACCCTTCATTTTAACTCTTTTCATTAAAAGATTCAAGTAATTTTTTGTGTGAAGAGAATCTCGATGGAACGGGGGAAACTTTATTGATAAAATGAAAAATTACAACGGGGGACAACACGCCTGACCCCGACTCAATAAATCATATAATAGGGCTTCCTGAATAAAATCAAGAGGCACCTCAAACTAAATAAAGTTGTCTACATTATGCGGACTAAATCGAGCAAGTCGGTGTGCAACACTATTTTTTTAATTTTTTTTTTAAACATGGTCGAGTGAGCATTTTTTAGGATAGTATCTTGAATTATAAATTTATAGGTTAGTTCGACTGTATTCATAGCAATAGTATTTTTCTTTATTAGGAAGCAAGTTAATGAGTGAGATTGACTTTGACCATATTGTTGACTTTACAAGAAGCAAAACACACCACCAGACTAAAGGGGAATAGGAAAAAATGAACAATCAATTGGCCGTTAATAAAGAAAAAGAGAAAAAAGAAGCTCTGTTTGCCTTTCTCTTTTGGTAAAGCTTTTCTATTTGCGTAACAAAGAAAAGCTTTTTCTATTTTGACCGTGTATTTTCTTTATCCTTTTTCACCTGTCGCCCAGCCCACGAGAAAGCTGCCGACATTGATTTACTTTTAGATTAGTGGGTAATGATGGTGTGTATTAGTCTACATAATTTATGGAATATATTGGTGACCACATATGTCCCTTTGGCATCTTGGAATTTTCTTCGGGTGTGCGCTTAATACAATTTCATTACGTAATGTTGTTACTTCACACGTTAATGTTAATCATGTGATGCACTAAACTATCTTATCACCTCCGGCCATGTCCTTATCAGTATCACTGAATATGAAGTATGTGGAGTATCAATCAAAGTTTTGTGAGTGACCCATTTGATGGACACACTTATATTCTCATTGTGGGGGGTGTGGGGTTGGTTAGAAATTAGAATTGAGGATCATCATTCATGATCATATGCATTAGCAAATTTTCCGATTCTTCTAATCTTTGTTTTGGGTTTTATATATTTAATTTAATGTGGTGTGGTGGGATCAAAGCTCGAAAGTCTTTTGTCGAAAGCTGAATGAATCTTTAGCGGTAAGTTTTCAGTTTCCACATCAAAAGGCTTTAACCTTCTGAGTCCAATTGCCTTGCATGATTGATGCACAAAGTATTTGGCTTTATATTTCCATGTGACTCATGATTGCTTTGCTATCCTATTACAGTTGTACAAGACCCTCTCAGCATATGAATAACCTAGTTAAGGGTTTATATGAAACGAGGTGTATATTTTTATGTGTTTGTCTTTTTCTCACGTGAATAACAGGTAAAATAAAGTGTATATTCTTATGTGTTTGTCTCTCTCCTCATGCGAATGTCATGTGAAGAAAGCGACATACACTACATTTCATGTAAGTCTTTCTCTCTCCCAGTTTATGCATCTTGGTGTGTAAGATATGGTGGCTAAGTGACCCACAGTGTTGAATTGGTTCAGTTCTTTCCAGGGGTTATAATTGTTATTTCTACAAGAGAAGAGGGACACAATAAAAAAAATCAAATAGAAATGATTCATAGAACAAAGATTGGACCTGCTTTGGTGTCATGGTGGGCTAGATGTACTGCTTTTGCAGAAGAAAAAAAAAGTGATATATGTGGAGGGAATACTGCCTGGCTCCCTATTTGTAAGACATAACATACGTACAGAAATAATTTGAGTTCAATATAAATATTCCTTAAAACTATTAGAAGAAATTTTTCCACATGCATCAAATTGTGATTTGTTAGGAAGGAGGTACGTCATTCGGACTTTTTTTAAAAAAACGATACTGCTTTCCCACCTATCTCAATATGAGTAGAAGAAGAGGTTTTCTTCTCTCCCATGATAAATGTTTGGTGAGATTTCAATGATCTACATTGAATTTGGCCCCAAAGAAAGGATAAAAAATCTGTATAAAATAGTGTATATGAGGCCGTTTTACGCATTGTAAGCTTTGCAATTTCAATTCTATACTTTTGCTTTCTCAATTTCTGCTGCCAAGTTTTGTGTGTTTTTTTTAAACTTATGGTTGGATTCTCTTCTAAATCTGGAGTCCCACAACTGTTGTAAACAAGCAGATTGTTTTGGGTTACACATGACCATCTTGCCGGTTCAAAGCTTTGCTTGGGTTGACGTAACTATATCATTCCAGAGGTTTATGTTAGATCAACAGTTGAATTTTAAAAAAATAAAAATAGAGGATTAGACGAGATTAACTTCTCAAATCAAATCACGTGACGCAAAAGCAATGGTTGATGATCATATGCTCTACAATAGGGCACATATCAACAGTTGTGATACGGTATTTGTTAGCTGAAATCTCATTATGGGAGTGGGTAAAAATGTTTAGGACTTAAGTCAAATTACAAGTTATAGTCTGAACTACAAGGAGAGGGGGGTTTCTCCAACACACATTATCAAGATATCGTGGGGCTTCAAACTTGAGACAACTGGTCTACAAGTAGAGCTCTTTTCTATTAGGCTAAACTTCGTTGGCTAAAAAAATAAAAAAAGATTTAAGACCTAAAGAAAAAAAAAAAGAATAACGTGATTGAATTATGGACCGAACATTATTTGATCCTTTTTGTACCTTTCACAATGTACAGCCCAGCCCAATTTCTCTAATAAGGCCTCACTGAGAACAGTATTAAAATAATAATTCCAATTCAATTTTCAGTTAATTACCCGCCAACCCGAAAAAAGCGGAAAAACCGTCGTCCTCTTACCCTTACCCGCAACGATGCAATCCCTTCCGTGCAACCGCCACGTGTATTAACTACAGCCAATGCACATAAATATCCCTCCACATTTCTCTCTCCGAAATCTTACCCCAAGCTTATAGCATGCGTGTTTCGCTGCGAAGAAGCTCTGAATACTGAGTAGCGAGTGAGTGACTCAGTGAGTCGTTTCATGCGCTCGTACAAACCATGAACGCCAGAGCTATTATTTACTCCTTCTCCCACAAGCCCCACATCCCGCCCACCGATATTTCGGCCCCCAAGAGAAGTTTCGGTCCCGATTCCAGACCCCAAACCCCGTTTCGGTTTCGGGTACAGATTCAGAACCGGGAACACTACTGGGTTCTTCGGGTTTCGGGCAGGGACTCTGGTGGTGGTAGGAGGAGAGGTGGGAAGTTGTTTGCGGATGTTAAATCGGAGGCGTACGATATATCGGAATCGGTGGATAAGTTTGAGAAGGGGCTGAACGATGTCCCTTCGGGAAAGGAGGAGGAATTGGAAGAGGAGCCTTTGGCTGTGGCTGAGGCTTCGTGGTTAGAACAGTTCCCGAAACGATGGGTCATCGTCGTTTTGTGTTTTTCGGCTTTCCTTCTTTGCAACATGGACAGAGTAAGCTTAAAGCTTTTGTTACAAAAAAAGAAGAGCTTAAAGCATTCATGCTTGTACAGTTTCAAAATGGGACATGGAGCATGAAACTTAATTATAGAGCAATAAAAAAGTTATTTTTTCTGAATTATGGCAGGTAAATATGAGCATTGCCATACTTCCCATGTCAGCAGAGTACAATTGGAACCCAGGAACTGTGGGTTTGATACAGTCTTCTTTTTTCTGGGGCTACCTCCTCACTCAGGTTAATTACATTACCTTTTTTAATATTCTTCAAATGAACATATGGGCCATGGAGAAGTCAAAGCCTTTTGCTTTGTAACAGTGTTAATTTAATGTGTGACACATTCCTTGTGGGCCATGGAGAATATTAATACTTAGATGGTTTTATGGGTTTTATCTGTTCTTTTAAACTTATAATTAAGAGTTGCAGATTGCTGGTGGCATTTGGGCAGACACAGTAGGTGGGAAGCAGGTCTTGGCATTTGGAGTCATTTGGTGGTCCATTGCCACTATTCTCACTCCTGTTGCTGCTAAAGTCGGATTGCCTTTCCTACTTGTTGTTCGTGCTTTCATGGGGATTGGTGAGGTTGGACTTCTAAATTTACTACGACTATTTGGTAATATTTGCTAATTGCTAATTACTATGATGCCTATTTGTTACTTGGACAACAGGGCACTGAATGTGTTCTTGCTTATTTAGTATGCTTTTGTTTTCAGGGTGTTGCTATGCCTGCAATGAATAATATTCTGTCAAAATGGATTCCTGTAGCAGAGAGAAGTAGATCTTTGGCTCTGGTTTACAGTGGGATGTACCTTGGATCAGTGACTGGCTTGGCCTTTTCACCATTTCTAATACATCAATTTGGATGGCCATCAGTTTTTTACTCCTTTGGTTCTCTTGGGACTGTCTGGTTTGCTGTATGGATAAGCAAGGTGATTGAACTTTACCGCCGTTATTGAATTAGTATGGTTTTTCATGAAACATGTTACTTTTGCAACCTAAGTCAGGATTTTTCATTGTAATTTGTAATCTATGTCATCAATCAATTTTTTATTTACTGATGTGTATGTTTTATCTTTGATGTGTTTTCGGGGGTTCTTGCTATAGGCACACAGTTCACCTCTTGAGGATCCTGAGCTTCGACCTGCAGAGAAGAAGCTAATTCTTGCCAGCAGTGTTTCCAAGGAGCCTGTTAAAGAGATCCCTTGGAAATTAATTTTGTCAAAAGCACCTGTTTGGGCCCTGATAGTGTCTCACTTCTGTCATAATTGGGGAACGTTTATTCTTCTTACATGGATGCCTACATACTATAACCAAGTAAGTCATTGTTGCTTGCATTTATTCTTCAGAAATTGCATGTTGAATACTGATTTTATAATCAATCCCACTACTAGGTGCTGAAGTTCAATCTTACAGAATCAGGGCTTTTCTGCGTCCTGCCCTGGCTTACAATGGCATTTTCTGCAAACCTTGGGGGGGTGGATTGCAGACACACTTGTGAGCAAGGGTTTCTCGGTGACGAGGGTTCGTAAGGTATTCTCATTCTCTAATGTGTTATGTACATCAAATTTTTTCTTTTTCTAAATGAGTATTATTTGAGAACAAATTTCCAAGATAGAAACCATATTTTTGTAACTGATCAACTGTCTGTATTGCTGACCTAATCGACATTGTCCCTTGCAGATTATGCAAACAATTGGGTTTCTTGGACCTGCTTTCTTCCTCACTCAGTTGAGCCATATTAATTCTCCTGCAATGGCTGTTCTATGTATGGCATGCAGTCAGGTATGATTCTTGCAGTACATGGAATGAGAAAAATAAATATATGTTCCTCTTCCTTCTTTTGGAAGCTTTATACAATTGCTTAACAGTTCTTTTGTTCATTTTATTATTTTCTATCTTTTAGCTAATTGGTTTTTGTTTCTCTTGCTTAAATAGGGAACTGATGCATTCTCACAATCTGGTCTATATTCAAACCATCAAGATATGCTCCACGATATTCTGTGAGTATTGGCTTTAGTTTCTGATTTGGCTTGCATATATGGAAATTTCTTCTGTGTAATTAGACATCTTACTGGGTTCCAAGTACATAAGCCCATCAATCACGTGCCAATGCATGCTTTCTGATTGAAGAGGAATTCTAGATGCTAAACAGATGGGTCTAATTTTCTTGTTCAAATTGTTTCTCAGGGTGTCTTGCTTGGTCTGTCCAATACTGCAGGAGTGCTCGCCGGCGTCTTTGGAACGGCATCGACTGGCTACATCTTACAACATGGTTAGTGCCCCTCTACTGCAATTCTTAGTTGCTAGTAAGCCAATTACTGAACTATATGGTGAACTAATTGAAGTTTGAATCCATTTTATTCTTCTGTTGCATAAAAATTGAATTAACCTGGTTTACATTTGTGACACTATTTTCATGCATTGCCTTACATTGGACAATCACATTTTATTTGTATACATAAACATCAGAGCATAGCACTCATTAGAATATAAATTCTGTTGACTAGCCAAAAACTTGTAGCTGCTTGTAGAAACTTTTGACTCAAATTGTCCTAGCTAGCTTGCTATTTTCATTTTCAGGCATAAGTAGAGATCAAATTGTCCTCATTTTTTTGGCCTTGTGGGCATCACATCAAGCTGTAATGTTCAAGCAAACAAGCTGATTCTGATATTCCTCTCTTTCCACATTGACATTTCTCAGGTTCTTGGGATGACGTATTCAAGGTCTCAGTAGGCCTTTATCTGTTTGGAACTGTTGTCTGGAATCTTTTCTCCACCGGTGAGAAGATCATAGAATAATCCATGTATGACTTGATCCTTACTAATCGTCCGGCAGCACTTCAATCCTGAAATAATATAGAAGAGAGGTACTTTAAAGGAGAGAAGTAGCAGAATGCCAAGAAATTCAATTTGGAAGGAAAACAGTATCATATTGCTGAGATTCTTGGACTTGAAGAATGGTTAAAAAGATTTTGACATGGGGCTCAAAAGTAGGAGATTAAAGGCTATTGCTTATTGGTTCCCGGCAGAATTTGAAGTTTGATAAATTGGTAGCATTTTCATACCATTTTCATGAATGATGATAGTACATAGCAAAAATGACCACAACACAGCCCCTCTGTAAATGTTATATCAAAAGACTAACATTTCAAATTTGTGGTTATGAAGCAATATGTTGTATGTATATGCATTTCCCATTAATATACATTTTCTGACAGCCAAGGCTTCATTCTTCTACCTTGGATTGAATTTAATCATCATCATACTAGTTGCACAATTACATCACAAATTGACCTTGTAAATTTGTAGTCCGCCTACATTGTCCATATCAAAATGCGCAACTTTAATGTTTCACCACGTTGTTAATTGTATCTCTCACAGGAATGAGATCCATGTAGGAATTTCTTGTGTAAACAAGTCTCACCTCTATAAGAGGTATTTCGAAATCCGGCTAGTGGCCATAGCAGTGTGATACAAATAGTTCTATTCTATTAAGATAAATGTAAATCAAAACATAAGCGCGCAAAAAATATGAAAGGAAGATTAAAATGTGATAGGAATTGAACTTGAAATTAATTAAGCATTCTAATCACACCACCTATAAGGATTAAAAGAGTATACATTTAAATTTTATTGATAAGTATAAGAAAAAACCCATATCAACTGATATGGAATATAATTAACAACACAAAGACATCAAATTTTCCAACTTAGATGAGCAACCATACTCATATTCAACCCACTAAACCCAGACCCACTTACCCTACCCAACTGACCGATAACAAAGTGATATAATAACATATACATTTTTTTAAAATTAAAAACAAATTAAATGACTTCAATTTGTATCCCACACAGATGGCACAGTTTTGATCTTCTCTTTTTCTCAATCCCGAAAATACCCCTCCCCTATGCTGAGGTGGCGGCGACCTGGCCTGGCCCACCACCAAGCTGACGTGGATGCAAATACACCTGAAGCCCATTCTTCATGAAGAGCGTGAGAGACATCTTCTGCTGGGCACGGAAACCGGGAACCGGAGACAAACGGTAACGCAACAGCACGGCCGAAGCTACCGACTTCATCTGCAGGTAAGCCAAGTCCTTCCCCAAACAAGTCCTCGGCCCGGCATTGAACGCCACGAACTTGTAACCGTCCTTGGGCGGTTCGAACCGGTTCCCGTCTGCCGAAATCCACCGCTCTGGTTTAAACTCCATACAGTCCTCCCCCCATATACTCTTCATCCTTCCCACCGAGTAGATCGAATACGTCACCGTCGAACCGGCCGGCACAAAAGTCCCGTCCGGCAAAACGTCGTCGTTCACAACGTACTTAAAGTCCTCTGGTACGGAAGGGTACAATCGTAAAGTCTCAGCCAGCGCGGCCTTCAAATAAACCAATTTATCTGCCTCGTCGAACACCAGGGGCTCTTCGAGCCAGAGGCGCTGATCGTCTCCACGTGTCGATTTCAGGACCGTCGAGATCTCGCCGACGATCTTGGCCTCGATTTGGGGATTGTTCATGACGAGGTAGAAGAACCAGCTGAGCGCGACGGACGACGTGTCGCGGCCGGCGAGGACGAAGTTGAGGGCGATGCGCTGGAGGACGGCGCTCGGGAAGGGGTTCCCGTCGACATCGCGCTTGTTCATGAAGCGGGAGATCAGGTCGTCGGACGGCGTCGCTTTGCGCGCAACGATGGCTTCGTTCATGTAGTTCTCGACGACACGGAGGCTCTTCTCTAGCCGTCGCTCGGCTCCGAGGCCGAAGGTCTTCTGCAGTCGCCAGAGGAAAGAGGGATAGAGGAGGCGTTGGAGAGTGCTTTCGGTGGCGTTGTCGAATGCCTTGGCAAACGGGTTATCGGGTAGTTCCGGTGACAGCGTTTCCGGGTCTTTGCCTGTTGAAAAAATATTAATTCAGATGCTTTTTTTTTGGAAAATTATAAATAATAATGTTAAGTTTATCATTCTCATTTTAATTTAAAAAAGAAAGGAGTTTATCAAACATTTCATTTTTAATACAGTCGATATTGGTGGAGAGAAGTTTCGAACAAAGAAAGAGATTTATCAATTTTTTATTTATTTATACAATCGATATTGGGGAAGTAGGAATTCGAACAAAGAATGTATCGCCTCTAAACAAATAATCACAAGGATATATTAAAAAATAAATATCTAAACATTAGTGAAGATTTAGGTAAACAAGAAGGAAAAAAAGTGTAATTTAAAATCTTTTTTCTTTTTAAACATGATATAGGTGAGCTACTCGATTTTGATTTGGAACATTACCGAATGTGAGGCCGCAAATGTTGTCGAACGTCAACCGAAGCAAAAGGTCCTGTAAGTCCACCGCGATGTGATCTTTGGCCGCCTTATCCAAAATGCACCACAGCCGGGTCCTGATGGTCCTGTTCACCCACCGAGCCATGGCCTGCCTCAGCGTCCGAGTTGTGAACTCCAACGCCGCCGTTTTCCTCTGTATCAGCCACGTCTCTCCGTCGCTATTGAATATCCCTTCCCCCAAAAGATCATGAAAAGCGGCCTGCCACGTTGGCCCTTTGGGGTAATTGTCGAACCGGGTTCGGAGAATGTGCTCGATGTTTTTCGGGTTACATGTCACCGTGAACAACCCTTGCTTGCGAGCCAAGAAAGGAAGAGCGAGTGTACATGTTTGGTACGTGGAGGAACAGCCCGTGGCACGGAGGTTACTCGTGATCCAGTCATGTATTGAATTCCGGTTCATAAAGAGAACCGGAAGGCTGCCCACGAATGGCCAAACGGTCGGACCTGTGAGTTTCCGAGCCAAGAGGTAGAACCAGAAGAGATACAAAAATGTAGCACCAAAAAGGGTAAAGAGAATAGGTAGGGTTTCCATGAGAGCAAGCTGGGGAGTTGGTCTTGTGGTATAGAGCGATAGAGAGAGAGAGAGGAAGAGAGAGATAGAGAGAGAATATTAGTTTAATTAGAGAGAGAGGTGTTGGGTGGCGGTATATAAAGAGTGAGATGTGGAGAAAGTTTTGTAGGAGGAGTTGTTGGGAATTTTGGGGCATCATGCATGCAGGTCGCCACCGAGTTGATAGGAAATTGACTCTACGCGGAAGTATGTACACGAAAACCTTTACATGGGGTTTTATATTATTTCTAGTCGACTGAGTAGGTATGCATGGAAGATATTTCCTTATGGGGAGTGATTAATTAACCAAAACTACCAAAAAAAGAGAGGTAGGGTTTGAATTTGAACCTTTTAACTCTCTTAATTTTACTTTGGTAAGAAACTGCCACGTCCTTTGACATGTTAACGTACGCTGCCTTCATTATCCTTCATTTTTCTAATCCTTGGACGTCGTTGGCATACGATGGTTAATTTACTTAATTTAGAAAGATGAGGTTGTAAAACCCAGTTGTTTTCTAAAATTTTTTTTACCACATGAAAGTGGCCCTAGTATGGAGAAAGACTTCCATGAAACGATAATAATACTATTTTGTTATCTCCGGTCAATAACGCTACGCGTGACATATCATTATTGGACGAAGATAGCAAAACAATGATATTCTTGTTGCAACTAAGTTTTTCTCTGAGCATTAGTTGCATTTGTAAATGTTTGAGAGTTGAAAAACGAGTTATATGAAAAGAGTTGAGTTCCTAATCTGAACCAGATCCAAGCATCCAGATGTCGATGTTTATATTATTTGAAACTAATATATATATATATATATATATATAATGTACTTCAAGCCCCTACTCTACTTTATTGAATGAAATGGATTACAGTTATATATGAACAAAATTTTATAGGAAATGCAATCTTTTAATTTTAAAATTAAAGAAATTATTCACGTGATAATAGAGATAAATAACACATATATAACTGGTAGGGAACACGCAATATATACGCAATATATACTACATAGTAGAAGAAGTGTTTTGTTTTGATGATGATCCATCCACTGTCCACATATAATGTACTGATGAAAAGTGAAAAAGGGTTTTCAGGATCGAGCAAAACAAGTAAGGTGCATTTTTCATGGTTGTTGGGAACAAATTAAGCACTCAAAGCAGTTTCTTAAATGTATGTATATGTATATCAAAGAGGGCAAGCAAGGAGCTGAACTTAATTTCTTTATTAAGAAAATAGGAAGCTCAAGCCATGCATGCAGGCCTTGAGGGTAGGTGGAGATGGTTGACCCGATACGAGAAAATGGGTTTAACTTTTCAAAACCTGTAAAAAAGAGTGATTTATAAGTGTGAATCAAACGAGCGGATGAGACCACAGAGAGACAAAAACTGAGCTGAACCGTCTCTCTTTGAACCACAAGTTCTGAGACAAGAGAGAAAACTTTGTCTAGAAGAAATGGACGATAACTTTGTCATCATGCACCTTTTCCCCTTTCTTAAGGCCATGGGTCGATACCAACCCATTGAATAGTACTTGTCCAAATCTCACGTTTCAGTTCAATTTGTGCAAACTTTAGGAATTAATCGCTTAAACTTTTAGTCAAATGCCAATGACCAATATATATATATAGTATAGAACAAGATTGCTATATACAAATCCATAGGTTATATTTGTTTTCAACTTTAATAGTGTTTACCCTGCACCCGAAGTTCTGTGTTCGATTCCCCTACCCCAATCAATATTCACATTAGTTAGGATGCCTATGGGAGTAATTCACTTTGGAATTTACATTGTGGGCCTCTTTTGGAGGTAGCTCTCTATAGTTTGTTAACGTTAAAATTCCTTGGACTAATTTAGGTCCAATACAATCCATCTCCACTTGGCCCATCTTTTAGCCTCCACTAAGTGCACAGGTTATGGTGCTGCCACGTGTCTCATCCACATCCATGTCCACTAACGATGAGCCCTCATCTTACAAAATAGCCTTTTTTCCTCCTTGTGTAACAAAAAAGTTGAAAGAAAGAGGATAAGACACTTGTGGAGAGCTTGTGCTACAAACACTCCCATTCAAATCCAAGTCACCGTGCAAGAACCATCCAATGGTTCACATTCACTTTAACAACAAGTAGGAGGATATATTATCCCTCCCTCCTCTTATTCACTCCAACTATTACGAACATCATACTCTTTTCCTCTGGTGCTAGATTCTGCAGCCAATAAACTAAAATGGCCTCCCTCACAGTGGTTTTTGCTCCGGTTGCAACCGGTAGAGCAAGTAGCCGGGTGTACGCGGCAACCGCGGCCAAGGGAGGAAGCAAAGAGGAGAAGGGTCTGCTTGATTGGATTCTTGGAGGGCTAGCAAAGGAGGACCAGCTGCTTGAGACTGATCCAATCCTCAAGAAGGTTGAGGATAAGAATGGTGCCACTAATGGTGGCCGCAAGGGCACAGTGGAGATACCGCAGAAGAAGAAGGGCGGGTTTGGAGGCCTCTTTGTCAAGAACGACTGATCAGATTCATGTGGATGATTAATTATCATAATCTGGCATTTCAGGCAGGGTTCTGTGTCTATTTGCTTTCAGTACTCATTGATCATTATGGAACATTTAAGCTGTGTTAAATTCTTCATCTCTCTCTTCGCATCTAAGTTTAATTTCATTTCAATTCATTTTTGATCAGCTGGTATATAATATATATGATATGTTCTGGAATAATTTAAGTTTAACATAGTGATGAGCTCTTATTGTGCCATTTTAATAAGCTAAGCTAAGGTGCTAAATCTTAGCTCTTGAAATTTTAAGAACCAATCATTCCACAAGGATAGCCTTGCATCCCAAACCAGAAAACTGGAGCAGAGTAGAAAATCAAAGTCTAACTTGAACCTTTTAGACCAGACTACTTACCAATCTACTTTAAGAGCTCTTGAACTGATCTACACCGATGTCACCTCACCTCCAACGATTATTTCTGGGAGCTGATTTTCTCACTCATCTTTTGTCTACTTACACTCCATTTGTTGAAAATTTTATGTTCACACAACTCTTTTGTCCACGTACACTCTCTCATATGTTATAATAAAAAGTACTAAAAAACAAAGGAGAGTGGGAAAATTAGCACCCTTATTTTTCTGTGTTCTTACAGGGTAGACTAGTTGATCAATTGTTGACGAAAAAATTGAACCTCTATGATGTACATTTCGTTGCCTCGTATAAACTAACTACTTTAAGAACTTATTTAGTCAAGAACTATAAGAAGAATCAATCTTTTAATCTAATGCATTGGATCCACCAGGCCACACCAAATTACCAACAGCAAGTATACACATAGCATAGCTCTCCAATTTGGTGCACGAAACATATGTACAATACTACAATAGACTTCAAGTTTCTTATGTTACACACTAGTAATCGACCGATGTAACCAAAAATAGTTGGAACACAAGTTCATTGGTTTTAGGAAACCTAAGGAGAATGTCTGGCTATAGAAGTTGATCTTGAAAGAGAAGAAGAAGAGTTGATGAACTCAATGCAATCTTCTATGGCTTGTTCTCTATGAGAATCCACAGGCGCCACGAATGGCATTGATCTTCTAGATAAAGAATCCTTTCGCGAAGGTCTCGTCCTCATGGAGGTCATACCCATACATAGAGTTCCTGCTACCTTGTCAGCAAGATTTTTGAGTAATCTCATTGGTAAGAATCCTGACCATGTAGGAAACCTAAATCTAAAATTTTCAGTATACCTTCTGTCTTGGGCAACGCTCTTAGTTGAAGTGTGGTTGAAATAAAAGAGACTCTTCCTGTTGACATACTCCTTCTGGCTCATCTGGGTCTTGGCTCTTGTTGCCATATTAAAATCGAAAGTTGAAATGAAGCAGAGAGAGAGAGAGAGAGGAGAGAGAGAGAGAGAGGAATTGATAGAGAGCTACCAGGGTAGAAATCTTATAGTGGGTTATAAAGTGGAGAGTGTAAAGAACGTATGTGGAAGAGTGTCAAAAGGATATGACAAAAGGGGAGATTAAGACAGTGAGAAAAGAGATTTCAAGCAGTAACCAAAGCATGATCTCTGGCTCCCCACTAATCCTTTGACCATGTGAGAGCACCTTTTTGCTTGCAAGAAGTGCAAGCATCAACAAGTGACCCCTCCAAGGAACAAAATACCAAAAACAAATAGAAAGGACGGAAAGTAAGTATTGGCACAACAGTATTGTTCACACCAGTTATTTCTGCAGAGACTCATGTCTTCGTTCACACCATGGTTTTATGCCCCCTCCATTTCACAATGAGAACATCGCGTGCTGCTCAGGTTTGATCTAAAATCAAATACATAAACAGAGCTTAAAATACCATCTCCGAATTGGTCGTAGGAAGAAGACTGCTTATAGTCTCAGTTTCCTCAGTTTGTATACTTTATAAATCTATCAGCACCATCTTCAAAGATGTTTCATTCTACTATTGGTAAAAGCTGATTTGTGACTACTATTAAATTTTTGGTGATAATGAGGTTGTTGTCCACCCTAGAGAGATCTGTAAAGCTATGGTCTATACATCACCTTCCAACTGGAACAGAAACAATTATCTTATGCATGGTGGTAGGACAATGGCAAACAACTTACATGTCTTTTTCTAATTGGGGTAAGTGAGTTCGTGTGGGTGGGTGATTGGAGGTGAATGCAGCAGGAGGAATGGAAAAGAAAAGAACCAAGGAAAACAAATCTCCAAAAAGTTAATTAATTGCAAAGAAAGAGGAAGGCCAAAAGGATAACTTTTGAAGATGCAAGGAAGAAGACACAAGCCAGCATTCTGCTAATGCTTTTTAAAAGATATTAGGGTAAATAGGTGAAAGTGGGGCACTAGGGCCATTGAGCTGTACATATTAGGGTTAAAAACTTAATATATGATACTTTACAGATTACACAGAGGTTTCAATGTACTAAGATGATATAAAAAATAAACAGCACTCAAGTTTTCTAAAACCCAACAGAAAGCATTAGCACAACATGCAATAACTCTCTGGACTTAAGATGCAAAATCATGCATCTGCTTTCTACAGAGCATGAAACTAGTCAAAAAAACTTAGAAAGAAGCACAATCAATCCCTTCAAAGTTTTTCTGTCAGGGGTGTCTTCAGTCAACCATCAAGCATATTGACAACTTGAAATCAATTGCTTGATCACATACTCCAAATATATAAACAAACTATATCTTGTCATTATGTCCAAGCACACGATCCACACTCATATGACATCAAAAGCAGAGCTTTTTTAATCAGCATCCAAATGTTTACTAATAGAATGGTGCCCTACCTAATAAAGTTTCACCTCAGGAAAAAGATAAACTTAAAAGCCCAATGTTTCAAGATTGACTAAGAAGCCCCTCCAATACCAAATATGTAATTACAGAAATCATTTAGCAGCACCCTCACCACCCCACACATAGCACTGAAACAGAATACATATACAGGGCATGGGAACAAACCAAAAGACTGATACTTTTTCCTCTTCTATAAGCTGATTGTAAATCAAAACTTTACAAGCAGAGCTTAATATACAGTCACTTGGACACCCAATCAGATACCTTGAACTCATGAAAAGAAAAATCACTGTTTATTGTTCATAACAAGCAAAACTTCTCCACCATGCCCAATGATGTAATCCAAGAATTCTCTAACCTTTTCAGTATCTTCAAAAGCCTGAGGAGCAACAAGATCACTATCCAAATTGTACCAAACCCCGTCGATCTTCCTCAATGAAACCCAATGCCTACTTTTCCAAAGCCCGGCAAACATTCTAACCGGAACATTAAGCAGAATACCCATCAAAGCATCTTCAGGCCCATCTAGATCAATTGAAGACGCTCCATTACGACGATCATGCCAAACCACATTCTTTCCCTTGTCTTCTAAAGCAGCAATTAGTACATTTATATCATAGTTTCCAGTAAGTGCATTATGGTGGGGTTTAAAGAGTACAGATAAGGGTGTCCATGTTTCGTTGTTGGGTTCTTCAAGAACAAGTTTTTCAGCAATCTCGTTCAAGCTTGATCGAGTAAATACATCTTTTTGCTGTTCAACATAATTGTTTTGATAAGCAACATACACATTTAAGTATCAAATCAAATAAACACATTCACAAATATTTGATTAAAAAGGGAAAAAAATACAAGACTGATAAAAAATCATAGAACTAAAGCAGAATAATCGTTTTGGGCATAAATAATTAGTGGGTTCTCTTCTATAACCCTTCTTCCACGCAACCATTATGCAAAAACTAGAACAAAGAGAGGGAAAGAGAGATGGGTTTTGGAAAAGGTACCTGGAAGAGATTGTTGAGCGAGTGTAAGAGGCAAAATTGTAGCCTTTGCTGCTCGTGGTAGATTTGGGTATTAGTGTCGGTCGCCATCTTCAATTTGAAAACTTCAGTTCTTTTACTAAGGGGCCGTAAGAATTCAAAGAGCGAATCACCAATTGCGTTGAGGAAGAAGGTGTTTGAGTATAATTCTAGGTTTTCAACCGAAAGTGGATAATTCCCAAAATGAAAAAATTACCCCCAAAGTTTACAGCTTTGGCTGTGCAGAAACTGAACTTTATATGTCTGCAAAGTACAAAGGCAGTTTTGAATTTGGTTAGAAGTTATGAACACGTCAAAGACAGGGTGAAGCGGCAGATGCGGATAAGAATAAGATCAAGTGTGGTGGCGGCCCACGGTCTTTTTTCTTGAGGTGTTTAGCCAATCGTTTGGAAAGCAGAGAGGGGAGATTCACTTTAAAAACACACTCAAAACTCATTTATAATATAACAAAAAGGTTTTTAACTTCTTTTAAATTACAAAACTATCATTGATTGATTTAAACAAACCCAACCCCAAAACCTCATAAAAAAACTCAGAACACTCAATAGGACATCAAAGTAATTTAATAATTAAAATTAAATTCAATAGGTTCAGTTGTTATTTTTTGGGTTTGTTTATAGAAATTAAATGGTGTATGGTTTATCTATATTATTAGTGCTAAGAATGGGTATATGACTTAAGGGATTGTTTGAGATTGCTTCTCTAGGAAGCACTTCTGCTTATAAACGCTTCTAACAAAAACGCTTTGATTATGAAGTTGTTGAAAATTTTCTAAAAAATCGAAGTGCTTCCTGAAAAAGCATTGGGAGTGCTTTCTGAATAAGCATATGACAGGTGCTTCTTCATAAAGCGTTTCTATAGTCCATAAACACTTCTAAACTTTTCTGCCCAACGCCGTCAGAAGCCCTTTTGGTTGTCATAAAGTGCTTTTAATCCTTTCAAAAGCACTCCTAAATGAGCCATAAATATCTCTTTTATTTGGTCTAAAAAAAAAAAAAAAAAAAAAAAAAAAAAAAAAAAAAAACAAACTGTGTAAATAAAAAAAAACATAGCGAATGTGGATGACCACCATAACATCCACCATATGAATAACTTGTGACATATGCACTAATTTCTATAGTTATGGGCTTGTAATTATAAGTTGTAAATGTATTATATTATATCATTGTAAGCCTATAAATAAGAGATCTTACCAATATGAAATGAACATGTTGAGTGAGCAAATTCTATTACATTTCTTTTCTCTTCTCACTATACATTTTCCCTCTAGTTTTATAACACATTATCAACATGACATTGCTCTTGGTATGTTTTCTTTCTTTGATTTTTCTTTCTTTTTATATAAGCTAGAGTCATCACATAGTATATAGTTTCTTTGTACTCACCATCAAACTTTATCATGCTTGTTTAAGAAAGAAAGAAAAGTTTCTTATTCTTATTACACATGAATATAATGTCATGTTTTATTTATTTGTTTGTTTATTTAATTTTAAGCATGATCTTAATTGATTACAGTTTGTTCTGATGAGTTTGTATTATACAAAATATCACGGTCTGAAGTTCCTCGATCCTCATCATATAACTAGATTAGGAAATGGAGTCCTTTTGATTGAATCGAAACTTGTATTTCTTTGATTCCAAATAATTGAGGGCATAAAGTTCTGCGAATTTAAAATGCACATAAGGACATGAAACTCCTTGATTTTGTATTAATCAAAATCGGAATTCCATGAGGCCTACGTATGTCAAGAACCTGAACCAAAAGTTTCAAGTGCATACTCATTGATTTGAATATGAAGTTCAAAGCACAATTATTTAATCAATTTATTTAAATCTACGTCTTCGAACCTAAAACTTTGAATATATGTTGATATGAACCTAAAGTTCATAGTTTTTCATGGATCTGAATACTATATATGAACCTGAAGTTCATTACTTTTTTGTGCATATATGAACATGAATTGGTTGGAAATTTGATTCTTAAACTTGTAGTTTTATCTACATATTGAATCCACATTAATATTGAATTATTTTGGAATTTTATAGTCTTTAATAAATTTATTTTATTCCTCGTTTATACAACTTTACTCATTTATTATTATTATTAGATTTTATTTAATTTTATTTATGTTGGGTTATGAGTTTATTTCTTTTTACAAGTAATGTTATATTACCACCCTAATATTGACAGTCAGAGGCATCTATTGGAGAAACTTCTTACTTTCTTTTGTGGGTTGTATTACACCACCATTAAAGTAGTTGAAGATTATGAAATTATGAACCAAAAGTTCATTGACCAGATAACTTTTATGTTGTGGCATGACTGTCTTGGCAATCCATGGTCCACAATGATGCATACGATTTTTATAAATTTGTAAGGACATTGTTCAAAGACTCAAAATATTATCTTGTCCAACAAATATCATTGCAAAGCATGCTCACAACTGTCATAAGACAATATCAGTCAAAAATTGACTTTGATCCCTCTTAATTTAAATAATTCAAGGGGATTGTGAGCCTATACAACATTTAATTATGAATCACTTTACCAGTTTTATTAGATGAGCCTAACATATGGTCATATTTGTGTTTATTGTCAAGACTCTTACACAAATCCCACATTATCCAATTCAGTCCATTTGACTTGATAATGATGGTGAGTTTATTTTCCGAAATTTTGAGACAATTTTCCCACTATTAGGAGAGAGAAATGACAGTTCTTGAAGAACGTCGTGAAATAGTGTTGAATCAATATGCTTATGTCTCATCAAGATAATGCATATATAAGTTATACATATGCTAACATGGATTGATGTTCTCCTATCACAGTCCACTAACATGACAATAAGTGACTATATATGTTGCACGACAACAACATAGGTTCTAAAGACTTAACTCCTTAAAAGTGGAGATTATTTGAAAAATTCAAGCTCTATAGAAAATAATACTCTATAGGAGGTTATGATCCACATATTCTAAATAATTCATCTTAAAAAAGAAGTTTGTCCCATAAGTGACAAGAAAAGCCCCTGAAGAGGGATTGGTACCCCAAAAACAAAGAAATTCTTATAAATTAGGTGTGCGCATGCATATGATAATTGTGAGATCACGAATTGATGATACATTTGGTTTATTAGTAGCTACTACAATCATCAAGTGCTATGATTATATTAAATCACGTTTCATGAATGTCGACAAGTTAAGTGATTGGCCAAAATGGAAATTATCATAACTAGTAACTAACTTAATTGGCATATCATCATACTTATCTTCTATATCCTCATGAAAAACAAAATCATCAATTACTCTATATTGTTTGGTCTTCATATCATAAAGATGTAATCGGGAATACCGATGAAAATCCAAGAGAATAGCACACAAGCGCAAGCTCATCTGTGTGGATTGCACCCAAAGCTTGAATGTAGCACCCACCGAGGTGATGTGGGTTTCTGGGCATCAAGCTAATAGTCTCCTTAACCCACACATGGTTTTGATAATCCTTCAAAATTCATAACACGATATAGCAATGCTTCCACGACTTGTCAAAAAACACACCCAAACTGTGAGAATGTGAACGTAAGAGTCCCACATTGGAAAGTTGAGAAACTTAGCAAGGGCTTATAAGGAGTTAAGCTATTCTCTCCATTGCCAATTGGTTTTGGAGTGGAACCTCAACTTCCTTCATGGTATCAGAGCGAAGTTGCCCACGTGTGAAAGCTCAATGGCCACACGTGCTCCATATCACTCAAAATGTGTTGTCCACGTGTTAGAAGAGTCCCACATTCACATTGGAAAGTTGAAAAACTTAGCAAGGGCTTATAAGGAGTTGAGCTACTCCCCCCATTACCAATTGATTTTGGGGGTGGAACTTAAACTTCCTTCACAAACATCCCCCGACCTCAACTACAACTACACTTCTACGGCAAAGTGATATGTGGTAGATGCATTGGGTTGACGAGGAAGAACCACAGGCTCTCTAGTGGTATGGTTAAATATAAAAAAAATCATAGTCATCGGTAGATGCATAAACCAAGCCATGAACACTCTGCACATCACAATAAAAATTGGGAGCCTTACGAATTTCAACGGTGGGTGCTTGTTGCTCTATTTTTGACGACAAGAAGTGGGTTTTCGTTATGGAAAGGAAGTTAGTCATGGTGGTGCTCTTGTTGCTGCTGTCATCACAGCCGCATAAGTTGAGAAATGCGGTGGCGACAAAGGAAGGGCTGTGGCAGATGAGGTAAGACCAAGACTTGCATACGCACCTACACCACATCATCAAATTTACCAGACGATTTTCTCCAGCTATCAAAAGAACCCTCCAAGCCAGAGATGTCTTCAAATTAACCCTTAAACCTCAAAGAAGAGAATATATTATATTAGCACGAGCAAACAAGAAAACAAGGGAGATGTGATACTTATGCTGCTGCTAAGGTTTCTCTAGTATTTGTAGGAAAAAAATTGTGTTTGCTAGAGTTTCCCCGATACTTATAGCAAAACCTATAATTCCTAATCATAAAAATTGCGTTGGCTAGTGTTCGAGTCCTGCTGTAAGCAATCTTCATTGGTGCCTCATTTGTAATTTCTTACATAAATTCATACTTGTATCAAATAACAGTTGAGTGTCATGCGTAATTCCCTTCGACTTGAGATTATGAATTTACTCTGATACTGAGGGTAGCCAATCTACCCTAAACTTTATTTCATCAAAATAAGTGGCCCGCCCAGACCAATTTGTTATCCACCTATCCGTTAGTATGAATGTCGTAGTAATCCACTATCTCAAAGAAAAAAACAAAAACGACAGGTCGTTTTGTACCATACCAGGACAGAGTCACCAACGGATAGGCAGTGGCGCAGTGAGAGTGGATAACAAATTCACTCACAGTCATAAGAAGAAGACTTCCTCACTCTCACACACACTTGACAATGGCGGCCTCTGCAACGCCTCTATCTCTCTCCTTCTTCACCTCCTCAATTTTCCTCACTTCCTCTTCTCACAAACCCCTCTCAACCCTCATACCCAACAATTCTCTCAGAACCCCCAAACCCCTCACCATCTCCTCCGAGCTCGCCACCCTCCCCGTCCTCTCCTTCACCGGCGACAAGGTTGGCGAGACCTTCCTCGACCTTAAAGCCGCCCTCCCCGACACCGCACGTGCCGTCGTCCACCGCGCCATCATCACCGACCTCCAGAACAAGCGCCGCGGCACCGCTTCCACGCTCACACGCGCTGAGGTCCGCGGAGGAGGCCGGAAACCCTACCCGCAGAAGAAAACGGGTCGGGCTCGCCAGGGGTCGACCCGGACGCCGCTCCGGCCAGGCGGAGGCGTCGTTTTCGGACCCAAGCCCAGGGATTGGAGCATCAAAATCAACCGCAAGGAGAAGAGGCTCGCGATTTCGACGGCGGTAGCGAGCGCGGCGGAGAACACGATCGTGGTTGAGGATTTCAGCGACGAGTTCGAGAAGCCGAAGACGAAGGAGTTCATTGCGGCGATGAAGAGGTGGGGATTGGACCCGAACGAGAAGACGACCTTTTTGATGAGGGAGGTCGCGGACAATGTGAGGCTTTCGAGTAGAAATATTGGGACTTTGAAGATGTTGACTCCGAGGACTTTGAATTTGTTTGATATTTTGAATGCGGATAAATTGATTCTGACGCCAGAGATTGTGGATTATCTGAATGCGAGATATGGGTTGAATTATGAGGGCGACGATGAGGTCGAAGAGGACGATGAAGGTGCAGAGGAAGAAGACGAAGAAGAAGGAGAAGGAGGAATTGAAGTTCAAGGTTAAGTCTTTTTTGGTCATTTGCTTTATCTTTGAAACTCGTTTGATACTCTTTAATTTGGGTTGTTTACTTTCGATGCAGTTCTAGGTCCAGTTTTGAATTTGTGTATGCATTTTGGGTTTGATTTAAAATTTGGATTGAGCATAAGAGCTTTTGCATGCATTTTCATACAATTCATGTCTATGCTACTCTTATGTAATTGAGTAGAAAAAAAAATTGCAGGGCAATGTGCATTACTTGGCATGGTACATATGTTAGGGATCCTTTAGCTCAGTTGTTTATTTATTAAGCTCATATGTGTTGATTCTTGTGAGTTGGAACCTCTAGTTAAGATTCATAATGGACCTCTAGTTGATTCTTGCAAGGGAATTGTAGCTCAAGTGGTTAAAAACAGTTATAATACCCGGAGTCCTGAGTTCGAATCCACTCCCCATTTTCGCTTACATAAAAAAGGCTAGTTTGTGTTGAACTTTGGCTATCATAAAAATGGAAGATTTTATCAAACATTTCTCACATTTTTTACATTCAAGCAGCCATAGATGATATGTTTTGTGTTACATGAAAGTTGCTGGCTTTTGCAATTTTATGGAGCAAAGTTGTGTATAGGATGGTCTTTCATTTTGTTGATCTGTTTTCTTTAATTTGGGATGCAGGGACTGTGTCAGAGGAGAGTTCTGATGCAGCAGAGTGATGACACAGAATGAAGAGTTTTGGTAACCACTTTTTGGCCCCAGAAGATAACCTAGGATTCATTTCGACTTATCCCTAATCAAGGGTTTGTGCCTTTTTTGAAGTGTCAACCATGCTTCGTTCAGATTGCAGGCTGGTTTCGAAGATTCACTGTGCATGATTTATTTTTTTATTTTTGGTTGTAAAATTTGCAAATCCAATCCAATACGAATGTATCTATTTGGACATCATTCGATGTTGTATTTTTACAATGTCGATAAAAGGCATAACTTTATTTGCTTCCACTGTCTCTGTTGATACTCGTCAAATGCTGAATGTTGTATCATAGATTATGATCTTAAACCAAGCTTGTAAATGGTGGATGTTTAATCTATATTTCTACAGTTTTTATTACTTCCTCCTGCCATATCTTGCGTTTCTTTAATCAAAATCAACGAGATTTGTGCACGTTTTTGAACTTACTGTCGTGCAAGGATGAATTTCAAGCTGGTAGTAGCTTTCTTTCAAATTTAAAACTGAGGTTTGAGGAACTTGACAAGAAAAAACAAAAGAATAGGTTCAGTATATAGGCCTTATTTTCAAATTTAGCAAAGCCTCCTTAAATCACAGAAAGCATCACAGAATTGCCACTCAGTTACTCCCAGCCACAATTGATCGGCTTGGCCACGATGTTATCAGCTAGCCCGAACCATGGACGAAAGCCCTCTCTCTCCCTGTGGCAAGCACAGAAGAAACAGGAAAAAGAAATGCACACTCCCTACGCAGGTATTAACCTGTTCAGGTTCAAAGGGACTATCTCAGCCTGGCTTGCTCGCATCCTAGCCAAAAAGCTAGCGCTCGAGCAGATACAGGCACCCCTGGTGCGTCCTTTATGTCAATACAATGCCAAAAATTATAAACAGAATCTTGATGTAATATGAACAGAAAACATTTTATTACGGAGAAACACAAGCACAAGCAGGAAAAGGTAAAGGATAGATATGTCAAAAGTCTTGAAATGTACTTCACACACCAAACTATGTTTTATACCATAGCATGAAAATGAAAACCTAAGATCTCTGTTGCGGACAAGCCAATCGTGGACGAAAGCCTCCAGGGTTGTCAAACCGCTTCTGGTTATTTATGCGATCCTGCAAAGATTCCCATTGTAAAAACTAAAGAATAAAGAAATGAGAATAGCTTAATATGTGACTATCTAGAAGTTAAAGAAGGATAATGGAACACAAGATTGTAAATTTTCTTTGTCAAACTGAAAAATAAGACTTCTTTTTTTTATTTTTTATGATAGCCATCCATCGATGATGCTGCTGCTTAAGATTAAAAAACCCCGTAATATGTTTGTGTAAGTACAGATATTGGGTGTTTTACGGTGGTAAACTAAATGCTCCATAGTACTGACATCATCTTACTTCAAAGTTTTAAACATATCTAGGATGGTCTCATGTGCTCTAGACTTGATTGACATTTCCCGTGAAATTACATCTTAACTCTCTTCAAGCACTGGTTATAGAGCTCGAGACTAGATTAGATTAGATCATGTTTTATACTATGCAGAATTTTATCCTTGTATTATGAAATCAAGAGACTGCAAGTGTTAAACCATTATTTGTATTCCAAATAGAAATTTTCAGAATGTATTGAACGCAAGTATGTCAGAAAACAGCATTTTCACAAGGAAAATTAAATCAAAAAAACATTTACTGACCTTCACCTCTCTGCGGATTTTACGTAACTTTCTGGCAAGTAAATTTCCCCTCCAATTTCACCATGTTGTTCCCCGCTGACAGTTTTCTTGGCAGCAAGAAACTCAGCACTCATAGCATCCATTCCACGTATCACAGCTTCCTCAGCACTCCCATAGCCATGCTCTTCAGCATACTTCCTCACATCCTCTGTTATCTTCATTGAACAGAACTTTGGACCGCACATGGAGCAAAAATGGGCCACCTTGGCACCATCAGCTGGCAGTGTTTCATCATGGAAGGACATGGCAGTCATAGGGTCTAATGACAACGCAAACTGGTCCATCCACCGGAACTCAAATCTTGCCTTGCTCAATGCATCATCCCAGGCTTGAGCATGTGGGTGACCTTTGGCTAGATCAGCTGCATGAGCAGCAATCTTATATGCTATAACTCCAGCCTTCACATCATCTCTATTTGGCAACCCAAGGTGCTCTTTTGGGGTTACATAACACAGAAGGGCAGTGCCTAGAGCCCCAATGTTAGCAGCACCAATGGCAGAGGTGATGTGATCATATCCAGGTGCAATATCAGTTGTTAAAGGACCGAGAGTGTAGAAAGGTGCTTCATTACACCATTCAAGCTGTTTTTTTCATGTTCTCAGGAATCTTGTGCATTGGAACGTGTCCAGGTCCTTCATTCATTACCTGTACATCCTTTTCCCATGCCCTACGGGTCAGTTCTCCCTGAGTTAAGAGCTCTGCAAACTGTGCAGTGTCATTGGCATCATAAATGGAACCAGGTCTCAGCCCATCACCTATTGACAGGGCTACATCATATTGATTGCAGATGTCAAGTATGTCATCCCAATGTTCATAAGCAAAATTCTCTTTGTGATAAGCTAAGCACCATTTTGCATGAATGGATCCTCCTCGTGAAACAATTCCTGTCATACGTTTTGCTGTTAATGGGATGTACCGTAGTAGAACCCCAGCATGGATGGTGAAGTAATCTACACCCTGCTCAGCTTGTTCAATGAGAGTTTCTCTGAATACTTCCCAGTTAAGATTTTCGGCAATTCCATTCACTTTTTCAAGTGCTTGATAAATGGGGACAGTCCCTACTGGCACAGGGGAGTTACGTAGGATCCATTCACGGGTCTCATGTATGTGGCGTCCTGTAGAGAGATCCATAACAGTGTCAGCACCCCACATAGTTGCCCACTGGACCTTGTAGACTTCCTCTTCAATAGAGCTGGCAACAGCAGAGTTTCCAATGTTTGCATTAACTTTGACCAGAAACTTTCTTCCAACAATCATTGGCTCCAGCTCCAAGTGCTTCTTATTTGAAGGGATAATTGCCCTCCCACGAGCCACTTCTGATCTCACAAACTCTGGATCAAGCTTCTCCCGAGTGGCACAGTACAACATTTCCTCAGTTATAATTCCCTGCTTAGCATAGTACATCTGAGTGTATCTTGGTCCACCTAATTTATCTCGCCTTTCAATCCAATCTTTCCGCAGTTGAGGCAGTCCTATTTATCAATAGCAACCAAGAAAATGGATGAAGAATGCTAATTAAGCCCCAAACACAAAACTTTGAAAGACATTGAAGTGAAAACCATACATTAGTATATCTGAATCAGACAAGATTAAAAAAAAAAAAATCTTTTCAATCAAACGTCTTATGCCTTGTAAAGAGGGGTGAGGAAGTATCCATTAAACAAAACTAACAATAGAAAAATCTTAAGTTAGATATGTAAGAAGAAAATTAATACCATCTTCAACAAAGATAGACTACCAACAAAAAAGATGTTAAAATAAACTTATTGTGCATACCAACGCGTGGGTTAATGTTTTGTGGACCGCTGGTATCATAGTTGTCAAATGCTGGTTCATCACCAGCCAAGTGGACTCGTCGAAAGGGAACTTTGAGCACATGACCAGTTTCTTCATGAGTAACTTCCCTGCAGAGCAGATCACACATCAGTGCACCACAATTCAATTCACAAGTGTACCTTGTGAGTGTTTTAAGGGATTTAACAAGTTTTATATTTCAAGATGAAAATCATGAGTCATATAAGGGAGACACACCTGTGTTCTTTTGTGCTCTTTGGAAAACATTGTTCAAAGGATGGAAGAGGCAAAAAATCAGGAGAAGCAGGATCAACTGTGTGCCTTGGTGGTTTGGCTTTCTCTGAATTAGTTGCTGGGGGATCAAAGGTTAATGTGGCTCTAGGACCTGAGCTCAGGGCATTGAGGCATATTTCCTTCTTATATGGACTTGAAATACGCCCGACAGCATCAAAACCAGGCAAGAAGGTAGTACTCGGGAACTTTGCTGCAGAAGAATGATTGCCATTCTTGCACACAACGGATGTCAGGGCACTATGCACCGATGCCATCTCTGAGTTGAGCAAAGAATTGGAACATTAAAATTCAATCCACAAACAACTAAAAACTAGACACACATAATTTACAGCCAATTCAGTCAAGTGCAACAGGAAATTATGTACAGGCCGGGTAAGAAAAACAGGGCATGCAAATGAACTCATTTTTCTATCCTAGGATCATGGTAATTGATGAATATCGGAAGGCAATATGTCCCCAAACCCAAAACATTTTTTGGCAAGATATGAAATTTATAAGCAAAGGAGAACAAAATTAATCTAAAGACATATTATTTATGAAATTTCCATCTCAATCTTACCATAGTTCATGTTTCCACAATATGATTACACAAGATACATGATCAAGACATTGATAGAGAAATACTAGCAAAGCAAAGTAAGCAAAAAGACAGTATAATATATACTCGACCTGCCATAAGACCAAACAAAAATAGTTGCTGCAAAAAAATGAATAATTTAAGTGAAGCATGCAACATAAATGCCAATGCCAAACTTCAAATCAGAAGGTGAAGCAGTAGAGCCGAAAAAACTTCAGACTTTATCATAAACAGTCAGATATGTAGAAAATAAAAGCGAAATTGAGCATATGCAAATAAAATTATATAGCTTTCCACAAATCAAAACATAAGAAACAGAAACAATCTTGCTTCATTTCATAAGTTCTTACATTTCCAGGAAACAAAACGGACAACTGAGACCCAAGTGAGCTAAAAGGCTTTAAAATATCTAGCTTTTGACGATACCAAATTCATTATAAAATTAACTTTTCACAATTTGGCCTCATTTCACAAGCACCTTACCTTTCTAGCCAACCAAACAGAAAATTAAGACCCAACCCAAGTGAGCTAAAAGGCTTACCAATTAAATTGAGAATGAAATGTTGGGTTTTGAAGAGAGATAAGGGACGAACCTGGAACCTGGGGCTGGTAGAAGAAGGCTTCTTCACAGTCTTATCTTGTTCACTCTCTCTCTTCTTAAAATTTCTATGACAACTCTGAGTGTAGTGTCTTGGATTACGTTATAGCATTTTATAGGAGTGAAAAAAAGGCAAAGCCTTCAGTGTCCTCCAAGAGGTACCAAAAGCGAATCCTTACGTGGCTCCTGATGATTCCCAAGTAAGATATTTTCTGTAAATTTCTTAATTGGATGAAAATTCATAAATTTCTAATAGAAATTTGGATGCCTTGCATTGGTTCAGTTCAGGTGCATCGCGTGACCGACTGTCTTCCATTGTCATATATCATGTGAAATCTATTGTGTAACGATTGACATGTCATATGAAATGAACCTATGGTGAGACGTTTGCACCATTAAGCCATTTCTTATAATTCTTTATATTTAAGTTTTTATACATGTTCTATGAATCTATGGTGGGTTTTTATTTTTATTTTTTTATTATATATAAAAGAAAATATTTTTTCATAATATTATAAGATTTTTTTCTTTTTAATACAAGCGATAATAGGAATACTGGGATCTCTAGAGAATCTATTTTTGTAATTTTTTAAATTCATCATTAAAAAAAGGGAAAAGGTTGCCCTTGATTCTAACATTAGTTTTCAATTTTAGGAAGGGGCAATCCAAGAAACATTTATAGAATTATTATTAATGGGGAAGGATTCCATAATAATAATAAGGACAAAGTTAGTAGAGGAGGAAGTCCATTATAGTTACCTTTCAATGATAGGAAAGAGTAAGCGCATCTTTCTCAATTGTCCATCGGCAGGTGGAAATATGTTATGAAATGGTCAATTCAATTGTATGGCCAGCTGATAGCCCCGGAAGCCAAATTGTAAATTTGCCTAGTGGATGTTTGTTGTCATAAGCGTTACCTCTGTATTTACGTGCGTGAATCACTTCTGTAATGTTTACAAGTGAATGAATACGACATTGTGAATTACAGAAAGAAACAGATTCACATGGGACATTGGTTCTTTTGCAGGTTTAGATTTTTCCTTTTCTTCCTTGGCCAAACCCAACAGACCAGAGTCTATATTGCTTTCAGAAAGGGACGCTGATATTTTAGAGGCTCCAAAATATCAACGCATACAGATATAATATTATCACTGCAATCACTACCTATCAATCGTTCCCCCACACCAATTATTACATTTATTTGATTTTGATTGCAGAAAATAAAGAGAGGAAGATGCTCCAAATTTGTTGCACAGTTTCTACCCTTCCTTTGATCAAGTTACGATCAAACTAGAGTTTTTGAGAGTTTTCTTGATTTCAAAAACCATTGGTCCATGAGGCACTATGTTTTAGCTTTTTTGTCTTGGTTAACCTCTCCCTTCACTCAGAACTGAAACAAGGTTGTGCTTCCCAAAGTAACATTAGATTTCCAGTTCTTCATATCTAATCCAACTGCATAAACAAAACTTGCACACCAAGGGAAAAACACTGACCGAAAACAAAAAACAACCTAACCAACCACCCATGCAATGCCTGCAATATTCAAATCGACTTTGACATACCCTTTTGGGCAAAACTGACCATGAAAACACCTGCCTGTCCTCGCCGACCCTTGGGTCAGTACAGCTTCACACTGGCGGAATTCCGGACTAGGACAAACCATCTTGTCTTTCACGTATGAAACATAAACTAGTTTGGCCAAATTTGAAAATCTTTGGCTTTCTGGCAACAATGCTGGTAAGTGGTAACCATCAATTGGTTCACTTCTCCGAAAGATGACCTTGGAATTCCAAAAAAATACATGCAATTCATCTGAACCTTTTGAACCAATTCATGAGGAATATTATATATTTCGTATGATAAATATCGTATACAACTCAAGAACAATTACAATTGCAGATAGGCAGATCATGCGTGATCAAGTAACAGTCAATGTACAACAGTTTCAGATACCAACCCGGTTGTGCCGAAATTAATATTGATGACACACTTGAGAAGGCTTGTGCAGATATAATCCCAACTTCTTTCCCTTCTCTCTGGATGGGCAGCTTGGGCTGGTAAATTGTGAGTTAAAACAAAGAGCACACTGGCACTTGTTAAAAATGAACCCAAAATATACAAGTTGTAAGGGAGAGCTGCTGCCAATCAAGAGGAAGAATTCACTGACATGACAATGGCAAAAGAGCAGTAAGCTACTCCATATTTCACAGTTTCACTTGACATTGAGGAGCAGTAACAAGATACAGTTGTTAACCGGAGCCAGTCTGCAATGGAAGAAGAGACTCTTGCTTGCCACTAATGAGAGACTCTTGCTTGCCACTAATGAAGATTGCCAATTCAGTTGGTGCAACTACCAATTTTAGCCACTCTTGTAGCTCTTCACCTTCTACTTTCTCTTTTTCTGAACAAGGAACACTCTCAGAACACCATGACAACTTCATAGAGTTACTTATATAATACAAAATAAAGAGCATATCCACACCCTAAGCTCAATAGATTTATACAAGCTCACTTAATTTGGAAATCCTATATCTTTAAAAAAAAAAACTATGCCCACAAATCTTTCATCAATAGCGCCTGCAGCATACAAGCTACGATTCACTATAACTTGTAAGTACTTATTTAGAAATTTTACAGCTAATTGAGCATGCCTACATGTCCAGAAGACCCAGATCAAATATTTGGAAAACAGAGACAGGACTTCATTTCATTCAATAACCAGACTCCGTTTATCAAAGCTAAAGCAATATTTTCCAAAAATTAACCATCTCCAGGACCCCTACTCTTTGCAAGAAATGCCCCCAGGTTAAAATTTGTATCATGTATGTTTGTACCAATTTGAGGCCACCGCAAACTTACAGGAGCATTATAACATAATATCATATAAACTACAGAACGTAGGAAACAATATGATAATACCATAGCAGCAAAAAAATCACCTTCCAGATGAGCACCGAGACCCTCCAAAACACTAGGATTAGCACGCACGACAGATAGGGCTACATCCAAAGCAGATTGTAGCAATGCTTTAACCTCTCCTTGAACAAGATCAACAAGATGCCCCTGTTTTCATCACTCTAGGATCAGTATTTACTGCAAATAAATTGATAAGGAATAAAATAAAAATACACAGGACCTGATCCCTTCCCCAAGGAGCACCTCCCCCCGACTCATCCATTCCACCAGCAGATAGTGTTGCTATAGACACAGGGCCAATTGTTTGATTGAGACCATACTCAGCTACTGCTTTGTATGCCATGTCAGTCGCTCGTCGTATATCATCAAGTGCACCTGTTGATACACGACCTGCATATACAAATTCTTCTGCTGCGCGTCCTCCGAGAAGCGTAGCCAAACGTCCACGTAACTCATCAATGAAGAGTAAATATCTATCTTCGCTTGTCGGAGGAGTATAAGTAAAGCCCAATGCCCCTCCTGACCGTGGCAATATGCTCAATTTCTGATAACACAAAGACAGAATAATTAGTGTATCCATGTTTTTTTGTTTTGTTTTTTGGGTAAGATGTATCCATGTAATTTGGAAGTTAATAAATATGCTATTGCGTGAACATGACCTCAATTATTCCCTATTTCTCACATAATATTTCCAAGTTACTTTTTTTGAATCTGTTCATGAACAAATTTCAGTACTGAACTCACCTCAACACGTGGCTGTCCAGGAAGAAGACTTGCAACAGCAGTCCCTACTACTGCATGACCAGCTTCATGCCGTGCAACTACAGCCTTCTCACTTCCCCGCAACTTGGCAGTCTTCTTTTCTATGCCCTATAACAAGTAATTCGGCTAAGTTTATGTACTAGTTAATCAGAAAACAATAACTTGTTGTTTTAAAAATGTTGTCACTGAACAGTATGCACCCCAATGCACCTGAGTGGAAAACACACCTCAATGCACAGGGTGGTTAAAACAACAATAGGGTGGAAGATGTGTTACTAAAGTTATACATCAAGAGAAACATGTTCATAAGAACCCAAAAAGAAAAAAAAACAATGAATGGGGCTCTCCTTGGTCATAAGAGCAGCATTCAAGTACAGGCACTTCTGATGATTGGGGTAAAGACCAAGAGGGTTGCATAAATATAAAACAAAACCACAACGCACCCACAATATAGACCAGCACAAGAAAGTCATGAAAAGAAACCCTAACATCAGAATCAGCTGGGAACATAAAAGAAAGAGAAAAGGTTGAAAAACAATCAAACACAATTTTGTTACGGTTTTGAATCATATTTCAGGAAAATAGGTTGAACTAATATTTGAGAAAGAGGGAGACTTACAGCTATTGATCTCTCCACAGCTTGAATGAAATCAATTTTTTCCACAACCACCTTGCTTTGTCTTCCGGCCAATAAAGCAGCTTCATTCACCAAATTTGCAAGATCTGCCCTGCAAAAAATATAATAAGAAACATCACTCCTAATGTGTTAGTCACACACACAACAATTTATTCATTCATTTAATTATTTATAATTCAGTACATATTCTAAACAGACTGAACAGTGAGCTCCGTATATATACCCAGTAAAGCCAGTAGTCATAGAAGCAATGTCACCAAGGTAAACATCTTTTGCCAAAGGGAGTTCCTTTTTGGAAACATGCACTTTTAGAATCGCTTCTCTTCCCGTCCTATCTGGTGTTTCCACCTATTGAGAAACAGGAAAAGATTTCATGTGATATAACATTTATATGCACGTACATACATATATGAAAAAAATTATTCCCAACTAAAAACTTTCTTTCATATCATTTTTGACAATGAGAGGGGTACTAGAACTAAAATACAAACCATAACCACACGATCAAATCTCCCTGGTCGACGAAGTGCTGGGTCTAAGACATCTGAGCGATTAGTTGCTCCAAGGACAATAACTGCAGAATTGCTGTCAAACCCATCCATCTCCTACAATGAGAATTCAAGCATTAATTAATGTCACTGGAATGTCGCCAAAAGTTACAAATGCTCAAAACTAAGTTGTAGCACAGAGCTTACAGTGAGCAACTGATTCAAGGTTTGTTCTCGCTCATCATTGCTGACAATACGGAATTTTCCATCCCGACTTTTTGCTACAGCATCTATCTGTGGTAAGCAAGCAATATTAAAACCAATCCACGGAAAATCACATAGGTCAAGAATCAAGATAACACAAGCAAACATCCATGTCCAAACCTCATCAATGAATATTATTGACGGTGCCTCCTTTTTTGCCCGTGCAAATAGATCCCTTACGCGAGAGGCACCCATGCCAACATACAACTCTACGAACTCACTAGCAGAGCAACTTATAAAGGGCACTTCAGCTTCCCCAGCCACAGCCTTGGCAAGAAGAGTCTTGCCTGTCCCAGGAAGACCCACCTGTAGGATAAACGAAGCCATACTTTCCCAATATTAAACAAAATACAGACTCTTCTACACAGCCTCCAAACATACACTGGCATACAAGACCATTCAAGGGTAAAACTAAAAAAATGTCCAGGTGCAAAGATTTATCTCGCCAATGATACAGTATTGTAAATGAAGTGTCAAAAGAAAAATAACACAGAAAATACTATTAAGTGGGCAGCTCCCTATACTAATAACTTGGGGCATGGGAAATCTCCAAGAAACAGACCTAGCATAGTTGGCCTATCAAGTTAACCATATATGACTTCCCACTCTCTGGTTTATGAGGTCACATTCATTCTTAGTTTTCGCTAAAACTCACCAAGAGAACTCCTCGTGGAGGACGAGCACCAAGTCGTACATACTTGTCTGGATTCCGAAGAAATTCCTGGTCAGAAAACATCAAGGCAAACATTTTTTTTCAAGAAAATAAATAGAAGAACTTTTCTAGGAAACACTAGAAAGTCTTTAGGATCCTCTAGAAGACTCTGATGATCCAATAGTTATATCAAAGTAAACTGAGGGGTGTCCAACATACCACAATTTCTTCTAGCTCCTCTTTAGCCTCATCAACACCAGCAACATCAGCAAAGGTTATTGTTTCCCCTTGTTCAGATGCTTTAGCACTGCCAGAGCCTCCAGATTTTCGGTTCCTAATCTGACCAGCTGTGTGCTGTACACAAGCATGTATTCACTGAGAACCATGTAGCACAAATTTCAAAGCACCAAAAAGAAAAACGGAGACAGAGTTGAAAGAAACAAGCACCACTGGCTCACACCTGAGAAAAGCTTACAGGGAACCGGTGCAGAAGCCCTGCAAGCACAGCAACGTAAAACAAAGCTATCTGCAGGGACCAGAGTCAAAGTCAATACATTAGAAATTCCTTCCATGAAATATCATAAACATTTGTCTCAATACACACCGTGAATAACAAAGGAAACTTCTTTTGAATAACAAATATATGTTAAGATACAAGGGAATATGGGTTTACATGTTAGTGAAAAATTCGTACCCTGGGATCAACATAATATTCATATTCAGGCCTTCTACATATACAGAATCCAACATAATTAATTTTGTACCTTCAATCATAACCATTCATGCTGGTTACTTAGTTCATTAATTTGTAACTAACCAACTTGTAAGTTCACAAGAGTTGCTTTGTAAGGTCAAATATTAAGAGTTCTATAGCTTGTTTTTGTCATAACAATTTTTTCAGCAGGATAACCAAATAATAACTTCTTCTTTTTTGGTCAAAACCAAATAATAACTAACAACCAAAAACTTACCATTGCGGAGTTCAAAAATCCACCTGTCCGCTTATCGGGAGACCCGAACTCCACCTCATTCTCAAGCATCTTCTCATACGGCGCCTTTATATCACTTGGCCTCGTCGTCGTGTAAACCACCCTCTTCGTCGGAGCCACACTTCTTATCAAAGCCTCCGAATCTTGAAACTTACTAGCCCCACCACTCACTTCACTTTCTTGCTCACCCTGCTCAGACTTCAACTTGAACATAACATGAACCCCATCAACCTCAACCTTCTGCACCTGGTTACTATTAATCTTACTCAAAAAATCACTGTACGGCACGCTAATAAACGTCGTCGGAGTCCTCGGCTCCGACCCTGGTAATGGAATTCCAGGTCTGAGCAACCGCATAACGAAAATCACAATACCCAATTGCAAGAGCAAGATTCCAATCTCTTGGGCTTGAACTATGGGCTGCCACCGCCATTTCCCTCCTTTGGACCACCACCAATTCGCTTTCTTTTGGCTCTCTCTGCGCCGATTCGGAGCCGGCGAGCTCGAATTGGGCTTGTTGTTGTTCACCCCTTGGCCCTCGCTCGCCTTCGCCTCGCTCTTCTCTCCTGAATCTTTGTCCTGACCACTCGCCGAAACCCTAACCGTCCTGAACCCTCCATGGCTCTTCCAGAGACTGAACCTCTCCGAAACTCTCACAGCTCTGCCCTGTCTGTACAAAGCGACTGACTTGGACGCCGCCGTATTCGAAACAACCCGTCTCGCTTCCGGGTTGAAAACCTTAGCTTGACCACGAACGAAACCCAATCCATGGCGGCAGTGATAAGCATTAGAATTCGAATTTAAGCAGAACCTACTATGGATTGTTGGACGTAAATACTCGACCGACGACATCCCAAAACCCTAAAAAATCCAAATTCACAGTTCAAAATTTCATAAATTTATATATACACGTTCGTATGCGCCCTTCCAATACAGAACTAGATTTCAGTTTCGTCTATGGTGCTTGCTTCGAGCCATTAACCGCTAAGGCAAAGGTTGGAACTTTGGGACACAGAAGAGAGAAAAAAACAGAGTATATAAAAGAAGGAGATCAATTTGGAATTTGAGCCGTCGGATGAAGAAGGTGTTGGAGATCCTAACCGTCAACTTTCTCTCCCCGGCCTATTTTAATTTCTGAGCTTGTATCGTTATCCAACGTTTTTCCCCATAATGGGCTGGGGTTCTGTGTGTCGCGTGAGAAGATAGTCTGTGCGCTGAAGTCGTTTACCGCAGCACGTGTCGTAAAACCACACCAATATTTTTCGGGTTTTGGGCCGTGCCACTAGCCGCTTGCTGGTTGGTGGGCTGGGATAGTAGAAATGGATTGGGCCTTGACTTGAGTGGTGTACAAGTCAATCACAACCGCCACTTCTTCAAATACCTGTTTCTTATTTTGTCTTATTGTGGTTTGAGCGATTGAGGCTGAAGGAGAAAAATTTAGAAAGGTGAAAAGTCCTGAAATAAAGGATCTTACAAAGCCATGAGCCAAGCAAAAAATTAAGCTGCTAAAATTGGAAAAAACCCCAAATGCATAGTTGCAGGGAACAAAGAAAAAATTTGTGATACTTCTTTGTTTTGTAGGCAAAGTTTGACCCTTCCTTTGTTTGAGAGAGAGAGAGAGAGAGAGAGAGAGAGCTATGTTTGCTCTTTGTGCCTCACATTTCTTATGGTTTTCTGTCAAAAATACCATCTATCCCCAGTGCTGAATCTTTTTTTCTTGAACAAAACCCGATTTTCGTCTAATATTAAAATGCGCATTGCCTTTTGTTTCCGCATTTCTCAATTCCTAGTACCACTGCCTTAATTGTGCTAGGTTTGAATGTATATGTTGTAGGTTTATAGACAAATATTCACTTAGTTTGTTTTGGTTCTGTTTTTTCTTTAGATTGTTCAGAGAGATAGATATGGCTGTTGGTGCAGAGGCTATACTAGTTTGTGTGTGGAGAGTTCTTCATTTTTCCATGAAGACTACTAGCTTATGTGTACAGAAGCATCCATTTGTTTCAGCCATTTTGTTTTTCATCTACTTCCTTTATGTATTTGTCAATCTTTTTGTCTTCTGGTTTCCATTTCTGGTCTGCATTGCTGCTTTGCTTAGAGTTTTTTGGACTTCTGGAGGACTCACAATCCTAGAGGTCAAACGGGATGAGAAACGGATTAATGATCGAATTCCATGTAAAAAATCTGAATCTGTTCAAGATGATGTTGCTGTTAATCGAGATGGGTGCTCCGTCTTAACAAAACAGAAAAGTAGACGAACAAATGTTGCAAGAAGGTGCTTAGAAGAAGGGGATGCACAAGCTGGCAAGGTGGAAAAAGACGCGCCTATATCGACAACTTGGAAAGATAATTTGATCAGTGGAACTGCCTTGGTTGGCAAAAACACCAAGGCAGTCATGGAGGAGAAAGAGAATAAAACTTCCCGTCATGGAGAGAGCTCCAGTGCTAAAGCACCATCTACTGACAATATTCAACTTCTTGTTGAGCAGCACCAATCTGTCCTAGATTCTGACCTTTCAGATTCTCATCTCTTGTCGTCTGATGACTCAGATGGACAGACTGAAAAATCCGAAGGTGGTGGGATTGATGAAGGAACAGCACAAGAGGATGGGAATAAGGCTGTGCAGTGGACAGATGATGATCAAAAAAATCTTATGGATCTTGGATTTTCCGAGATTGAAAGAAACAAAAGGCTGGAAAGTTTAATTGCCAGAAGAAGAGCAAGAAAGTTATTCAAAATCCAGGTTGAGAAAGGTCTAATTGACTTGGACACTATAATACCAGGTCAAATTGCTCCCATTTTTATTGCGAAAAACAACCCTTTCGAATTCGTGGAAGGCTGTAATGAGATGGACACACCTGGTTCAGCGCCTTCCATTTTGTTACCTATGCAAAATCCATTTGATCTTCCATATGATCCACTTGAAGAGAAGCCGAACCTTATGGCAGATAGTTTCCAACAAGAATTCACAGCAGTTCAGCAAAAGGATGTGCTATTTTGCAGGCATGAGAGCTTCTCTTTGGGGGCTTCTTCTTTCCCATTAGAAACCAGGAAGAAAGCAATGGATGTAAAGGGGTTCTCCAGATTTAAGAAGCAATCAGGTTTTTGTTACTTTCTTGTAGTTCTTACTTTCTTCAGAAGCTGAAAAGAAAATTGTAGTGGCTTATGATTCTTAACTGCATGCATCCATGCATGTTTCTTTTGCCCCATGCAGAGACAGGATCTCACGATAAGCATATCGAAAGAATGCTGTCGGGTAAGCATGATGATGTTATTGAAGCTCTGTTGTCAAAAGTACGTGACAGATCTGAGATTGACAGCAACCCTGATATTGCTGAGAATGGAATTGAATCCTCCTCCGTTCAGGCAACAAGCTCAGTGAAACCCAAAGATGGAGGCAGCGGAGAACCTCAAAGTGCGATCGATATCAAAGGAGAGATGAAGATAGAAAATATAAGTGAAGGTCAGATGGAGCAACAAATAACAGATGACAGCAATGATGATGAGTCAAGCTCAACATCATATTCTGAAGAAGATGACCACACATTTAATGCTAGTACATCTGGACCACCCCCTCAAAATGCATTATCGAAAGTGAGACATGTTCCACCAAAACCTTTAACTTGTTCAGTCCCTAAGAGCAAAACTGTGAAAGAAGCTTTATATGAGTCTAGTCCGTCTGCAAATGAAAGGAGCAGATTTGAAGACCGTTTGTTTTATGCAGAAAGGGGCACTTGTCATACTCCTACATACTCTATAGCTTCTGACCTGCAGGTGGAGGTCTCAGAGCTTGGTTCACCTCCACTGACCATTGACGGGGCCAATTCACCCACAGATAGAGAATCATTGAACTTAGATGGGGACTTTGAAAGAGAGTATATGTGGGCAGCCTCATCTCAATCATCCAGAACAGAAGAAAATGAATCAAAATCGAGAGGAGTACGGGGACTAAGTGAGAAGGACCTTGCAGACATAAGATCTTCAGGAAACAATAAGAACACCAAGGGTGTTGCTGAATCATCCATGCCTTTGCAACAGCCAGAAGAACTAGATGATGCGTGTTCATTGTCATCTTCGATGACAGAAATTTATGGAGACAGTCAAGTCCATTCAGTGAATTCTGATGGAAAGATCCATGATGTCAGGCAAGTAGTGGAAGAAGTTGGGAACCCAAAGACTTCTAGCTCATTGAATGAACTTTCGCCCGAAAATCAAGAGGAAACAATGAAGTTGACAGATAAGTTGGTATCTCATCCTTCTGTAAATCCAGAGGTCAGTCCAAATTTCACTAATTTATATAAATCTTATAGTAATGGAACAACTATCCTTTTTTCCTAAAAGACAGTCTATTAATCTTCGACATGCTGATACATCTTCCTCTCTCTGATCTTTTCGGATATTAAACAGGAATCATCTAATCCTTCTGGTGAGACTACAAAGAAGGTGAATGTTCTGGCAGCCAACACAATTGATAACTCGAAAGATGAGAAGAAAAATACAGACAGAGACGGTGGAGCCCAGATATCGACTAAGAAAGAGTCTGTGAGAAGGCTATCAAAACCAAATGAGGGGACTATTTCAGAATCTAACAGGCATTTGGAGAAAAGTTCTGTAAATCCTGCTGAACGTCAAGCCACCTTGGACAGTACACAACCAACGAAGGACAATGAGAATTCAAACCATAGTGAGGGAGGTCTTCAAAAGGTAACTGAAAAGGAGGGCAAAAAAGAACTTGATGCTAAAAAGGACTTGAACCCAGTTCAAGGCAATAAAGATGAGCAAGGTACTGCACAAAGGGGAGTTTCTGAGGTAAAGCGGATATCTGGTGATCCCATTGCATCAGCTCCACAGAAAAATTTGGTGAGCAAAGATGTTCCTGTTAATTCGACTTCATCGTCATCTCCTACGTCAGTGTTGCTAGAACATATCCCAAAGGACCAAGTGTCCTCATCAATTTCTAACCCTGAGGGTGCCTCAAAATCTGAGGTGGGAGACAAGGTGAAAAGTAATTCATCAGAAGAGAAGCCGCATAACAGTATACTGTTGGCAACTCAAAATGTAATGCATTCTGTGGAGAAACCAACAAATCAGCAATCCAATACAAGTGATTCTAAAACATCACAGGTTTGTGACTCTTAAGCAACTAAAGATACATTATTAGATTGAAAGAAAACCGGTGGTACATGCTTTTGATCAAATTATATGATTTGTTATTTCTCTGGTGACATGATCTCATGATGGGTGGGATCAAAATCCTAATTAAATTAGACTGGTTGGACTCATGCTTACATCTCATATTGAACAGGAACCAGGTAAGCCTCCAGAGAAGTCCACTGAGGAAATCAACATCATATTGAATAAACAAGCTGAAGATATTGGGAATTTATCACAAAAAGCAACAGAAGCTGCTTCAGTATTAAAAAAACAAGTTGATGAAATTGAAAAGGTTTCACGAAAAGCAACAGAAGCTGCTGCTGAACTCCAAAAACCAGCTGAAGAAACAGGAAATATGTCACAGAAAGCAACAGAGGCTACTTTAGATATGAAAAAATCAGCTAAAGAAATTTGCAGTGCATCACAAAAAGCAAACGAGGTAGTTTCAGAGATTAAAGTACCAGCTGAAGGAATTATAAATGTATCACAAAAGGCAACAGAAGCTGCGGCAGAATTGAGAAAAACATCTGAAGAAATTGCAAATGTATCGCAAAAGGCAACTACAATAGAATTAAAAAAACCAGCTGAAGAAAGTGTGAGTGGATCAAATAAAGCAACGGAGGCTGCTGCAAAATTTAAAAAACCAGCTGAAGAAATTGAAGATGTATCACAAAAAGCTAGAGAGTCTGATGCAGAATTGAAGAAACCAGCTGAGGCAATAGTAAATGTATCACACAAGGCAACAGATCCCACAGTAGAATTCAAACAATCGGCTGAAGGAGTTGGGAGTGTATCCCAAAGGGAAACAGAGGCTGCTGCACAATTAAAAAAACTAGCTGAAGAAGATGAAAATGTATCGCAAAAAGCTTCAAAGGTTGATGCAGAATTGAATAAACCAGCTGAGGAAATTAGAAATGCATCAGAAAAGCAAACAGGGGATGCTACAGAATTTAAAAAACCAGCTGAAGAAATTGGAAATGCATCACAAAAAGCAACATATTCTACTTCAGATTTGAAAAACCTGGCTGAACAAATAGGAAATGTATTGCAAAACACAACAGAAGCTGCTTCAGAATTGAAAAAAGTGAGTGATGAAATTGGAAGTGTATCAACAAAAGAAACAGTGGCTACTGCAGAGTTGAAAAAGCCAGCCGAAGAAGTTGGAAGTTTATCACGAAAGGCGACAGAGGCTCCTGCAGAACTAAAAAGGCCACCTGAAGAAATTGGAAGTGTATCACAAAACGCAAATGAGGCTCCTCTACAGTTGAAAAATCCATCTGAAGAAATTGGAAGTGTACCACAAAGAGCAAGGGATGCTCCTGCAGAAGTGAAAAAACCAGCCGAAGAAATAGGAAATGTATCACAAAAAGCATCACAGACTGCTGCAGAATCTTTAAAACAAGGTGAAAAAACTGAAAATTTATCAGGAAAAGCAATAGAGGTTACTGCAGAGTTGAAAAAACCAACAGAAGAAATGGGAAATGTTTCACAAAAAGTAAGAGAGGGTCCTGCAGAGTTGGAAAAACCGATTGAAAAAATTGGGAGTGCATCAGAAAAAGCAACAGAGGCTGCTGCAGGATTGAAAAAATCTGCTCAAGAAATTGGAAGTGGAAGTGCATCACAAAAAGCAACAGAGGCTCATGCAGAATTGAAAAAAGCATCGGAAGAAATTGAAAGTGGATCACAAAAAGGAACAGAGCCTGCTGGAGAATCGAAAAAACCAGCTGAAAATATTGAAAATGTCTGGGGAAAGACAACAGAGGCAACTGCAGGGTTGGAAAAACCAAAAGTTGGAAGTACTTCAGAAAAAACAACGGATACTGCTGCAGAATTGAAAAAACCAATTGAAGAAAATGGAAATGTATCACAAAAAGCAACAGAGGCTCCTATAGAATTGAAAAAACCATCTGAAGAAATTGGAAGTGTATCACCGAAAGTGACACAGACTCCTGCAGAATTGAAAAGGCCAGCTAAAGAAATAGGAAAGGTATCAGAAAAAGCAATAGAAGCTGGTGCAGAATTAAAAAAAACAGATGAAAAAGTTGAAAACTTACTAGAAAAAGCAACAAAGACTGCTGCAGAACTGAAAAACCCAACTGCAGAAATTGGAAGTGTTTCACAAAAAGCAACCAAAGTTTCTGCAGATGAAAAGAGTGGAAGTCTATCACAAAAAGCAACAGAGGCTGCTCCAGAATTGGAAAAAACAACAGAGGTTGCTGTAGAGCTGAAAAAACCAGTTGAAGCAATCAAAACTTAACAAAGACTCTATTGAAGATACTGAAAATGTATCACGAAAAGCAATCAAGGTAAACAAAATATATAGCTTGCATTTTTACTTTTGGATGAATATCACATTCTTTTATGTGTAGAAAACCAGCAGAAAGTAAACACAATATATAACCTAACATTTCACAACATTATTTTTCATTCTCTTTCCGAACAACTGGAGGAAACCTATATCATATGCTTTATGTTTGCATAGAGGCAAAAGAAAGAAACAAAAATAGAAAATAGTCATAATTTTCCAACAAGGAGATAATTGGGACTAATAAATGCAAGCTTTTGTTAAACTGAACAGGAACAAGAAGATTCTCCTAAAAAGAGGCTTGAAGTTTTAAATGAAGTTGGTGATCAAGTAGTCAGTGCGAGGAAGACTAGAAGCAGTTAGTGTATAGAAGGAGGTAAAGGTGGACTTCATCAAAGCCAGCTGATGCCAGAGACAACTTGGAAGCCATCAAAGATGTAGAATGTGAATCTAAAACTTCAGTGAAATATGAACAGGCTGTTGATCGGTCAAACTGAACGGTAAAAATAGTAAAATCATCTGTGCAACTGCTGTAGAAGGATACAGAATATAATGCTTCAACAACTGTTTACCAGATTTATTTGGGTTTCCAGAAGAGTAGAGCAGGACTATTTAAATGTTTATAATCTGTAACATGTCAAATTTCTATTGTCTTTCGGCTTTTCTTGTGAATTGAATGTGGATATCTACTTTGACAATCTATGATGTATATCTCTTCTATCTCATATAAATCATATAGCTATGAAGGCTGAATATAATTGAAGGTATTCAACTCAACTGAATCAAATCATGATCCAAAATAATTATAAAAGTTATCTATATTGCTTATCTATGACTCCAAGAAAGAAAAAGTCTAAATTCTGATCACAAATGAAAGAATTATGCATGGTAAAACAAAAACCCTTTTTTCCAGTCTCATTTTTCCCTGTTGAGATCAGACACATTGTACTCTCTAATCTATCTGGGATGAACAGAAGATGCCCAAATTACCCTTGAAATTTTTATTTTTAATTTTCTGTTTGGAAGCCCTCTGGCAATCACTTTACATAACTGTAAAAAAAAGACCGTCATTTACATCAGAATGGAGGATAGAGTAAGCCAACAACTAGTCCCCTCTTCCAAACCATACATGCAAAGATTGGTGCTTAGATTTAGAGAAAACTGGGCAAGCTTAATAACTGCTCTATTAGCCTTGAAATTAGTTAGCAAACAATTGACCAATTAAGCGTAGTGTAGTAAGCAGCACCCACAACACAACCAGTAGAAAGTTAGATTTGACCTTTGACTATTTAAACAACGCAGGAAAGTTGGGGGCATCCTCAAATAGGTAGGCAGTAATATAGTACTGTAGTAAATTTACTGCAATGCAACTCTACAATCTACCACTTATCTAATTAACTAGAAGTTAGAACACTTCAGTTCTATATATACCTGGGTTGTTCAACTGAAGCTGAGAAGAAGAAGAAGAGATTAGCTTAGCTCAAGATGGACAAAGTAAAGGACTTTAATTGCATATACAGAAACCCCAATGAACCCATTGAAGCTCGAGTCAAAGACCTTCTTTCTCGCATGACTTTGAAAGAGAAGGTGGGCCAGATGACACAAATCGAGCGCCGGGTCTCCACCCCAGATGCCATTAGAGACTTCTCCATCGGTACCCATCTGTTTTCTATGCATGTCTTTAAGTTCCTTTCACGTATTTTATCAAATACTTGAAGCACAATATCTGTATTTCCTTATGGCAGGGAGTATACTCAGTGCTGGAGGCAGTGTGCCCTTTGAGAAGGCCTTGTCGTCGGACTGGGCCGATATGGTCGATGGGTTTCAGAGGTCAGCTCTTGAGTCACGGCTCGGAATACCACTGATATATGGGATTGATGCGGTTCATGGGAACAACAGTGTGTATGGCGCCACTATATTTCCTCACAATGTTGGTCTCGGGGCCACCAGGTTAGCTTTCTTCACTCTGTTCCTTCCCTTGATTTTTTTTTACTTTACTGGTTGTTGTGGACGCTTTGTTTGGTTCCTAAGAAAATGTTGGAAAAGAATTGAAATTTATGTTTGGAGTCCATACTCATGACTCAAAGGATGCAAGTACGTTAATTACTGGAAACTGAATGACAAGAACAATGGATCAAGATTTCATCTTTTCTGGAAGGCCAATTTTGTCTTTTTTTTTAAATTTATAATCCTTTAATTTGTTTTGGCATTGAGTCAAAACTGGATGATATAAAGAAGGAACACAGAAACAGAGAAGAAAAAAGTGGAGTTAAATTGCTGAATTATAGACTCAAAATGCAATGTCTCATTAACCCTTTCTAGAATTACTTTACATCTTTCCGGTTGTTGGTGAAACAAAAGAGAGGGAGATTTAGTCTTGTTAGTCCTCCATTTCCTAACTTTCTGACTCTGACAGAGATGCGGATTTGGTTAAAAGGATTGGTGCTGCAACTGCTCTTGAAGTCAGGGCTAGTGGCATTCACTATGCTTTTGCTCCCTGTGTGGCTGTAAGTCATTATGGATGTAATCAATTGCAATTTCTATACAGCTCATCAGATTGCATGATCATTCTAAAATTTGTTTCTTTTGCGGGAAAAGATGCACTTGTGTTGTTGCAATAGCTGTGCAACTTATGTGGATGATCATACCACCAGTATATTCTTTTTTGAATGGATTAGTCAAGCAATTCACTTGAATGGGTTCTGACAGGTGTGCAGAGATCCCAGATGGGGAAGATGCTATGAAAGTTACAGTGAAGACACTGAAATTGTTAGAAAGATGACGTCTATTGTTACAGGCTTGCAGGGGCAGCCACCCCAAGGGTATCCAAAGGGCTACCCTTTCGTGCTGGGAAGGTATGTAGGAGTTGTTAGTTGATAAATTTCTGGGTATACTTCTTTGGTCAATCATATTTCATCTTTAAGCATCATTGTTACAGAGAAAATTGAACTGTCCTTTTCAAATACTATTTTATGTTAATGATAAGGGAAAACAAAGGAAAAAGAATACTTTCTGGAGATTCACTTAGACACCGATGAGACTTTTTCCAGAAAACTTGCCTTCCTTTTTCTACGTATACATTGTATCTAAAATCATGTCATGAAACTTTCATATTGTCCAATTCTTTGATAATTATATTATATCAGTCAAGTGGTCAGCTTCTGTACTCAATTTTTCATCTTTCCTGCTAACATATTCATACCTTGATCTTGTATTCCAATACTAAGTCACTGTAACTTTCTTGTACAGAATAGAAATTATTTCTGAAGTTCCAATTTTTTTTTAAATTCCAGAAACAACACTATTGCATGTGCCAAGCATTTTGTTGGAGATGGGGGTACGCATAAAGGTCTTAATGAGGGGAATACCATATCATCTTATGATGACTTAGAGAGGATTCATATGGCACCATATCTGAACTGTATTTCTGATGGAGTTTCCACTGTTATGGCATCCTATTCCAGCTGGAATGGAAGTAAACTACATGCTGACCGTTTTCTCCTGACAGAAATCTTGAAAGATAAGCTGGGTTTTAAGGTAAAAAACGCAGATAATGAGTTTTTTTTTTCTTGGTGAGCAAGATGAACCCAAGACCTACCCTTACATACCTATCCATTGCCCTATTAGGTAAAGCGCAAGTACAAGAAAGTACGTCTGTAAGCCTATTATTGACTTGGTTCTATTTCCCCTCAAAGTGCAATTTTATTGGCATGGATTCAATAAACATTGCCATTTTGATTGATTATTGATGGCTTTCTGGTCTCTTGATATGCTTCCTACTTCACTTGACGTGCCTTTGCTAACATTAGAATGATATAGTGAAATTCAAATCAATTAACAGAGGCACAGTATTATTGGAGTTAGATGTGACTTTCATATATTTTGTTGGTTTATTTGAATGTAGTTGCTGTAACAATGAAATGTTGTATATCGGAAAAAAATTAACAGGGTTTAGTCTGCTGTAGGGTTTTGTGATTTCTGACTGGGAAGCAATTGACCAACTTTGCGAACCTCGAGGTGCATATTATCGTTTCTGCATTTCATCTGCCATTAATGCAGGAATTGACATGGTAGATATTGAACTCCAAGTTTAAAAGCCTAAGTTATTTATTGATATCCTTGATTTTTAATTGTTCATCTAATTTACAAGACGGGGTATGCAGGTGATGGTGCCTTTCAGATATGAACAATTTGTGAAGGATTTGGTGTATCTGGTCGAACATGGGAACATATCAATGTCCAGGATAGATGATGCTGTTGAAAGAATTCTAAGAGTGAAGTTTGTTTCCGGTCTTTTTGAGCATCCCTTCTCTGATAGATCTCTGCTGGACATGGTTGGTTGCAAGGTAAGTTTGCAGAGCCAGCATGTCTTACATTCACCTCATTCAAGAACGCATGCTTTGCATATTACCATTAGAAGGTTGCTTGTCGAGCATATTCTGTTTTAAGAATATTACCCCTAATTTGAGGCATGGTGGACTTTCTATGCTTTAAATGTACCAACTGTTATACAAAAACCGTCCCGGTCAATTTAATACCTGAGATAGAGTTTTTACTGTTATTGCTATTGTACAGCTGCATAGAGATCTAGCACGCGAAGCAGTTCGCAAGTCCTTGGTTCTTTTGAAGAATGGAAAGGATTCAAGGAAACCTTTCCTTCCATTAGACAGAAAAGCTAAAAGAATACTTGTTGCTGGAACACATGCTGATGATCTCGGATATCAGTGTGGAGGGTGGACAGCTACTTGGGATGGTCGCAGTGGCAGGATCACAATTGGTACGGAACTTTGTTATTTTCCCAGGATTTTAATACTAGAAATGGGTATGCATGATAGTATTAATCAATGTGACATTATGTATAATTTCATAAGACAAAGTCCATAGGCTTCTGTATACATAGTTTCCAATAAGTTTCCTGATTCAGGTTATTGAACCAAAATCTTATTTTTAAAGAACTGTCACAAATAAGAGGTTGTGAAAATTCTCTCTTCTTGGGAATCTAGCAATGTGTAGTTAAATCATTCACCCAAAGGTTTTATTCGGGGAAAAAAAATCTAACAAGGAAACTTTGCTTCCTAGTTAGATGCTGTTGTTTTTCAACAACATTGTTAAATCTTACATTGAAATTTTGTAGAGAACAAGGGGTTCGTAGACCATAAATTTCCATGTTTATACCTTTTAAGATCGCTGTGATTGCACAGGCACACTTAACTATTTAGAAATTTACATTTTTAAGGCACAACCATCTTGGAAGCTATCAAGAAGGCAGTTGGAGATGATACAGAAATAATTTATGAGCAATATCCATCAGCAGACACCTTAGCACGTGAAGATATTTCTTTTGCAATTGTAGCTGTTGGTGAAGGACCATATGCAGAATTCAGAGGTGACAATTTGGAGCTTACCATCCCCTTCAATGGAACTGATGTGATAAGCTCAGTTGCTGATAGACTCCCCACATTGGTGATTCTGATATCTGGAAGACCCTTAACTTTAGAGCCTTGGCTCTTGGAAAAGATGGATGCTCTTGTTGCTGCTTGGTTGCCTGGTAGTGAAGGAGAGGGAATAGCAGATGTGATATTTGGAGATTATGACTTTGAGGGCCTATTACCAGTGTCATGGTTTAAAAGGGTTGAACAGCTGCCGATGAATGCTCTAGACAACTCATATGACCCTTTATATCCTCTTGGCTATGGGTTGACTTACAATAAGGGAAAATCCTTACAGTAAAAACATTTGAGACTAAGGCCGTTCTGAAATCCTGAGTAGACTGAGCTTCTTGAACCTGTTCAAGCAGAATGGCAGTCCATGAATGAATTGCCCCTTGGTGTCAAATGTGTTTGTACTTAATTGAATGTATGAATTCACCCTATTCTTGTCTTATGTTACCGTATTCCCCTGTGCCACTGTTTCCTAGTCATTATTTTCAGCTGGCATGAAGGTTCCAAATGTGATTTCCATCTTTAAGATGAACTATAGTTTCGTGAATAAGGATAATCAATTCAGCCATGAAATCAGTTGTATATGTAAAGCATGTTTGTTGATAATGGATATGATCAAATCAATGCACAATGTCAACTTGCAATTCGGTCTCAGGTCAATAAAGAGATAGCAGGAGGACAAGGATTTTCAATCTCATATTCCCAGCAAAAGCTTCAGATCCCAACTGATACTATTGACAATGGTATGTCTTATCTGTTATATCCTTTTTTCTTGTCCACAGAAGACTTAACGAGATCATTAAGCTTGCATTAACTAATGTTATTCAGATATGATGCATCTTCTGCTTTCCGACCTTCCATATATTCTTTTCTGTGATATGTAGAATAGGTCCCCACAACAGATTATTCTCAGATCTCCATGGGCCACTGAAGCACTTCTACACAGACCCCTACTGAACTTCCTCTCATCTTTCTTTTGATCTAACCATGAATATTTATATATACATACATATATATATATGTGTGTGTGTGTATATACACAGCTCTGAAGTGCATGTAGCTAATAGCATTTTGACAGAGAAGAATCAGAATATAGTTGAGAAAAATAGAGAGAACAAGATATGGCCGAAAGTAGAAATTGCGATAGTGATGATACTATGTATGTGGTTTCAATTAGTTTTTTAGGTGTTAATCAAACTAGCCTAGGAATAAAGTGTAGGGTGCTTTCTCGTCCAAGTTGCAGAAAGGCTTTGAAAAAATATGGTGATTAGTTTTGTCATTTACCGGGCAAAACCTATTTGTAATGACAGTGTTGCCCATGTAGGTATGGATTCTTTACATAATGGGCGGGACTGGAGAAAACAGTACTGTCCCATTGACCTGCGTGGTTACTTGGCTTTTCATGAAGAAAAAAAAACAAAGGAAACTAGGTAACAAATAAGTTAAAAAATAAACATAGAAAAGGGTGGAAATGGAACAAAATGAAAACAGTACAGTTCAACTTGAGCACTATGTTCAATGTTTGTCATTTTGTTTAACAAGTATGCTCTGAAATAATGAGATTCCTTCTATAATGTTTTCTTTTTTCTTTTTGTTTTAATTAAAAAGAGGTGAGTTGTGGAGAGAGTTTAAGAGATAAAATGTCTTGTGTATTACACCAGGATTACTAGTGAATTATTCATCGCCATCCATCACTTACCTTACTAGTCTTTTGGGTTGAGTGGCAAATGCATAGCTCATTAGGGTTTAAATTTTAGGGCATGGTCGAGTAGGGTAGAATGTCATGGACAGGAACCCTATATCGGATAGAAATGAGTCCGACCTAGGGTTTATAAGGGTGGAGTAAGCAACATCACCTAACAAGTTTTTCTTTTTGGTTCAATGCTGCAATTAATTCCAAAACAAAAAACTTGTTGCAAAGAGATACGCAAAACCTAACTTACAAAAGTAAGTTTGTAAGAGCATCTCCAGTGCCGAGATGTAAAAGTGATGTAAGTCACATTTACACCCAAAGTGACTACAGTGGGAGTGTGTATTGGGTTGTAAATTTGCATCAATCACCAACCTAATTACTGTCATTGAGCTTTATGGAGCTAAATAGTAGGTAATAATTGTTAACTTGTCTTACTTGACGGCAAATCACTAATCACTAGATCAAAGTAGCACTTAATTAGGAGGAAGATTCTTCTTCCAAATAAATAAAAGAAGGAAGGAAAGGAAAATAAGTCAATGATATTCCCACCCAAAAGAGAATCTCAAAGCCCATGTAGAAATATGAAATTATAAAGACTAAGAAAAAGGTAAACAGGTCTTTCTGCTAATAAAAAGCTACTAATTTGTCTCCAAGATCGGGCATCACAAGTTTAGTCTAGATTTGTTAGAGAACAATGAAATCTTTAACATTGTATTTAGTTGGTAGGTGCCGTACACTTTAGAATCAGAAAACCACCATGCTCAAAAACCAAATCCCACAGAGAGAGAGAGAGAGAGAGAGAGAGAGAGAGAGAGAGAAATGACACACAAAATAAATTACAGAAAAATATGAACCACAAATTAAAATACATTAGCAGTGTAATCTGATCTAAATCTTAGTCCCTTGTATTTTTTATATACAATAAAATCACTAATCATCGTTCGTAGCTAGTAGGACGGGGGGATCTTGTTTCTAATTATAAGAGGATCTCATATAAACAAACATGCCAGAAAAGTGATTGAAGCATAAGATGCTTTGAGTTAGTGCAAGAAGACTCAGCATTTGATCTTTCTAGGTTTGAAGTTTCAAGGTCTTGCCCAGTCAACTTGGCCATTTTGGTATCAAAGTTTCGTGAGACAGTCTAAAAGAGTTAAAAGTAGGTAGTCTTACCATGAAATTCCAAGCTGAGTGCTCTATGACTTGGCTAATTTGAACCCCAGCATCCAGTACCCTTTTCTTTCTTTCAATTATTGTTTTTTATTTTAAAGGAAAACAACTGGTCTAAACTCACACATACAACACGGATGCTAGGACTTGAACTCAGGACCTTGCCTAGTGGAGCAATTACTCCAAACTACTACATTAGTGAGTCCTTTGCAAGCCATAATAAAGATTTAGATTATCCCAAGCAGACAGATATAGCAATATGGGATGGGATGCTCACAGAATTTTCTACCATTATAATTTTTGCCCTTATTCTAATTAATATAGTGGCAAAATTAGAAGTCATAGTCATTTGACTAAAATTCAAATATGAAATAAAAAATAAAGTTCAGAAGATCCCATGCTTATTAAGCTAATCATAATTAATGTTTGATATTTATCACAAAGATTCATGACCCTTGTTGATCATTGAATATTAATATGCAGGTGATGCCTAAGACATACTGTTCTTTCACCATTTGATTGAAAATGCTTGTCCTTGATTATGCCTCTTCTTTCATTATCCATTAGACCTTGGAATTTTATTTATGTCTGTTATCTGCTATCTGATACATTATCTCCTTCTGCATTCCATTCTTAACTAGAGCTAGAGGAACCATTCTTAAGGTATCAGATAAAGAGCAGTCAACCGTTCAGCGTACTGTGTTTGCTTCAAGACCCTCACCCAGACTCTAGAAAGTGAAAACCATTATTTCTAATACATGCTCCTGTTCATATTTGATGCCTTCTGCAATAATTCACCACTCCCTTATCATTACAGAATATGAAATCCATAGGGTGGGGTGGGGGGTACAACTAGGTTTTGAGATGCTTCACCTCAGTTTCATATTTCTTACGTATTCGAAATTCCAAGAAATACTTTGATCTTGTTCCCCTCAGATACTATTATGCTAACTCAAAGTTCTGAATGACATATTTACATGAAACCATGAAGAAAAAAAAAGCTCAGGTAAAGCTATTACTAATGAACTAAAAGACCATAAGCTGCAGAGGATTGAGAAGAGCTGCTAGATCATCCGTACGGGTAGTGCTGTGCGGATTGCATCTGAAAAACCATATTTTGAGGTCCATAGTAAGAGTTATTAGCAGCACCTTTGTGCAGATCTTGCCCCTGCATTTTAAGTCCATATGAACTAATCCCATAAGGATGGGACATGAACATATTTCTATGTGCTTGATTGAAAGCCATGTTTGCTCCACCGCCTTGCTGGTGATGCCACTGAAACGGAGTCCTGGCAGTGGCAGCAGAATTTGGCTGCTGAGGCACGGATAACTCAGGAGAGAGAGGCCTTTTATTGTCTGGAGATGGAGTTCTCATGTCGTTGAGATTGACGGTTGTTATGTCATGGATGCTGGCTCTTCGCTTATCCTTCCCCCCTGAAAGCTGCCTGATAAAGTACTTCTGTGCATGACTAGCCACTTGAGTCGGTGTTCGAGTTACCACAAAATTGCGTGAGATGTTCCTCCAGTCCCCTTTGCCATACTTTTTCAGGCCCAGTAGAAACAGCCTATACACAATCATGAAACTATTATGTCAAAAGAATGGCTGAAAAATAAAACCACTGTAACCAAATCTGAATCAAGAAAATTTTCAGCAGAAATTTAAACACCTAAGCTAGAGTTCTGATCTTGCTTTCATATGCAATCCCAAAGTTTTTTTCACACTTCATATATGGCTTAGATGTGAAGGAAAAATCATCTAAAATGTTAACTTCAAGCCAATTCTACTTTAACAGCTCAAATGTTAAAGTGAAAAAAACATTACATTCTGAAATTTACACTGGGAAACTTACTTGTGTTCATCTTCAGTCCATGGAACACCTTTCTTTCTTTCATGATCAGCAGGCCTAGCTGATGAAGATCTCTTACCACCAAGCCCATAAGATTGCTTGAACCCATCATAGCCATGTCTATTCACCCACTCCAATGTGAATGGAGAGGCACTATAGCCAGGAATTGGAACCAGCCCAGCTTCTATTTTGCCAACATCAACTTCCAATTCCTCATACTGCTTCATCACATCCATTGCTGTCTTCCCAGGTATCATTGCTGCCACCTTGAGCCACCGGTCCGGCGTGTCCTTGTCATGCACCGCCAAGGCGTTTTCGAACATTTTGTTCTCTGCCGGGGTCCATTGTGTGCTCTTGCTCTCTTCAAGAAGCCAATTTGAACTTGAAAAATAGGATGAAGGCGATAGAATTTCCATTTCAAACTTCATGATATCAAATTCAAGATCTCAAATTCACGCTTGCATAATTGACAAATTGGATGAATTTCTGATTTCTTGAATTCCCAACTGATGAAATTGGATATGGTACTGAGAATTGGGTTGAAAACAGAGGAGAAACAGAGCAAGAGAGAACCCTTTCAGGAAATGCAGAGAGAGAAAGAGAGAGAGAGAGCGGTGGAGGTTTCAGAATGATGAAAGGAGAGTTAAATCAAGGGGCATTCTGAAAGGAATCAGAATACCTTTTTTCCGCATAGGCACACCCTGAGGAATCTAGAAAAGACCCACCTTTTCAAAATTCAAATAAATGTCCTTAAATCTTTATTTTTAAGAAGAAAAAAAACTAAAATAGTTTAGCTGAGCCCATTGAAGAAGTCTCAGAGATGATAAACAGAGAACAGATTAAAGCAATCTTCAGAAAATGAAATTAGAATCTTGGTAGAATTTCAGAAGTGGAACTAAAACACTTGTATCTGCAGCTTCTTCCACTTCTTGGCATCCCAATTAGGAAAGCAAAAGAAACTGAGAGAGAGAGAGAGAGAGAGAGAGAGAGAGAGAGAGAGAGAGAGCAAAAAGGCTGCTAATGGGAAAAACCCAATTGGGGACAAGAGTGAGGGAGGCTCTGAAACCAGGGGAATTGGAGCAGTCAGTGGAAAAAAGTTGGGAAAGATTTCTTCTTTCCTCTTTTTTCCTTGAGGCCTGAGCAACAAAGAAAAGAGAAGAAAGAAAACAAAAGTGTTGTGTTTTCTATGAATGGAAAGAGAAAACTACAGAAGCTCAGATAAAGCAAAGCTAGCAAGCTTCAAGAAATGAATCTATTTTGCTAAAATCTTTGTAGAGAGAGAGAGAGAGAGAGAGGGGGAAGGGAAGGCAAAGCAGAGTTTGAAGGTGGATGGCTGTGATTGGATGTTAAGATGTTTGTAGATACTGCAACTTATGAAAAAGTTCCCTCTTATTATAATGCACACTCTCTCTGTTTTGGGCTTTTTTTATTTTTTTATTTTTTTCCACAACAAAGATTAAAATAAGGTCTAAAAATACTCTTTCTTTATTTATTTATTTCTTATTTTTGAGTTGTGAGGGAACAGGTGGGCTGGCAGCTCATGATGATTGATGGAAGCTCCGCCTTAGTCACCGTTGCTGCACTTGTCTATGGCCTCAACAGCAAAACACCGACTCTACTCACAACCGTTGGATTAAATTAAAATCATCATGAAGAAAGATGATTGGATTTGATAATAAGTTCTTTTGTTTTCTTGGTGAGATCAGAAATCCTTTTCAAACTCTTTTACACTTGCAATTTGAGGTGGGTCCCCTCATCTGGTTTTACACCAATGTCTCTATCAGGAGTCTCATTGGAGGCTCTCCTACACAATTGTAAAGGCTATGATCTCAAGGGCCTAGGTCCGTTATAAGAAGCCATTCCGACATGTGTCACATCTTAATTGGTTAGCAGAAGCCCCTCTCCGTAAGAGAGCCAATGTTGGAAAAAAACTTATCTATACCGGTGTATACAAATTTCTCTCTAAAAAAAACAAGAATTATCTCGGAATTTGGTAAGTATAGCAGTATTCTTACCACACCAACACTAGCCTCACAAGTCAGTAGGTTAGTCTAAATAGGAGTAGTGTAACACATTAGAATTAAGATAGTTATAGAATTCAAATGCATCAAAAATTAATAATAATATTAGACTCGCAAAATTTGTTCACTAAGTACTTTGTTGTTAAAAACAAATGAGGTTTATAATAACCCAAATTTGAATAAATGACAGATTGCCACATCATTGGGTGAGTGTCTTGATCTGCCAATGAGATGGATCCACGTAATTGGGAGAAGAACTCAAGTCGTAGACCCGAGTGTACCTGATTAACTACGCGTAATCATAACCCATTCAGCCAACCACCGCCCCTCAGCTCACTTATTCTTTTCTTTGCCCTCTCAAATGTTGGCTAGTGGAATTGAGTAGGAAAGTGATGCCGTATCCACTCAATTATATGCGCGTGTACTTCACTCTTGAATCTAAAGACATCATTCATGGGACCCACTATACAAATCAAATCATGTGATAGACACGTGTGAGCACGCGCTTAGTATACGGTTGTCACTTTAGGTTTTGGTTGCTCTATAATACAACGAATACAACTAAGCGGTCCCCTTCAGATGTGACCAACTGCTCCACTGCTCTCTCTCTCTCTCCCTATTTCTCCCAATTCTTTTCTCTCCTCTTCAAAATCTGGTAAGCACCCTACACCAGCCTTGGTCTTTCCCAGTTGAAAGTTAGATGATCTTATCTGGGTGATTGTCATCCGTTGATAAATCTAAATTTTATTAAAACTTGTGAATTCATCAGAATTGTTCTCGTAATAGATAATTTGACAACATAAAATGTTTGTCGACCTTAAGTTAGGCTATTCATTGTGTTGATTTTTGACAAACAATCCCTCACCATAATTTTCACATGAATCAATAACTAACATTCACTTTTGTACATCTTAATCATTGTATAAAGTGAAATATCAATCACTAAAATCAATTCATGGATTTGTAAATGATGATTAACAAATAATAGAAATGGGTGTCCTGCTACATTTTACGTTAATCAATACTTGGAACTCACCCACACTACACGTGTAAATAAAAAAGATCATTCACAAGCAATTAAAAAGAGGCAGATCAATCAAGTTTTTTAAAAATTAAAAAAAAAACATGTTTTCAAATAAAAATTAGTCAAAATTAGTCGCTAATTTATTCCTGCATTTTTTTTTTTTTTTTTTTTTTTTTTTTTTTTACGTGACAAGAACATTCTCACATGGATTTTTCTCTCCGGGTTAGCCATATAATAAGTTGTTCATGTGGGCTATCAAATTTAGAGTCATGCATAATAACTAATAAGAAGGTAACAAGTACCTTGGGAAATGTTTATCAACTAATCTGAAATCATTAGCAACGCCATTTTATTTTATTGGTTGTAACCCATGCCTAATTATTTGGGCCATAAATAAATGTTAAAATTGGGCTGGACTATGTTGTACAAATAGAGAAGCCCAAGTACGAAGATGCTAAATTTGTACCACATGGCAACAACATGTTCCTTTATTGGTGGAAAACATTGTAGACTGGGGTTTGGGGCCACCATCATCTTCAAGAGCACCTCGAATCTCGCACCTTTTAATCAATACGACAACGTGTCCATTAATGAGCTAAGGTCCCTATCTCCACAGTTGCCCTCTCCTCTCCTCTCCTCTCCTCTCTCACCTCCCATAACGTTGCTGTCCGTTGTGTGAGTAAATCATGTCTTGTCGCCGCTTGAATACTTTACGTGTTTATTTTTACCATTACGTCTATATACAGCCAATGATAGGAGAGACAATTTGTGATGGAAAAGGAAAATAAGCAAAAAGTTGGCAGTAAAATACGATTACGTGTTTCTGACAAGTAATTATAGCATGGCATTAAAGTAAAATAACTTGTCAATATATTATAATATAAGTAGATATTTATTGATGTTATATTTTAAAATGTGAGTAAATATTAAATATGTCGTTCACTTAATACATGAGTGTATTCCTAAACCCTAAACCCAAATATCAAAATTCCATCGATTTTAAGGCGGATCTCCTCCTCAATTATTTAAGCAGCCAAACCATGCTTCCGAGTTTCTCACATGTGATCGTACATCGGGAATATGGTTTTTCACCAAATAAAAATTGTAAGTTTATATGTAGCATTTTCGCAAGTTGTGGCTTTGGTCACATTATATTCTCCGCATATGCATATTGGTAGGCTGAGCGCATGCAGCAAAGCGTGGGGAACAGGAAACGAAAGAAAACAAATTGGAGAGTTGTTTTTAGTAGTTCAAATAATATCTAATCAAATAACAACAATAATGAAAGGTCTTAGCTGCCTCTTCAAATAAAATGCACAATGTGCCCCTTTCAATTTTATTTTATTTTAAAAAGGAGTGGCATTATTATCATTCCACGCAGATATCTACTCTGCTTTTTTTTTTCTTTTTCTTTTTTTTTTTATAAAAAATAAAAAGTATTTTATTCAACTCATATTTAAAATATTCTTAAAATACTTCTAACCACTTTTTTCTTTTTTTTTACTTTTCTTATTATTTAATTTTTTTTAATTTATGAAGGAACATGTCACTTGCTTGTTAGTCCTTTTGTTACTTATTGGGTTTGTAGTACAACTAAAAGTTGCACGTTTCGACGTTTCGACGTTTCGACGTTTCGAATTTGATCGAGATCGAATTATCGTACAATTACTTACAAAGTAACAATCACTCAATCCAATTTAAATGAATTGGTATTGAAATTCAAATATAAAGTCAAGTGAGATTGTTTTTTTATTATAAAATAATATAAAATTTAACCCCAAAAAACTATCCAATTGATTGTTAAAAAAATTAAACTATTTCTAATTGCCCAACTCCCCGGTATTTTGAGCCCTTGTAATTGGGTAAGAATAGTGTTGTTGGAAATGGACATAATGCAATTATGCATGAAGAAAAAAAATAAATTGCGGGCTCCAATAATGGAGGGTTGGGGGGTGCTTGGGCCCCACCACCAATTTGTTGCCATTAAGGGAAAGATTCGCCCCTTTCCCTAAAAGTCAAAAAGTCAGGCAATGTGATTGAGATTTGAGGCAACTCCACCGGTATGCGTGTGCATCAACTTCATGTGCGCTCCTTGCCACCTTTTTTTTTTTTTTTTTTTTTTTTTTTTTTTTTTTTCTTTTTTTTTTTCTTTTCATGTCAACAATAATAATTTCCCCACTCTGTTTTATATAAGAAATTGGTTGTACCATATGAAATTTGACTTTAGTGTAAACATCTTGAGTAATGTAATGTAGAAAATCCGATATGTATATCGAAATCAAATTTGAATTTAGGTAAAGTAATGTAGATCTCAATCAAATTAATGTATGAACGTCTTGCGTGTAAACACAATTTAATGAATTGTGATTAA